GCCCCATATCCCTGCAAACTCATCCTCCCCAGATAATTATCTACTTCTCTCTTAAAATCTGTTATTGAATCGGCTCCCACCAGCCTTTCAGGCAATGCATTCCAGATCCCAACAACTCGCTGTGTGAAAACATTTCTCCTCACCTCCCCTCTGTTTCTTTTAACAGCTATTTTAAATCGGTGCCCTCAGATTACCGACCCACCCGCCAGTGGGAATAGTTTCTCCTTGTTCACCCTATCAAATCCTTTCATCATTTTCAAAACTTCTATTAAGTCTCCTCTTAACCTTCTCTGCTCCAAGGAGAATAATCCTGGCTTCTCCGGCCTCGCCTGATAACTGAAGCCCCTCATTCCTGGTACCATTCTGGTCAATCTCCTTTGCACCCTCTCCAATGCCTTGACATTCTTCCTAAAGTGATTTATATAAAGGTTCATCATAACTTCCTGACATTTGTATTCTATGCCCCTATTTATATTTATATGCCCCTATTTACAGGACTGTGGAGTCCTGTAGCTCAATGGTTAGAGCACTCACCTTGAAAGCGAGACACCGGGGTTCAATTCCAGGCAGGGCGAAACTTTGGGCAAGATTCCTTACTCCACCTGTCTTATAATAATCCCTCAAGAAAAAAACAATAATAAATTGGTCACTTCAATCCATGACTGTTTGTGGGACACTGCTGTGTGAAATTGGCTGCCGCGTTTCGCCCACAAATATGCGGTCAATTCACTTTACAGTTTATTCTGTGAAGCGCTTTGAGATGTCAAGAAGACGTGAAAAGCGCTATATCAAATGCAAGGATGATTATTATTATTATTATTAAGCCTAGTGTCCCGTATGCTTTTTTTTAACAGCTTTATCTACCTGTCCTGCCACCTTCAAAGATTTACTTTATTCTCAGTATTTGTTTATTCCAAAGTAATTCCTTTATTCTCTGAATGCAACACTCCTACCCATAACTCACACCCTGCTTCCCTTCCCAGGGGATGGGTTTCCACATGTGTCAGACACCCGGTTGACCAAAAAAATAGTAGAACAAACTGAAGAGTAAACGCTGACAAAGGGTAAATCTAATACTAAAAAAAATGGATTAAGCGTTGTGGTTTAGGAAGCTCCCAACGGCAGGGAGGGCAAGGCAGGGGTTGGGCTGAAGGGTGTGATGTGGTTCCCTCCCAGGCCAGTTGGTCTACACACTGCTCGCAGGGAGCGCTCATTAACCCTTCACCTCCTGCACCAGTCCAACCTTGTTTTTATAAAACAAACTTAAATTTTTGTCTTAAAATTTATAGTTGCACAGAATTTCAGGTGCCAGCCTGGCTCAGTCGATAGCACTCTCGCCTCTGAGTCAAAGGCTTGTGGGATTCAAGCCCCATGTTGGGGATCTGAATTTACATAGTCCAGGCTGACACTCCAGCACAGTGCTGGGGGAGACCTGCATTGTCGGAGGTGCCGTCCTTCGGATGAGAAATTAAACTGAGGTCTCCATCTACCTGTTCGTTGGATATTAAAGATCCCACAGCACTATTTCAAAACAGAAGGGAGTTTTTCCTCGCATCCTGAGCAACAAATCCCCAGATAAAATTGATTACTCATTTTATGGTTGTTTGTGAAAACTTATTGTGCATAAATTTGCTGCCACTTTCACCTACAAATACACAGTCACCACACTTTGCTGTAAAGTTTTGAACAACAACTTGCATTTATATAGGGCCCTTCACTCCAATCCTGGTCTGCGCTGAGTTAACGGGGCAATTGCTGTTGACAAGACAGTGAGTTGGGACGTCCTCCTGATGTGAAAGCCACTGTATAATAAATGCAATTTATTTGCTGTTGTTGTCCTCAGTGCTCCTGAGTAAAGGAGGAGGCCATCAGTCAGGATTGCTGTTCGTGATCGCTATCCCTCCATCCCCTGCTGGAATGTGTGGGTGTGGACAGCAGGTGAGGTTTACGAGATGGATCAGTGCTCAGCTGGGCCTTGTACCTTGTGCCCAGGTACATTCAACCTGACTGCCTGGACTCACACCTGAAGAACGGAGCACAGTCAGCAGTTACAGGGATGGTAATGGGTGTTTGAAGTGGGCTGAGATTAGGCTGAGAAATGTTTGGATCAGCTGGGCGTTTGATATATACGAACATCCATCGCTGAGTTTAAGAGTATCCAAACCGGACTGACAGCTAATAATAATAATCCTTGCGTTTGATACATCACCTTATCATGTCTTTTGAGACTTGCCCAACGTGTCGCCCCGCCCAGGAATCGAACCCGGGTCCTCTCGCTTGCGAGGTGAGCGTTCTAACCAATACGCCACAAGACTCCACGTGGTATTATCAGTACAGGTTGATGCGAGGCAAAGCTTGGAGATCGCAGAAAAAGTTTAACTGGAGGCTGGAAACTTCAGCAGCCAATCAATCATTTAGTCAGCCAATTGTGTGCAGCGCTGCCTGGTGGCATAAACTAGTAATGATGTGATTTTCTGTTGTCGATCAATGAGAAGGGAGTGTGGGGGTGACTGGGTGACTCTTTCTTCCAACCACGGACGAGAACTTGTACAAATTTATTAAGTTGATTGTTATTTGGTCACTCAATCCACGACTGTTTGTGGGGACGCTGCTGTGCGCAGTTGCCTGCCACATTTCGCTCATAAAATATACAGTCAATTCCCTTTGCAGTATATTCTGTGAAGCGCTTTGGGACATCTCACTCAACGTAGTGATAAGGCGCTATATCAAATGCGAAGAATGTTATTATTATTATTTACCTCCCTCACAGGATAGTCACCAGTTGGTGATCAAACGTCTTGACAAGTACAAATTTGAGCCTCTTTCAGGTTCATGGAAACACTTGCTCAGAAAAACACAAAAAAGGAAGTACGAGTGAAAATACAGGATTCTTTCATTAAATTATTTAAACACTCAACAGGCAAAACATCAAGATTACTGACAGGTACTGCCCGCTCTGACAATGATAATCCCACCGTGTCCATAATAACCCTTGACCCGCGCCCACACCACAGAGACGCTCAATGCCATCCATCCCCACAATAATAACTATCCACTTCATTAACCCTAAGCTTCCCACATGCCAGCCTGTGCCGAGGAGGACGTACAGCGTGGCACTGAGCCTGTACCGGGGGTGTGACAGCCCCACCAGGGAGGGCAATGGGCGGCAGGCGGGAGTGGATTCTGAGGGAGGGAGTGCGTGGTCCAGGGGGTCACCACTTAATGACAGAGACCCCGCCCTCCTAAGCAGCAGCCCTTCCCCATTCATGGAGTGAGGAGGGACGGAGCAAGGCAGATGCAGTGGGAGAGGGAGCATTGTTTGGTTTAAACAGTGAACGCTTGAACATTTGCAGTCCCATGTGTAGGAAACAATAAATAAGAATTGGAATGGATACAGTTCCACCTTCCAATTTATCCCCCAACCCACCTCCTGCCCCTCCTCAGTACACTCCCAGGCCAGGCTCATGGGCACCCGGCACAATAGAGAGAATCTCAGTGTCAATCTCTGACCAAACAATCTGCCCTTCGTTCTGTGGCGGTCTCTGTATTCTGGTTCCTGAGCCAGGAGGGTCCACAGTATTCCACGGCACTCACTTCTGATGGCAGCACAGCCCAGCCTGGCTCATCAGCTGGACCTGGGAGGGCCGACCAGTCACTGGTGGTAGGGAGTCATTCCCCTCAACTCCTGTTAACCCTGCAAGCCAAAGCCCTAACAGGTAGGGTGGTCCTAACTGGACAAACAGCAGGAAACCTTGATAGACAGCGATATCAATGGCAAGCTATGCAGTTTAACCCCAGTAATTACCCCAGCATACACTCTGGGGTCCCCAAGTTTGGCTGTTGGCAACCTACGCCTAATACTTTCCGGAATTAGGTAAACAGGATGTGTCCCTTCCGAGAGAGAGAGACAGAGAGAGAGTGCACATTCCATTCCATTCCAACAATCTATCTCTAGGATTTCCATGTGTAGGTGGGATACATGGAAATCTCAGCTTGGTTCGAATACTCTTAAACATGGGGATGGGTTTCCGCATATGCCAGACACCCGGCTGACCAAAAAAAATGTTTTACTGGGCTCAAGCTTCAGGTCAGTCAGGCTGATGCTCCAGTGCAATGCTGGGGAGTGCAACATTTTCAGAGGTGCCGTCCTCCAGATGGAGGTGAACACTAATGATATGTGACACTATTGGAAAAGAGAAGGGAGATTCTTCTGGTGTCCTGGCCAACAATCTTCTGGGTTAATTAGTCCACCTCTAGGCTGCTGGTGGGACCTTGCTAGCCCAAACCCTCCATGCCATGCTTGCTTACAAAAAGCAGACACTACACTTCACAGTATTTACTATAACACTCTCTGTGAGGCAGTTTGATGTATAAGCCACCATAAAATGCAAGTTTTTTTTCTCTCTTTCTACTGTTGTTGAGGTGAGTGGGTGTGTTGTTCTGATGCATTACTGGGTCAGACAGATCTCAGCTGGGCAGCAGATGGATTAACAATGAAACATCAGGGCTGTGGTGTCCAGTTCTGATCGCTATCCAGTGACTTCTGCTGGAAATGTGGGCATTGAGTGAGGAGAGCATCGGGCTCAATTATGATGTTCAGTTAAACAGCTTCCTGATACTCACTGTCTAAATATCTCCCTGGACACAGTACAGAGGGCAATCAGGACTCATGCCAAACCCTCCCCCACACACACTTTTAAGAGTACGCACCTCAGCGGGAGTAGGAGGGAAGAAAATTGACAAAAAGGGAAATGAATGTTAACTTAGATCATTTCAACTGGGTTAGGATAGAGTTTGAGCCACAAAACTGTTCTAACTTTGGAGAGATAATCAAACTGCCTGAAAGGATGATGGAAACTGATTCAATAACAACTTTCAAAAGGGCACTGGATAGGTACTTGAAAAGGAAAATATTGCAAGGATATCGGCAAAGAGCAGAGGAGTGGAACTGATCGGGTAGTTCTTCCAAAGAGCCAGCACATGCACAATGGGCCAAGTGGCCTCCTTCTGTGCTGCAATATTCTATGATTCTATGATTCAAACATGGCCCAGTTCAGAGCTCCATGTCTAGAATGGGCCAAGCCGGGGTTTTGACCGATGAGCTGTATAATGGCCATGGACCTGACCTCGATTCAGGCTCAGTTTATCTCAGAGTCAACCACCACAGTCCATCTCAAAGGCAGACCAATGGCCAGACACTGGCATCCATTACCACTTTGCAGCACCTTGGTACGTCCTCCCGACATGAAGGGTGTTATATCATTGCAATTTGTTGTTGTTGTTGTTTCCATGGAGGTACAGACTTGATTGCCCTGACGGAGAGTGCCCTAAGAGAAAGATACTGTCAAGTAAATAGTTTCTTCTTTTGCACAGAAATGGCTAAAATTACACACAAGTTGGATCATACGGCATAATGGCCAATTAGCTCACCTGGATTCAAGCTCAGTTCAGTGAACCACCAGAGACCATCCAGAGTGCACTCTGGGATACCGAGCCACACGGTGACCAGTATGACCAATGGTGCATCACAGGTTAGATATCAGAGTCAACCACTAGGTCCATTTGGCTGCAGGTCTGTCACGGCAGAAAAAATGCTCCAGGTACTGTGACATTTCTCCGTAAACCCATGACGTTCACTAAGTTAACAATAATCACAATAAGAATAATCCTTGGATTTGATATTGCGCTTTTCACGTCTTCTAGACGTCTCAAAGTGCTCAAATTGACCGTGACCAGCTCCGCAAATCTTGACAAAAACAATGCCGCAAAAAACAAATCTGCAGCCCTGACCATGGGGTGGGCCTTATGATGCATCATGGGATACCGAACTACACATTGACTAGTATGACCAATGGTGCATCATGGGTTATATGTCATGTTGCATCATGGGATACATGGCACAAAGGTGCATCAATAAATATGGTGACAGCATCACAAACGCAATCACAGATCTCCAGCAGAGGTCACTGGTTCAGTGTGCAACTTGGCCAAACTCAATTTCTTAACCTTTCCCGTATCATCTCTCACTCATCTCTCTCCCCGCCCCTCCTGCCCTCCACATCTCCCTCATCCTCTCTTGTACCCATCCATATGAATAACTGCAAACATGTTAATCAAATTCATTCTTCCCTCTCAGGTGGACTCTTGCCACCACTGTGATCGGACAGTGTCACGTATCTGTCCTCCGAATGTTCAGTAAGTCACTTCCTCCACATCTCCTTTCTGTCTGGGTTCCTGCCACCAGTCTGACAGGATTGCTTCCTCAAAATCCCCATCTCCTTCAAATTCTTCATCCGTGATTTCTTCCGCACTCTCGGAAAACACCTCGTCCGAGATCTCCATCTGTCAATCAAAGGGAGGTAAAAGCAAGCGTGACAATAGAAAGGAGATGTATTTTTAAGCTGATATGGGGCATGACCCACAGTCTTCTGACTCAGGAGGCAAGAGAGCTACCAATGAGCCAGGTTGACACACTGGGATGTGGCAAACAGTAAAGGAATAATCCATAATTCCAAGGTAAATTTGGGGCTGAATATCTGAGAAATAAAACTGGAAACACTTAAAAGCATCTGCGCCATTGGTTTTTTCTTCACCACTGACCTCATCATCCGGCTGGAGGTAGTTATCTGCAAAGTCCAGCAGGTGGCGCTGTAACAACGTCTGGTTGTAGTAGAATTGCGCCTCCTAGAGAGAGAGAAACAACAACAACAACACAATGACACGTGTATAGCGCCTTTCACATCGGGAGGACGTCCCAAGGCGCTGGACAGTCAGTGTTTCGGACCCGAGCTGGGGGTCGGGGTCAGGGAGGGTGGAGGGAGATGGAAGGCGCAGTCGAAGAGGAGGGTCTTGAGATGGGTCTTGAAAGAGGCGAGGGAGGGGGCAAGGCGGAGGGACTGCGGGGATGGAGTTCCAGAGGGTGGGGGCCACCCTCCTACCCTCCCTGATCCCAACCCCTTGATTGTCCAGCGCCTGGGGCGTCCGCCTGACATGAAAGGTGCTAGATAAAGGTAATGTGTTATTATTCATGAGGGTGGGCGGGTGGGAGGGAGGGAGAGAGGTGTTTTGAACACTCACCTCACGAGGAACGAAATCTGCTTCCACCAGCCCCCACTTGTCCCGGTAAAAGCGATAATACACCAGGTTCTGCTGCATGATTTCATCATTTGGGTCAAAGAGCATGTAACTCGCCACACAGGACACAGCGTTCTTGATGTCGTTCACTGCAAAACAAAAGGAAGGTTTGTTCCTTCAGATACAGAGAAAATACTTCCTCTCGTGGGGGAATCCAGAACAAGGGCCCATTGAGGTGTGAAATTAGGAAGCAGTGTTTCACCCACAGGGTGGTGGAGATCTGGAGCTCTCTTCCCCCAAAAGGCTGTGGATGTTGGATTCATTCACATTTTCAAGACTTGAGTTGGATCGATATTTGTTAGGTCGGGGTATTAAGGGATATGGGGCAAGAGCAGGTAACCAAGGCAACACAATCATCACGGCTTCGCAAATGCCCAAACGCTAATTATTATAAGAACATCGGCAAACATGGCTGTTAATGGGGCTCACGTTTGTAGTAGGCAAACTGCAGGTAGTGATACATTGTGGCCACAAACTTCTCCACGAAGAAGCCGCCCACATTGGGGGTCAGGTTTTGGTCGCAATCCACTTTACACTTCAACACCTCCACATAGTGATCTGTACAGAGAGAAGAGGAGAGAGGTCAGCGACACAGCTCAGCCACGGCAGGGCTCCATCACCCAGCCCAGCCCCAACCCAATAGCCCAACCCAACAGCCCAACCCAATAACCCATACCAACCCAATAGCCCAACCCAATAGCCCAACCCAAAAGCCCATACCAATCCAATAGCCCAGCCCAACCCAACAGCCCAGCCCAATAGCCCAACCCAATAGCCCAACCCAACAGCTCAACCCAATAGCCCATACCAATCCAATAGCCCAGCCCAACCCAATAACCCATACCAACCCAATAACCCAACCCAATAGCCCAACCCAAAAGCCCATACCAATCCAATAGCCCAGCCCAACCCAACAGCCCAGCCCAATAGCCCAACCCAATAGCCCAACCCAACAGCTCAACCCAATAGCCCATACCAATCCAATAGCCCAGCCCAACCCAATAGCCCAACCCAATAACCCATACCAACCCAATAACCCAACCCAATAGCCCAACCCAAAAGCCCATACCAATCCAATAGCCCAGCCCAACCCAACAGCCCAGCCCAATAGCCCAACCCAATAGCCCAGCCCATTTCAGCTCTATTCGACCCAAACCAGGGGCACAGTGCTCAACGCAAAACAGCACCATTTACCCCCATTACCAGAGGGCACACTTCCACCCACATGAATCTTCCTCAACCCCCTCCCTCCCCGATGAGAAAGCCAAGCATTTGAGGACAAGAAAGGGCTCTCTGTATCTGACCCATGGGAGTGCTGGATGACCAATGTAGAGGGAGCTGTCACTTCAGGATGAAGATTTAGAGTGGGACTCTCACGGTCTCAGCCCAGCTCCTCTCACTCACCGGCCACCGCTGGGTAAAAGTCCTTGAACTCAGTGACTTCATGCGATGCCTCACAGTTGCCCAGACACTCGTGGTGCACTCGGTAATACTCGGGCAGTGCCTGCTCCATGTCCGAGATACTGCTGCGAAAATCACCGTTGTTATAGGCTTTAACAGCCTTCAGAAAGAGGCCCTAAAAGAGAACAATCTTTAGTCAACCTCAGTGTCTCACCTTAGCTTTATTTACTCTGTCTCTAACCTGTGCTGTAGCTGACCTTGGGGGGGGGGTTAGCCCCATGTGGGGTGGGGGGGGGGGTGGAAGGAGGTTAGCCCTGTGTGGGGAAGGGGGAGGAGGTTGTGTTAGCCCTGTGTGTGGGGAAGGGGGAGAGTAGGGGTGCAGCCCTGTGTGGAAGGAGGAGGGGAGTAGCCCTGTGTGGGGCAGGGGGAGGGGCATTTAGACCTGCATGGGGGAGGGGAAGGGGGGATTAGCCCTGTGTGGGGGCAGACGGAGGGGGACTAGCCCTTTGTGGGGTATGGGGATTTACCCCTGTGTGGGCGCAAGGGAGGGGGAATTAGCCCTGTGTGGGGGAGGGGGGGTTATCTCTCTGTGGGGGCAGGGAGGTGGTTAGCCCTGTGTGGGGGAGGGGGGGTTAACCCTGTGTGGGGGAGGGGGGGTTAACCCTGTGTTGGGTGGGGTTAGCTATGTGTGTGGGAGGCGGGGGGGGGGGTAGCCCTGTGTGGGGGCTGGGGGAGGGGGGGCATTAGCCCTGCGAGTATCTCTCTATAGCCCACGTCTCCTATCTGCCTGGAGCCTGAACGGGCTGTGTGGGGTTTTGACCTCGTGTGGCTGTGATTCCATGTCGATGAGGTAGTTCTCAATGTCAGGGATGGTTTTATAATAACTCATCTTCTTCTGCATGGCCACATCCTTCGGGTTCTTCTGCAGGTAGGTGTGGGCCGCGGCGATCGCCTTCTCTAAGTTATTTGTCTGTGGAAGGAGCAGAGTGAGAGCCCCATCACACCAGCTCTGGCCAGGCTGCACTGCTCGCTCCCTCTCGCTGAACAGATCCATTTCCAGATCCTCCCGCTCGTTTTCAAGTTTCTTCATTCCCTGGCACCTCCCTCCCTCTCCGACCTGCTCACCCCCCCAAACCACAGCCACTGCTCGACCTGCTCTGGCCTCTCATGCCTTCCATTCCGCCATCGGTGGCCGCACATTCAGAGCCCGAAACTCTGGAACAGTCTTCCTCTAGGCTTCCACCTTGCCCCTTCCCTCCCCATCCTCAGGTCGTGCTTGAAGATCTTCCTCTCCGACTATGGTCACCTCCCCCTCCCCCCCGGCTTGGCGTACTGCTCCGGCACTGTCAAGCGTTCTGGGACCCTGAGTGAGGGGTGCTGTGTAAATGCAAGTTGCTTTTCTTGTTGTGAGACAGGCTCACTAACACAGAGCCACAGCCTCGCTACAGATACACAGCACAGCACTGACCACACCTGGAATGCTGTCGATGACCGTGTTTACAGACACTGTGTTATTTTAACAACAACTTATATTTATATTGAGCCTTTCACGTCGGAAGGACGTCCCAAGGTGCTGGATGGTTAAGGGTTTGCGCCCGAGCTGGGGGGTTGGAATCAAGAGGGTACAGAGTAGGGAGGGGGTGGGGGGTGGGGGTGGGAGTGTGGCCAATGGCACGGTCAAAGAGGAAGGGCCTTGAAGGAGGCGAGGAAGGGGGCGAGGTAGAGGGATTTCGGGATCGAGTTCCAGAGAGTGGGACAGAAAATTTAAGGACGATTTTACAATCTCAAATGACCTGACAGAGATAACTGAGCCATTTGGGCTCCTCATTTCCCTGATGTTTCCCACTTTTCAAAGTGACATTAGACCCCGACACAACACACGACAGTAACTGAAGCTGCTGTCGTGAGGGGCTGGTCGGCTTATAAGAAGTCTCATTCGATCAGAGGGTTCAGCCCGAGGTGAGGCAGGGGTCTGCGGACGGATATGTGTCCAAACACAAAGCCTGTTCTGTCTGGGCTCCAGCAAGCACTTCTTTTGGGGAAACAGAACATCATTGATCATCAGACTCAGGGTCAAACCTATATGACTACATCCCTATGTTGATTAGATGTGACCTCTGCACAGTGAGGCCTCATCGTACTGTATAAAAAGCCACTCTGCAGTAACAGAAAGAGGAGCTGTGCGCTCTGGGGGAAGGGGGTACACACATGCTCAGGGCTGGGGGCAATGTTCCGGTATCACTCTGGCATCTCAGAAAACTTTTCACAAAGCCTAACTTCACGCCGTCAGCACAATCTCAGCTTCCGCAGTTCCATCTGTTGGAGTCTTTTATCAACGGATTAGCACTGATTCCTTTAACAGATGATTTCCCCATTCGAGCTCCCAGCAAAAACCCTGGTAACAATTCCAGAACCTTCTCCAGACAATCGCTTCCAGAATGAAAATCCATCACGTAAATAAGAGGAAAGGTTATTTGGGAAACTGTTGTTCGGTATGTGTGTGTGGGTTGGTGTGTGTGTGTATGTTGTGTGTGTGGGTGTGTGTGTGTGTGGGGGTGTGGGTGAGTGTGTATGTTGTGTGTGTGGGTGTGTGTGTGGGGGTGTGTGGGTGGGTGTGTGTGTATGTGGGTGGGTGTATATGTTTGTGTATGTGTGTGGATGGGTATATGTGTGTGTGTGTGTTTGGAGGTGTGTGTGGATGTGTGGGTAGGTGGGTGGGTTGGTGGGTGTGTGTGGGTGTGTGTGCGGGTGTGTGGGTATGTATGGATGGGTGTGTGTGTGGGGGTGGGTGGGTATGTGTATGTGAGTGGGTGTATATGTCTGTGTGTGTGGGTGGGTGGGTAGGTGGGAGGGTGTATGCGTATATGTGTGTGTGTGTGTGGGGGTGAGTGTGTGGCTATATGTAAGGAGTGAATGTGGGAGGGAGTGTGCCTGCACGAGGGCGTGAGAGTGGGTGTGAGGTATGTATGAGAGTGAGGGTGTCCTGTGAGGGCAGAGGGTTTCTGCTGTGATGTGGAATTCCCTGCCAGCGCTCCTGTCTGAGCTCACGCAAGAGGAATGTCTAATGGAGAGGCGCTGAGTTCCCAGCTCCTGTATAGCTTTAGTTGGCACAAATCAAGCCGTTTAGGAGAGGAAAACTGGCCGCAAGTTACTTACAGTATCAGCTGATAACAACAGTAAATTTGCATTGATATAGCACCTTCGCGTCTGGCTCCCCCGGCAGATACAGTATAATTTCAGAGGGTTAAACCGTACTATCAACTAGTGACTCTCCTCTGTGTCGGGGAGGCAATCGGGGTCCTCCTTGAACTGAACCGGCACCAAGGCGACACATTTGGCCACGGAATGTCGGAAGCCAGCCGAGCCCTCTGTGCCGGCCTCTAGTCCCGGTTCCTGAGCCAGGCGGGTCTGCCGTATTCCAGGGCACTCGCTGCTGATGACGACAGGAGCTGGAAGGGCAGACCAGTCACTGGGGGGCTGGGAATCCTCCCACTCAGCTCCTGTTAACTCTGCAAGCCCTAACAGATTGGGGTTAGGCCCGGTGAGGGGCTGCACGGCTGACCCAAAAAATATTAACCAAATTGGTCGTCAAACTCGTGTCCGAGGATATTCACCTGACGCAGAATGTACGAACAGAAGCTGTCACACTGTTTGCACACAGCCCCTTTGAGTGGGGAGGATGGGAAGGGGCGGGCTGAATGGGAGGGGGCTCAGAGAGCGGGGACGTGGCATTTTTTTTTCCTCTTGGCTTTTCGTCCGTCCTCATCAATCTCCTCTGTGGAATGAGTGAGCGCGTCAGGGAGTGTGTGAAAGTGTGTGTCTGAATGAGTGTGTGTGTGTGTGTGGAGAGGAGAGCAACAGAGTAAATCCAGGCTCTCGGCTCAGAGGAACACAAATAGCGATGAATGGATGGCCACTCCCTCCCTCCCTCATACCCTCCCTCATACCCTCCCTCCCTCACTCTCACAGAGAGCGGGTTACCTCATGATCTATCCCCAAACTCAGAGCTGAAATCTTATCTACAAACTACTGAATTACACTGAATTACAGACAGGACGGAGGAAATGTCTCCCAGTCACACACATGCGCACACGCACACACACACACACACACTATCAAAGGGCTTTACGTACGTACACACAGTGCAGTCCAGTCTGTCACTGGATCACTCATCTCACTATCACGTCTAATCTAATCAGATGCCGTGTATGATTGATATCCTCTGTGCAACAGATGCGGATTTTAACACATTCCTGGCCATTCAGGGCGAAACCTTGGGCAAGTTTCCTCACTCCACACAGAGCCTGATAATAATCCCTCCAAAACACAAAACAATAATAAATTGGTCATCTTCAATCTACAACGCTTTGTGGGACATTGCTGTGCGCAATTGGCTGTCGCGTTCGCCCACAAATATACAGTCAATTCACTTTAGTCTATTCTCTGAAGCGCTTTGAGACGTCGAGAAGATGTGAAAAGCGCTGTATCCAATGCCAGGATTATTATTAATAGATCTTTAATATGAAAAATGTCAAACTACCGGTCAACAATGTGTTAAAATCCGCGTCTGTGGCTCACGGGATGTCACTCACTCCGCGAGTGGCAGAGAGACTTTCTGTGGGCACAAAAATCACACCTTCCAATCAAACTCGGGGAGAGTGGGGGGGGGGGGGGCGAGTGGGGGGGGGGAGGGGGGGAGAGTGGTGGGGGGGAGAGTAAGGGGGGGAGTGGGGGGGGGCGAAGGGGGGAGAGGGAGGGGGGGGAGAGGGGGAGAGGGAGAGTGGGGGGGAGAGGGAGAGGGGGTGGGCGAAGGGGGGAGAGTGGGGGGTGGGCGAATGGGGGAGAGTGGGGGGGTGGGCGAAGGGGGGAGTGGGGGGGGTGGGCGAAGGGGGGAGAGTGGGGGGGGGTGGGCGAAGGGGGGAGAGGGAGGGGGGGGAGAGGGGGGAGAGGGAGAGTGGGGGGGGGAGAGGGAGAGGGGGGGTGGGCGAATGGGGGAGAGTGGGGGGGTGGGGCGAAGGGGGGGAGTGGGGGGGTGGGCAAGGGGGAGAGTGGGGGGGGTGGGCGAAGGGGGGAGAGTGGGGGGGGTGGGCGAAGGGGGAGAGGGGGGGGGTGGGCGAAGGGGGGAGAGGGAGAGGGGGGGGTGGGGATGAAGTAAATAAACCCAGAGTGGTATTTAAACGAGGGGGGTGGGGGGGGGGGGAGGAATTATATATATTTGTGGATGAATGACCGGCAAATCTCCGCGCTACTGAGATGGATGATCGGGTTCGGGCAGTGACGGAGTGACCGGGGACCGGGGAGGGACCGGGGAGGTCCCGGGGGGGGGGGGGCCGGGGGGGGGGGGGGGTCCCGGGGGGCGCCTCCGATACCGATTTAAAAGTATGTTGTTTTTTTACCTGGAAATAGCAGTCCTGGAGCAGTCGGTAGGGCAGACGGGTCTGGAAGTCCCGGAGGGTGTCGGTCGGTGCCGGGGTTTGGCTGAACACCGGGAGAGCGGCTTTGCAGCGTCTCAGGCAGACGGCGCGGTGGAGGATGTGCTGGAAAGCGCTCAATTCCTGCAGCTCCGCAAACTCGGGGCCGGGGCCCGGTCCGGGGTCGGTGTGGCTGCAGTTGCGGTTGCAGAACGCCTGACTGTCCCGCAGCAGCCGGTGGAGGCGAAGCGCCCGCTCCAGGTACCTGATGCTCTCCCTCCAGTCCCCGGCGGCGAAGCGCTCCGCAGCGTAGCGGTAAGTGGATTCCAGGGGCATCAGCTCCGCACGGGGGAAACTGCGGAAACTGTACTTCTCGTACTGAGCGGCTGTGAGCAGAGCTGTGGCGAACAGCAACACGCAAAGCCGTATCCCGCACCGCACCGCTCTCTCCATCACTCCGCAAACACACGCAAACCTCAGCCCTGACTGTCCGCACGTACCTCACCCCCGACACACACACACACACACACAGTCCGGGCTGACAGGCACCGGGGGGGGGGGGGGGGGGCGGTTGGATGGATGGACGGAGCTCACAGGAGGTTCCGGAACCAATTCACCGGGTCATAAAGCCCCTTTTCTTCACTCACTCCACCCTCTCCCCACGACCCCCCCCCCCCCGCCCCCTCTCCTCCTCCTCCCCCTCCTCCTCCCCTCTCTCCTCCCCTTCCTCCTCCCCCCCCTCTCACCCTCTCCTCCTCCTCCCCCCCTCCTCCCCCCCTCTACTCCCCCTCCTCCTCCCCCCCCTCTCTCCTCCCCCCCTCTCCTCCTCCTCCCCCCCCCACGATCCTTAAACCAGGCTGGAGTTTGAGGCCACACAAACTAACACAGCTCAGGGCTCAGATCACTGAGCGTTGTTGTAACTATTCCGAAATAAAATAAAGTGAAAAAAACTTTTTGTCTTATGCCCCAAACTTCATCCCAATCCTTACTTAGTGGAGTGATTTCCCTGGAGCTCGGTGGTTAGAGCACGCTCGCTCTGCAAATGAGTGGACCTGGGTTCGATCCCCGGCAGGTTCAGGGCGAAACCTCGGGCACGTTTCCTTACTCCAAACGCCTGATAATAATCCCTCAAGAAAAATAACCAAAATAAATTGGTCACTTCAACTCACGGCTGTTTATGGGGACGCTGCTGTGCGCAATTGGCTGCCGCGTTTCGTCCACAAAATATACAGTCAATTCACTTTACAGTGTGTTGTGTGAAGCGCTTTAAGGTGTCTCAATGCTGTGCTAACGCACTGTATCAAATGCAAGGATTATTATTATTGTTATTATTACTACATTAGCTCCCTGTGTTTCTTTGCCTTTCTCATCCTCTCTGCTGCTTTCAACACTGTCCACCACTCTCTTCCCCTCGATCACCTCTCAGCCGCCTCTGTGAGACTGCACTTTCCTTATTCTAATTCCACTTGACCTACGCTATCACCTTCATGTTTGCCCCTCTAATACCCTTCTCCTCATACAATCCTGTGCATTGTACCTCAGGCCTCTATCCTCGGCCCCTCCTTTTCCTCATCTACAAGCTCCCTCTTGGTGACATCATCTGCAAACACAGGATTTGTTCCCACATGTACACACACGATGCCCAAATCCATCTCTCCACTTCCACCCTTGATTCTTCGCCCATTGATGTTCTGATGCCTATAATGTCCTGGATTAGCCTCAACTTTCTTCAACTCAATGAGGGCCAACTATTAGATTTACAAATATTTACAAAGACTGTACAGCCCGAACACAGGTCACTCGGCCCAGCCAGTCCGTGCCCGTGTTTATATTCCACCCACTCCTCACTCCCTCCCACACCCTTCTTCTATTCTCCCTCATGTAAAGGTCTAGCCTCCATCTTGAATGTATCTACACTATCTGATTCAACCGCTGCTTCAAGCAGCGACTTCCACAATCTCACCACCTTCTGCGTGAAGTAGTTCTCCTTCTAAGTTCTCTTTTAAATCCCCTAGTCGCTAACTTATACTTGATGTCCCCTCATTACAGGCTCCTCAACCAATGGAAACAGCCTTTTTCTAGTCTCCTCAGCCCATTTTTTTGCCCAGAGAATTATTATGGTCTGGAATGCACTGCCTGAAAGGGTCATTCGATAGCAGCTTTCAAAAGGGAATTGGATAGGTACTTAAAAAGTAAAAATTTGCAGGGCTATGGGGTAAGAGTGGAGGAGTGGGTCTAATTGGTAGCTCTTTCAAAGAGCCAGCACAGGCACGATGGGCCGAATGGCCTCCTTCTGTGCTGTAAGGTTTTTTACATTTACATTTGACAATCTGTGTCTGCACCAACAGCCTCTATTCCTCTCCTACTTGAGCATTGTACCATTTAGTTTAAATAGCTTGTTTTCCCTCAAAGTGCATTGCTACCTATTTATCTGCAATGACCTAAGCTACAGACAAACAGAAGCTGCCTTTTAAGAGAAAAGGCAGGCAGGTGCTGATGTATCAGACTCGTGCTGGGCTGCTAGTGTCTTCTCAGATTAACATTCCACCAGTGAAGTGACTTTGAAGATAATTCTTCTGCGCAGAATTATTTTATCTGTATACGTGTCAGTTTGGTTCAGTTAGTAGCACTCTCGCTTCTCAGTCAGGATACTGTAGGCCTCAGGCCCCACTTTGGGATTTGAAGGCGAGGCTGACACCCCCATGCGATCGTGGGGGAGGGCTGAATTGTCAGAGGAGCTGTCCTTTTTTTTTGGGGGGGGGGGGGCAGGTGGCTGGGGGTCAGCCGAGGTGTCTGACACACACAGGGAAACCCATCACCATGCTTAAGAGTATCCAAACCAAACTGGGAATACTATTCATCCCACCTACACCTGGAAATCACAGAGATAGATTGTTGGAATGGGATGCACTCTCTCTCTCTCCCTGGAGGTGAGTATCCTGGTGTTAGGTATAGGTTGGCAAGAGCTAAGGCTTGGGGACCTCAGAGTGTGCGTTGGGGTAACTGCTGGAGTCTAACCAGCCGTCCTTCAGATGAAAAGACAATTTGCTCATTGAGATTATGTTAGACTTGAAAAGAGGGAGTTTCTGGCCAGATACATTAGTCATTCACTTCATGACTGTTTATGGTTGTGGGACATTCCTCTGAGCAAGCCAACAAATGACACAGTCACTTCATCTGACAGCGAGTAATAATAAAAATAGTAATTCTTGCAATTTGATACTAGTGGCTTTCATGTCAGGAGGATAATAATAATAATCCTTGCATTTGATATAGTGCCTTATCACATCTGTTAGATAATAATAATAATATAATAATAATCCTTGCATTTGATATAGTGCTTTTCACGTCGGGAGGACATCCCAAAGCGCTTCAAAGAACACACTGTAAAGTGAATTGACTGTATATTTGTGGGCGAACGCGGCAGCCAATTGCGCACAGCAATGTCCCACAAACAGTCGTGGATTGAAGTGACCAATTTATTATTTTTTTCTTGAGGGATTATTATCAGGAGTGTGGATTAAGGAAATTTGCCCAAGGTTTCACCTTTGCCGGGCATCAAACCCAGGTCTCTCGCTTGAGAGGCGAGTGCTCTAACCACCGAGCTACAGGGACTCCACAAATATTCTAAGGAATTCTAAAATAGGCACAAAAAAGAGATCTTTTCTCTATCCCAAAAGTCGATGGATTCACCTCTGATAATTCAGCACTCACTGGACATTTCACTGGACTGTCAGTCTGGACTATTAATCTCAAGACCCAATATTGGGCTTTGAGCTCACAACCTTCTAACCCAGAAGTGAGGGAAGATGTCTCAAAGCATTTCACAGATTTCACTATAAAGTGTAGTGACTGTTTTTTTGTAGTTGAATGGAGCACCTTCCCCCTCCCCATCACCCCCTGGAGCCCCAATGTGAAAACCTCTACTGTGTAAATATAAATTTGCATTTGCATATACTTTGTGAAGTGTAGTGACTGTGCATTGTGTAGGTTATTGGAAGACCAGTAGGATGGGCATTCCGGAAAAAGTCAGAGAAAACCGTTTTCTTCAGTCGGATCTCTTGTAACCTTGTGAAGAGATGTGTGATGGTGGTGGGGGTGTGTGATGGTGGTGGGGGTTGGTCCCTGATAATAAATTAAAATGAATAAAAGCCGTGGCCCCTCCGGAGCGGAGTCCCTCTCTCTCACGGTCAGAGTCGGGTGGGGTTGGAGTTCGCTGCGTGTCCGGACCTAATAACCGCATCAAGTCAGATTTTATTTTCTTTGAAAAAAGGACCCTTTCTGCCCTCCCCACACTGCCCCCCCCCCCCCCCCCAGATAGAGGTCCCCACATACTGGGCTGAAGCTGTTCCCCCGATTTCCAATGGGCATCACTTTGCCAACAATCTCCTGATACTGTCATCAGGGCCGAGATCAGTGAGAGCCGAGCGGCCGGACACCGACCCGGTAGGGCTGGGGCAGGGCAGAGGGCAGGGGCTGGGGTAGGGCAGGGGCTGGGGTAGGGCAGGGGCTGGGGTAGGGCTGGGGCAGGGGCAAGGGTAGGGCTGGGGCAGGGCAGGGGCAAGGGTAGAGCTGGGGCAGGGGTAGGGCAGGGGTAGGGCAGGGCAGGGCAGGGGTAGGGCAGGGGCTGGGGCAGGGCAGGGCTGGGGTAGGGTAGGGCAGGGGCTGGGGTAGGGCAGGGGCAGGGGCTGGGGAGGGCTGGGGCAGGGCAGGGGCAAGGGTAGGGCAGGGCAGGGGCAGGGCAGGGGTAGGGCAGGGTAGGGCAGGGGCTGGGGGAGGGCAGGGGTAGGGCAGGGCCTGGGGCAGGGCAGGGGTTGTGCAGGGGGGGGGCAGGGGCTGGGGCAGGGCAGGGGTTGTGCAGGGGGGCAGGGGCTGGGGCAGGGCAGGGGTAGGGCAGGGCAGGGGGAGGGCAGGGGTAGGGCAGGGGCTGGGGCAGGGCAGGGCTGGGGCAGGGCAGGGGCTGGGGGAGGGCAGGGGTAGGGCAGGGCCTGGGGTTGGGGCTGTAGCTGAGATGGCGAGCGATCCATGGACACCTATATCCATGGACAGCTGTATTCCTGCCTCCAGTCGGGAAAGACCGCGTTACACGTTTACAACATTCCTGAGAGGGGGTTAAAAAAACCACCGAGTGGAGGGGGAGGGGAGGGGGCGGGAGGGGGAGGGGGCACTGTCAGTCTGTTTGGGCAATGAATGGGCTCTGTTGTTGGATGAGGTTTGTGGGGATCGCGGGGCCGTCATTGGGAGGTCGGGGCAACACTGTCACCTTCACGCGGGAAGTTACAGCGACTTTGTAACGATCGCTTTGTCCCTTTAAGTTACTTTGTAACGATTTCCGGTCGACTTCAGTCCTTTTGTAACCATTTTCTTGTGTTTTTTTATTTATCGGTTACTTTGTAGTCCTCTCGCGGTGACCACTCTGTAGCTGTTCATTTCCAGCTCCGCGATCGACCTCTCTGCAGTGTGGAGATGTACCGTTGCCGCCCGGTGCCCTCCCCGGTGCCCTCCCCGGTGCCCCGCCCGGTGCCCCGCCTGGCTGCCCTGCTCGCTGCCCTGCTCGCTGCCTCGCTCTGCCAGGCCGGGCCCGATGTCTTAATTGACAGATACTCGGTCCCCACCGACTGTCCGCGGGAAGTGCAAACCGGAGACTTCATCCGCTATCACTATAACGGCAGTTTGGAGGATGGAAAGACCTTCGACTCCAGGTCAGTGAACAAAGGGGGGGACCCGGGGGGTGGGGGGACCGGTGGGGGGAGCCGGTGTGGGGGGGAGGGAGCCCGGGTTGGGGGGGAGGGAGCCCAGGGTGGGCTGGTGAGGGAGCCCCGGGTGGGCTGGTGAGGGAGCCCGGGGTGGGGGGAGGGAGCCCGGGGTGGGGGGGAGGGAGCCCGGGGTGGGGGGGGAGGGAGCCCGGGGTGGGGGTGGGGGTGGTGAGGGAGCCCGGGGTGGGGTGGGGGGTGAGGGAGGGTGGGGTTGTGAGGGAGGGTGGGGGTGTGAGGGAGCCCGGGGTGGGGGGGGGGGGGGTGAGGGAGCCCGGGGTGGGGGGGGGGGGGTGAGGGAGCCCGGGGTGGGGGGGGGTTGAGGGAGCCCGGGGTGGGGGGAGGGGTTGGGGGAGCCCGGGGTGGGATGGGGGGTGGGGGGGTGAGGGAGCCCGGGGTGGGGGAGGGTGGGGGGATGAGGGAGCCCGGGGTGGGGGGGGTTGAGGGAGCCCGGGGTGGGGGGGGGGGGGTGTGAGGGAGCCCGGGGTGGGGTGGGGGATGAGGGAGCCCGGGGTGGGGGGGGGGGTGAGGGAGCCCGGGGTGGGGGGGGGGGGGGTGAGGGAGCCCGTGGTGGGGGAGGGTGGGGTGTGAGGGAGCCCGGGGTGGGGGTGGGGGGGGGGGCTGGGAGCAGAAATCATCAACGATATTTAAGTGTAAATGAATTAAAAGTCATCTTTCAAAGTGCGCGGTGTACAGAGTGTACGATCTGCATTGATATCAGGTGTAGGTTTCGGATCCTCTATATTGAGGTGAAGTTACCCTCTGGAGATCGCCTGCGGATCGGGGCTGTAATTCGCGTCTTTCGCTATTCCTGGGTTTCTCTCGTTGACGTTTGTCGGGAGTTTGGGCCGTAATCTGCAGATTAGAAATTTTCCGAGGAATCGAGTTCAGCGGATTGTGTGTTTAACTCCCGTAGGGATCTCATAATAAATATTCATCTTTGCACTCGATATCACACCTCATCGCGTCTTCGAGACGTCTCAAAGCGCTTCATTCACAGAATGTACTGTTGAGTGAATTGACTATATTTTGTGCACGAAACGTTATTAAACAGCGTTAAACCCCGAGTCTTACACTCTTAAACAAAGTGCAATTTGGAAATAATCGCGGGCGGACAGACTTGAGATATCAATCCCCCCCCCCCGGGACTGTGGAGGGGATGTACCCCCCACTGTGTGAGCGAGAGTGTGGGGGGAATAAAAGTAAGGCATCGCATCTCAGTTTACAATCTGCAGAACCTTCTGTTTCGACACAATACAACTCAACTTTCATTGACATAGCGCCCTCCATGCGGAGCAGCTTCTCAATGCGCTTATTAATGCGGTGTTTAAATGTGCTTCTCCCCCCCCCCACTCCCCCCCCCCCCCCCCCCACTCCCGCCCCCCCCCCCCCCCCTCCCTCCCGGCCCCTCACCATTCTCCCTTTGCAAATGGGAAGTTTGGAAAGAGAACTTCCTGTTCACTGCCACATCAGCATCTCTTGAAAAAAAAGCCCAAATTGCCAGTGCCCCCTCCCCTCCCTTTCCCAAACCAGATGTGCTGCTTGCAGGGGGGGGGGGGAGGGGGGAATCGAGGCCAAGAGAGTGAGTGTGCAGCGAAAATCCCGCTTCTGTCCGCATACTTTAAAACCCATTAGTTTGGGCAAAAACAAATTATTTGCTTTATCTTTAGCCTCAGTCTTCCCATTGGCTCCGGCCCAACTTGTGATCCTTTCCCAGACTGACTTAGCTGTGGATGTTTAACAGTTTTTTTTAAAAAATAAAAAATAATTCTGCGGCTTTATATTCAAATTCTGATATAGTTTACTGTTAAAATGAGCGCAGAGTTAGGCCATTCAGCCCAGCAAGTCTGTGCTGGTGTTTTCTTTCAAGGCGAACTAATCTCATCCCTCTCTCCTGCTCTCTCCCCGCACCTTTTTTTATTGTTAAATATATTACTTGCTGTTGTAGCAGAATCGGATCATTGAGACGTCTCCAAGCACTTCACCGAATATAATGTAAAGTGGATTGACTGTGTGTTTTTTGGTAAAAACACAGCAGACAATTGTGCACAGCAACTTCCCAGAAACAGTGGGGGATTCAGTGACGATTTTCTTTAAGGGATTATCATCCCCAGAGGGTGGATGGCTGAAAGCACGATCAAGAGGAAAGTCCTGAGATGGGCTTTGAAGGAGGCAAGGGACGGGCTGGGCAGAGGAATTCCGGGATGGCGTTCCAGAGAATCCACATTGGCTTTTAAAGGGGAACCAGATCGATAATAATAATCCTTGCATTTGATACAGCGCCTTTTCGCATCTTTGAGACGTCTCAAAGCGCTTCACAGAACATAATGTAAAGTGAATTGACTGTAACTTTTGTGGGCGAAACGGGCAGCCAGTTGCACACAGCAGCGTCCCCACATACAGTCGTGGATTGAGTGATCAATTTATTATTATTTTGTAGAAATGATTACCCCCGGAAAAGCGATCCCCAACTAATGACCGGGTTCCTACTTACTGCTAGGTAAACAGAGGCGTGTGGAGTAAAGAAGTTTGTCCAACATTACGCCCTCCCGGGAATCAAACCCAGGTCTCTCAGTTGCAAGGCAAGTGCTCTAACCATTGAGCTACAGGACTCAACCTTAAAAAAAACCTTAAAAGGAGTGAGCGACAGGGATATGGGGAAAGGGCAGGTGAATGAGACTGAAAGGATTGCACTTAAAGGAGCAGGCACAAGAATGGCCTTCTGTGCTGTAAGTTTCTACGGTTCGAAGACATCTGTTGCACTCTGAGATGTGTTTTCTCCTTCTCTCAAGCTACGACCGAGGCAGCACCTACAATGTGCTGGTGGGGAAGGGGCGGCTGATCCCAGGGATGGACAAGGGCCTCCTGGGCATGTGTGTGGGTGAGAGACGGCGAATTGTCATCCCCTCTCAGATGGCCTACGGCATCAAGGGAGTTGGTAAGAGCGTAAGAACTTGCTAAGCGAGAAAAGACCAAGGTCCATCTAGTTCGTCTTCCACCAGTTGCTTGGCATGTCGGGTCCCAAACTTTATACCGTATCCCGAGATATTATTTTTCAGCAGAAATCTAATTTGTTCTTGAAACAAACAACACTTTCTGGTTCCACTGTCTCCCTGGGCTGCACAGAGCAGGAGACCTGCTTACTCCCCACTCCACTTCCTAGCTCACTTTGGCATCCAAGCCAACAAGCCTGAATTGAAGATTTTTTCAAACTCCTGCATGTTTCAGCACCTTCCACCCAGGTCGAGGTTTACACCATTTAGCGTTTCAGCATTTTCAGAATTTGGCAATTTTTTGAAACGTTCACTTCAACTGTGAAGCCCGTTTTCTCTCAGCTCTTTTACAGTCAGTGAGCTCCAAAGCTAAGACTGAATTCAACATGTTACATAAATAGGAGTCAGTCTTGCCCCCGGGGGGGAAATCTCCCGGCTGGTTCTGGAGGCTAAGATCAAGCACTAGTGCTTCTTGGTCTGAGATGCATTGGTGGAGGCAACATGTTGGATATGTTGAAAGCAGAGACCTGGGTCCAGTGAGTCTACGTGGACAACCTTCACGTTAATCTTTCCATGCCTGGCTCCATTGAAGTCTTAATTCAAACCGTACAGCTTTAACCACTGTAAGGGTTCCCTCTGGCAAGCAAACATTGCCAGATGCTCATAAAACCACAGCACATGATTTCCTCACAAACTAGCGTTAGATTAGAAGATCAGCCATGATTGAATGGCGGGGCAGGCTTGAAGGGCCAAATGGCCTACTCCTGCTCCTACATGTTATGTTAACTCCTGCATATTTAACCCTTGCTCTGCCTAACTCTTAACCCTTTATTATATCCTTCCCCAGCTGACATCATCCCACCCAACTCCACCCTGTACTTTGATGTGGTTTTGCACGATGTCTGGAACGCCGATGACAAAGTGCAGAGCAAGACCGTGTTCCGACCTGAGCCGTGCAGCCGAGTGGTGCAGAACACCGACTATGTCCGATACCATTACAACGGCACCTTGCTTAATGGGACCCTCTTCGACTCCAGGTAAGGGGGCAACTAGGACAGGAGAGAAACCATTGCATTGCCTACAGCCAGGTGAACCAACTGACATCCAGCCCACGGGCCGATTTCATCTGGTCCTCCCACCCCCATTTCATCTGCTTCCCCCCCATTTCATCTGGCCCACCCACTCCCCCCATAACCCGTTTCTGGAAGGGAAGCATAAAAATATTGCTTAGTGGCTCACGGATGTTTCCCAAATAGGCCATCCGGCCCTCAGCAGCCAAAAGGTTGGAAACCCCTGATCTATAGCAACTAGACTGAGATCTGGAATCAGGCACCTGAGTGTGGTTCAGTTGAACCGGCATGTTACCTGGCTACTAGATTATCATCCCCTCCCCCAACCTCGCCCCCCCTTCCCCCCAGGAGAGTAATGTTCCTCACACTGTCTTGTTCTCACTCTGTCACAGTCACAATAGGATGAAGACCTATGACACCTATGTGGGGATGAGTTTGCTGATCAAAGGAATGGATGAAGGTCTCCTCAGCATGTGTGTAGGAGAGAGGAGAGTCATCACCATTCCCCCATTTCTGGCCTACGGGGAAGGTGGATACGGTAAGTTATAATAATAATAATGATCCTTGCATTTCATACAGAGCCTCATCACATCTTTGAGACGTCTCAAAGCGCTTCACAGAGTTTACTGTAAAGTGAATTTTGTGGGCGAAATGCAGCAGCCAATTGTGCACAGCAGTGTCTCATGAACAGTCGTGGATTGAGTGACTAAATTATTATAAAAAGAGGTTTTGAGAGATTATTACCCTCGGAAAAGTGATCTGTCAATCGATCCTACTTAATGCTAGGTAAACACAGGCGTGTCGCGTAAGGAAACTTGCCTGAGGTTTCGTCCTGCCCGGACATTGAATCCAGGTCCTCTCACTTGCGAGGCGAATGCTCTAATCAATACGTTACAGGGCTGCACAAGTTAAACCCTGATATCCTGCATATTTTCCACCCACAGCTTATGCCCTCACCCCAGTCTATTCATGTTAAGCGAGAGTCAAGGTATTCCACCTTTGGCTGGTGGTGGGGGACACAGAATACAAACCTGATGTTCACATGTCTCCCAACAGAGGGGGGTACTGAATAATAATAATAATCCTTGCATTTGATACAGCACTTTATCACAACTTCGAGACGTCTCAAAGCGCTTCACAGAGTGCACTGTAAAGTGAATTGACTGTATATTTTGTGGGTGAATAGTGATGTGAAGTGGGAACCCTGGCTGATTTCTGGCTCTCCATAGGGAACCAAGGCCAATTGGAGCCCCAAACCACCGTCCCGCCTGAGATCAGTTAGCTCAGGGCAGAGTGCGAATCGAAGGGCTGAGATTTCTGATCTGTCAGACTTCGTTCCACACTGGGAATCCCGTTCACATTTTTGGAAGCCTTACCATTTAACTTCCTGTAAACTTCCTGCCTCAGTCCATCCCATCTCTTTCCCTACAACCCCACACAAATTGGATTGTGAGAGTCGTCAGGTGCAGAGTTGGGGTGGATTGGGGTGGAGGAGGTGGCAATGAGCGAGGGGAGATCTTGAGGGTTGTGCTCCCCAAGAACTCCTTCTTGGGGAGGAGGTAAGCGAGGGCTCCTTGTAGCTGAGTTGATTCCTAGTCCTCGTCATCGGAATGTTGGAATCAAGCCAGCTCTCTGTGGCGGTCTCTAGTCTGGTTCCAGAGCCAAGTGGATCTGCTGGATTCTGGGGCACTGCCAATGGCAGCCTGGCTTATGGTAAGATTTGGAATGACAGACCAGTCACTGGGGGCAGGATTCTTCCTGATCCACTCCTGTTATCCGTGAAGCCAAAGCCCTAACGAGTAAGCTGGTCCCAGCTATTTGAGCAGCAGGAAGGCAATGCTTTCAATGGTAAGCTATGGGAGGGGGCTTGATTTTGGCCAACCTGCACCTAATACTCTCTAGAAATGGGTAAGCAGGCTGTGTCTCTTCATGGAGAGAGTGTGCATTCATTCCAGAAGCAAGGAAATGTTCATGTGTGGGTGGTATACATTGATCAGTTTCCATACGTGTCAGAAATGCAGCTGATCAAACTGCCCTCCCCTCCCCATTTGGGGCTGAAACTTGAAAAGGGGAAAAAAAGTTTTGTTAATGGTTTTGTTGGTGGTGTGTTCACTGTTAGGCATGTCTGTTTATTTCCCGATGTTTCCCATTGCGTTCCTGCAGGCACGGAGATCCCCCCACAGGCCAGTCTGGTCTTCCACACCCTGCTGGTGGACCTCCATAACCCGTCTGATACCGTATCCATCCAGAACCAGAAGGTGCCAGAGTCCTGCAGCCGTAAGACGGTAACTGGGGACTTCCTCCGCTATCATTACAACGGCAGCTTCTTAGACGGCACCTTCTTTGACTCCAGGTCAGGCTTCAAACCAAATCCAGAAACAGTTATAATAATAATGCTTGCATTTGATATAGCGCCTTATCACGTCTTCTAGACATCTCAAAGCGCTTTACAGAATATACTGTAAAGTTAACTGACTGTATATTCTGTGAGGAAACACAACAGCCAATTGCGTACAGAAGAGTCCCACGAACGGTCGTGGCTTGAGTGACCAAATTATTATTATTTTTAAGAAATTATTACCCCGGAAAAGCAATCCGTCAATCGATTAATGATCGGGTTCCTATTTACCGCTAGGTAAACAGAGATGTCTGGAGTAGAGAAACTTGCCCAACGTTTCGCCTGCCTGAGAATCAAACCCAGATCCTCTCGCTTGGAGGCGAGTGCTCTAACCACTAAGGTACAGGACTCCAGTTACTCAGTAAAAATCCCTGCAGTTTACCAGAGGCTTTGCTCACCCACAGCGGCCACTGGGAGATCGCGCATTCCATTCCAACAACCTATCTCCAGAATTCCAACGGCAGACGGAATACATGGAATTCTCGGTTTGGTTTGGATACGATTAGGCATGGTGATGGGTTTCTGCATGTATCAGACACCCAGGGGCTGACCAAAACGTGAAGGGTTCAGCTCAACGTGAGCGTCGGTCTGAGTCTGGGATTGAAGGTAATGATTTAGCAGCATATCACTGACCTGCTGTTGCCTGGGAGCCAGGAGGAGCTGAGAGGAGGGCGATGGTGGAGGGCGACTGAAGGCACACTCGAAGAGGAAGGTCTTGAGACTGGCCTTGGAGGAGGCAAGGTAGGGGCAAGGCGGAGGGACTCTTGGAGGGAGATCCAGAGGGTGCGGGCAGGGAAAGCTGAAGACCCGACCCCCAGTGGTGAGCTGACATTCCACATCCAGGCTTCCCTGGAATCGAGAGTGAAGCACTCTCCCAGGTTGTCCTGCTGCTGTTCTCACACCTGCCATCAGGAGACATAGAGACACAAAACATAGAATACTGCAGATGCTGTAAATCTGAAACAAAAACAGAAGTGGCTGTTGGAACACTCCTCAGGCCAGGCAGCACCTATGGAGAAAGGAAAGTGAGACAACGTTTCGGGTCCACGACCCTTCGTCAGGACTGGGGCATGTTTGGGAGGGAGAGGCTTTTAAGGGCTAACAGAGAGAGGGGGGGAGGCAGGGCAAGGAAGACAAAGGAGAAAATGGGGTAGAAGACGGGGGTTGATGGGTTAAATAGGTGTTAATAATGCAAAGCAAAGAGGGGAAATATGGCAACAAAATAGGCCGACCAGAGAGAGAAAAGGTTTGCCTGGGACCCAGATGATGTGGTGATGGTCACAGAAGAGGGGGAGGGGAAAGGTGAGCTGTTATGGTTTGAAATTGTTGAAATCAATATTGAGGCCACAGGGCTGTAAGATCTCGAGCAGATAAATGAGGTGCTGTTTCTCGAGTTTGCGCTGTGGCTTCATTGGAACAGCGTAGGAGACCGTGGATGGAGAGGTCAGCGTGCGAATGGGAGGGAGAGTTGAAGTGGCAAGAAACAGGAAGCTCAGGGTTGTGCTTGTGGAAAGAGCGGAGGTGATCGGCAAATCGATCACCCAATCTGCGTTTGGTCTCCCCAGTGTAGAGGAGACCACATTGTGAGCAGCGGATGCAGTAAACTACATCGGTGGCAGTACATGTAAATCACTGTCTCACTTGAAAACTGTCTTTGGGGCCCTGGACACTGGTCTGGGAGGAGGTGAAAGGGCAGGTATTGCATCTCCTGAGCTGGCATGGGAAGGTGCTGGGGTGGGGGGTGGAGGGAGGAGAGCAACTGTTGGTGGCGATGGAGGAATGAACCAGGGAGTCATGGAGGGAACAGTCCCTTCAGAATAATGAGAGGGGAGAAAAGGGAAGGATATGTTTAGTGGTTGGATCATGCTGGAGGTGCCAGAAATGCCAGAGAATTATTTGTTGGATGTTGAGGCTGGTGGGGTAGAAGGTGAGGACTAGTGGGACCCTATCACAGTTCTGAGAAGAGGGGGAAGGGGTGCAGGCAGAGGTGCAGGAAATAGGGTGGATACGATCAAGGGCCCTGTCCACTACAGTGGATGGGAATCCTTGGTCGAGGAAAAAGGAAGACATTTCAGCTGCGCTGGTGTGAAAGGTGGCATCGTCAGAGCAGATGTGGTGGAGGCGGAGGAACTGGGAAAAGGGAATGGAGTCTTTACAGGAGGTGGGATGGGAGGAGATGTAGTCCTGGTAACTGTAGGAGTTTTTGGACTTGTAAAAGATATCTGTTGATATTCTATGCCCCGAGATGGAATCGTGGAAGCACAACAACAGTTGTTGATACATTGACGACTGTGTTAGGGCTGATTCCTGCTCTTGCAGTGCGCTGGAAAAATTCACCAATTTTGCTTCCACCTCCCACCCCTTCATAACATTCACATAGTCCATCTCCATCTCTTCCGCCTACACCACCTCTGCTCTGACAATGTCACCTTTCACACCAGAGCAGCTGAAATATCTTACATTTTCCTCGCCCGAGGATTCCCATCCTTAAAGCCCTTAAAAGCCTCTCCCTCCCAACATGCCCCAGTTCTGACGAAGGGTCGTGGACCCGAAACGTTGACTCACTTTCCTTTCTCCGTAGATGCTGCCTGACCTGCGGAGTGTTCTCACAGCCACTTCTGTTTGTGTTTTAGGAGACATAGTGGGTCTGCTGAGGTAGTAAAACCTCATCTCAACACCATCCCCCCATCCTCCACCCTCAGAATCCACAGGGTAATGGAGGGGTAGCCCTACAGGTTACTTTGATACTGATGAGGAGCACAACGAGACTGGTTTAGACTGACCCCAGATATTGCCTGTCTGACCCCTCGCTCCGCAGTGCGGCACTTCCCCTGGTTGCCATCCTGTTTTGCAGCTCATTATAGCATTAATCCTCCCTCCCTCCCTGTGGAGCACCTGGTAACCAGTAACATTCTTCAACTTAATTTAAGTTCGAATTCAAACGTCACACAGATATTTAAATCATTTCATTCCAATAAGCAGGAAAGCTTGCAAGACAGTGGTATCCATGGCAAGCAAGCTATTCAGGTTTAGTTGGTGAAACTCCAGCAGTTACCCCCAACTCACACTCTGCGGTCCCCCAAACCTTGACTCTCGCGAACCTCTTAAGCGCGGTGATGGGTCTCGGCATGTGCCAGATACCCGGCGGGTGGGGTCCTGGGGCAAGAGATCGTGACCATCCAGTCGGCCGGGTGCTTCCAACACAGCATTGTCTGTCAGTAGTGGGTGTAAACGCTAAGTGTGTCAGAACGGTCTCTGGGTGGAGCGGGGGAAAGAGGTTTTTTTTACGTTTGATACCTTAACAACATAATTACTGCAAGTGTAGTGACTGTTTTTTTGTAGGCAAACGCAACAGCTGTTTGCGCCCAGCACAAACAGCCATGGAAGTGAGTGACCGGTTTTATATCTGGAGGATTGTCGAGTAGTGCCGCGGGGAATCTATAACGCCCACCTGAGCAGGCAGAAGGGACCTTGGTTTAAACGTCTCATCCAAAGGACAGCGCCTCCCGACAGTGCAGCCACCCCCCACCCACCCCCTTCCCAGAGTGTAGGGGGGCTCCTGGCTTCAGACCTCGTGCTGCGGGGGGGCGGAGGGAGGGAGGCTGAAAAGCAGACTTGAAGAACTCAGAGCTCAGACTTTTCTGCTCGAAGGAGCCACAGGTGAGGGGGCTAATCACCACCAGCATCACCACCACCAACAACAACAACAAAATTACATTTGTAAACCAGAGCCCAAGTGGTCAAAACGGTGGCTTTGCTTTCACTGCTTCAAATTCCAAATGATCAAAGCACTTTTTTGTTTCTTAAAAAAATAACTCCACAATCTCGCCCCTCTGGCTGATTTCTCTCTGCCTCCTGTTCTGTTTGTCACTGTCACTAACTCCACATTCCCCCGAGGATCGAGTTTAAGGTCCTTGTCCTCGCTTTTAAAGCTCTCCATGCTCCCTGCTCCACCCTTCCTCTGCCAACTGCTAAAACCTGACCCACCTGTCCGCTCCCTCCGCTCGATGGGCACTGGCTGCTCCGTGTGCCCTGCCCGCCCCACCATTGGCATTTGGGCAACCCTCAGCTTTTCTGCCCCATCCTCTGGAACTCCATCCCTGAATCACTCCACCTCGCCCCCTCCCACATCTCCTTCAAGGCCCGTTTCAAAGTTTTCCTCTTTGGCCACCCTCTGACCTCCTTACCCTTACCACCCCTCTTGGTACCAATCCCCAACTCGGGTGCAAACCCTTGAGTGTCCAGGGCCTTCTGACGTGAAAGGCGCTGTATAAATGTAATGTTGTTGTTAATTGTAACTAATCCATTGATCTCTTGTGAATGAATCCAGCCCAAACAGAAAGGACGCTGTACATCTGCACCAACAGCTGGCAAGATGCAAAGAGAAAGGCATTTCCATTGGCAAAGGCAATTGCCTTCGGCCACCGTCCCACCCCCTTGTCCTCCACTCCTCCTGATTCCAACCATTAGCTTAAGTACAAACCCTTGACTATCCAGCACCTTGGGATGTCAAAGGTGCTGTATTAATGCAGTTTGTTGTTTTGAGTGGTGTGCAGACCGAGCTGTGGCCTGTGCTCACACGTTGGTGCCGAGAGGGAGCGGAGGCTGAGAGGGCAGCATGTCTGGCTCTGCCCAAAGACACTGGGAGACATTCCATTCCTAACCCGTGTCTTGGATGTTTCAGGCCCGTGGGCATTGAGCAGCTTTGGAATGGAATGCAGCACAGTGAGCTGTAGAGAGTGTGCGCGGACAGGAGCCCACAGCAAACCCAGTAAGTTATTACAGTCTGGAATGCACGGCCTGAAAGGCTGGTGGAAGCAAATTTCAATAATAACTTTCAAAAGGGAATTGGATAGGTAGTTGAAGAGGAAAAATTTGCAAAGATATGGGAAAAGAGCAGGGGAGTGGGACTGATTGGGTAGCTCTTCCAAAGAGCCAGCGCAGGCACAATCTTCTGTACTATATTCTGACTATAGCTGTCATATTCTATGATTCTACGAATAAACAACCACAGTTTCTCTTTTTATATATAAAAATGATCTCAACAGACACTCAGCCCTGTTAATCCTGGAGGATGAGCAATGTCATTGGAGCCAGGAATGAGAGGAATGCACCATAGAGACAGGAGGAAGCTAGTCAGCCCATTCAGTCCTGTTACTTCTCTCACACTTTTGGTTTGGTCGAGCTTTTAACCCTTTGATACCAAATGCCCCTCAGCCCCTCCTGACATTCAGACACTTTTTCACACTGAAACGTCTCCTCGAGAAATGGATTGGTTTAGAAGCCGTAAAGTTAAGCTTCACAGAGCAACGGCCGAGCTCCTGGCTGGCACTGCCTGTGAGGGGATGTGTTTGGTGGAACATTCCGAGGACCGGGAAGCAACGCTGAATGTTACAAAAACATTCCAGGGCTTTGTGGCAGCATGTTTGCCTGTCTGTGTCTGGGGGGAGGGAGTGGTCAGAGGTCAAACACAAGATAATCTGCTGAGCAGTCAGAGCAGTGGGTGATTGTTTGCATATTTTGTTCTTTGTCAGTTTCCTCCCTTCATTTAGGAGACATCTGGAAGGTAGTGACATGATTTCTACAGCTTGGAATCAGGAGGGGTGGAGGGCAAAGGGGTGGGGGTAGGAGGATGTCCGAAGGCATTTGAATTTGCCAATGGAAATATCTTTCACTTTACATCCTGCCAGCTGTTAGTGCAGACATACATCATCATCATCATAATAATAATCCTTGCATTTGATACAGCGCCTCATCACGTCTTCAAGACGTCTCAAAGCGCCTCACAGGACTACACTGTAAAGTGAATTGACTGTATATTTTGTGGGCGAAATGCGGCAGCCAATTGTGCACATCATCCTTTCAGTAGTGCACAGCCTGGCACTGGGTTAGAGGCAACTGAAGATCTTCCTCTTTGACCATGCCTATGGTCACCCACCCCTCTCCCCAGTTTGTCATTAAGCTCCATCACTATCAAGCATTCCGAGACACTGCTGTGTGAAGGGTGCTATTTGAATGTAAGTAGTAGTAGTCGTTGTTACCACCAGCTCGGTGATCCACTTTGTCTTTATAAAACACTTGGAGACATTATCTGATATGAACGTTGTTGGCTCTGCGTGAGGGGTGTTATATAAATGCAAGTTGCTGTTGCTCTACTTTCGTTTCTAATGTTGTCCTTTCTCTCCCAGTTACTCTCGGAATCACACTTACAACACCTACATCGGGATGGGCTACGTCATCAGTGGGATAGACCAGGGTTTGATCGGAGTGTGCATGGGAGAGAGACGGAGAGTTGTCATCCCCCCACATTTGGGTTATGGAGAGAACGGTGTGGGTAAGGAAGCAGCTGCACTCCACCAAAGGTCTTGGTGATCAGGTGGGAAGTGAAAATTGCGGGGGGGTGGTGGGGGGAGAGGGGGGTTGATGTTCTGGTATATCAGGACTTTCTTTTCTCTTTCTCCCCTCCTCTGTGGTCTTTGTATATTCACACCAAGCTGTGATGGTTTTGTGCTGTTGCTTCTCGCTCTCTGCTTTAGACAGCCCGGTCTGGCTGATTGGCAGGACTGGGAAGGGCAGACCGGTCACTGGGGCAGCGAAACCTCCCACTCAGCTCTTGTTAACCCTGCAAGTCAAAGCCCTACTTTAGTGACTATCCTCCTTGGTGGGGAGGTAAATGGAATGTTGGAATTGAGCCAGTCCTCTGTGGGGGTCTCGATAGTCCTGAGCCAGGCGGGTCCGCAGTATTCCAGGGCACTGCTGATGACAGCACAGCCCAGCCTGGCTCATCAGTGGGTCCAGGAAGGACAGACCAGTCACTGGGGGCAGGGAGTCATCCTACGCAGTTCCTGTTAACCCTGCAAGCTAAAACCCTAACGGGTAGGGTGGTCCTAGTTGGACAAGGAGTGGAAAAGCTTGCTAGATATCAATATCAATAGCAGTTTTAGCTGGTTAGAGTCATTGAGGTTGGGATTCTTCCCTCTCAGCTCCAAAGCGTTAACAAGTAGGGTGGTCCTAGCTCAATATGCAGCAGTAAGCTTGCCAGTCAGTGCTTTCAAGGCAAGCTATTACAGTTTTAGCTGCTTGCACTTTAGCAGTTACCCCAATGCATACTCTTGGGGTCCCCATGCCTTGGCACTTGGCAACCTACGCCTAATACTTTCTGGAATTGGGTATGCAGAATGCATCCCTCCAGAGAGAGAGTGCGCATTCCATTCCAACAATCTATCTCTGGGATTTCCATGTGTAGGCGGAATGCATGGAAATCTCAGCTTGGTTTAGATATTCTTAAGCATGGGGCTGGGTTTCCCGATGTGTCAGACATTTCTTTCCATCCCAATCTTGCTGCCAGCTCTCCCACTGTCCGAGGCTGGAATGTACAAGGAGCTGATGGTTTTCCCTCTGTTCTCCAACATTCCAGGCGACAAGATTCCTGGCTCTGCCGTGCTGGTCTTCGATGTTCACATAATCGATTTCCACAACCCGAGTGACCAGGTGGAAATCCAAACATACTTCAAGCCAACTGATTGCAACCGCACCAGCAAGCTGAACGACTTCATCCAATATCATTACAACGCCTCCCTCATGGACGGCGAGGTGCTCTACACATCGTACGTTGGCTCTTAACTTTTTTTTGAAAAAAGCACCCATTTGTCTCCTAAAAGTTTTGACTCGTGTTATTCTCCTGCTCAGCACAGCTCTATGGATGCCCCAGTAGCTCACACAGGAGACTATTGTTTAAATGCATGTCTGTGTGTGTGTCTCTTTCTCTCTAACATGCAATCGAGGGTGTGTTGTTGTCTGTCTCTGTCTCTCTGAGTGGAGTCCTGTAGTATATTGGTTAGAGTATTCGCCTCGCAAGCAACAGGACCCAGGTTCGATTCCTGGGCAGGGCAAAACGTTAGGCACATTTTGTTACTCCAGGTGCCTCTGTTTACCTAACAGTAAGTAGGAACCCGGTTTTAGTGGATTGGGGGATTGCTTTTTGGGTGTAATAACCCCTTGAAAAAATATTTGGTCACTCAGTCCACGACTGATTGTGGGATATTGCTTTGTGCAATTGTCTGCCACATTTCATCCACAAAATACAGTCAATTGAGTTTACAGTATATTCTGCAAAGATCTTAATAATAATAATCCTTGCATTTGATATAGCGCTTTTCACGTCGGGAGGACGTCCCAAAGCGCTTCACAGAACACACTGTAAAGTGAATTGACTGTATATTTGTGGGCGAACGCGGCGGCCAATTGCGCACAGCAATGTCCCACAAACAGTCATAGATTGAAAATGACCAATTTTATTATTGTTTTTGGTTTTGGAGGAGGGATTATTATTAGGCTCTGTGTGGAGTAAGGAAACTTGCCCAAGGTTTCGCCCTCTGCCTGGAATTGAACTCAGGTCTCTCGCTTGCAAAGCGAGTGCTCTAACCACTGAGCTACAGGACTCCACTTTGACACATTTTAGCAACATGCGCTATGTCAAATGTAAGGATTATTATTATTATCATTTAGATTGGTGAGAGATGGTGGTGGGGTATTTAACCAAGGGAGGAACCCTCAGCCTCCGATCCCAGCTTCACCCAAAGCCCAACTCCCTTCTGGGGGTCTTTGGGTATCAGTCAGGAATGGGAATAACTCTATCATGGTCTTGGCTCAGAGGATGAACAGACAAAATAAATTTAGTACTTTACATGGAGAGTGGTGAACAGGTGGAAGAGATTATTTTTATTATTAATAATACTTGCATTTGATATAGTACCTTATCACATCATCGAGACATCTCAAAGTGCATCAGAGGATGTACTCTGTAGTGGTGTATCTGTGTATATTCTGTGGGTGAAACATATGCAAAATACCCAGATTCCCTGGGAGGTGGTTAGAACAACAACAACAAATTACATTTGGAAAGCGCCCTTCACATCGTGAGGACATCCCAAGACGCTGGACCGTCAGGGATTTGAACCCGAGCAGGGAGTTGGGATCAGGATGATTGAAGGGCAAGAAGGGTAGGGGGAGGAGAGTGATCCCTACCCTTCGAAGAAGAGGGTATTGAGACAAGCCTTGAAGGAGGCAAGGGAGGGAGTGAGGCGAAGGGATTGTGGGATGCAATTCCAAAGGATGGGGACAGAGAGGCTGAAGGCCCGACCACCGATGGTGGGGCAGGCAAGGTGGAGGACATGGAGCAGGCCGGAATCTGCTGAGCGAAGGGAGTGGACAGGTCTACATGAAGTTAGCAGGTCACAAAGATAGGGCAGAGCCCTCTACGGTTACAAGAGGGAAATTAGACGGTTTGACGGCGAGGTGGTGAGATCAGTCTTTGTGCCAATGTGTAATCAGAGTTGTGATGGTCGGCTGAGCGGCAGATAAAGAACGGTGTCAGCGAAGTATGTCACACTGACCTTTGGACCCTTCACTGCCTGCTTCCAGGTCAGCGATGATCTGAAGAGCAGCACCTTTCCCGGGCTCTGAGAGGATGGCTCAGATCTTCCCTTCGTTGAATTACTAAACTGTTTCCCCCTCTTGTTCCAGGCGCGAACACGGGTCTCTCCAAAGCCTTGTCATCGGCTCCTCCAAGATGATTGAAGGGTTAAACCAGGGAGTGCTGGATATGTGCATCGGAGAGAAGCGGATTATAACTATCCCACCGCATCTGGCACACGGGGAGAAGGGATGTGAGTGACTGAGAGCGTTACACCCACTGAGAGCGTTACACACACTGAGAGAGTTAAACACAATGAGAGCGTTACACTCTGGAGTCCCGTAGCTCAGTGGTTAGAGCACTCGCCTCGCAAGCGAGAGGATCCGGGTTCAATTCCCGGGCAGGGCGAAACATTAGGCAAGTTTCCTAACTCCACACGCCTCTGGTTACCAGCAGTGAGTAGGAATCTGGTTGTTAGTCAATTGGTGGATCACTTTTCCAGGGGTAATAAACCCATTTAAAAAATAATAATAATTTGGTCACTCAATCCACGACTGTTTGTAGGACACTGCTTTGTGTTTGGCTAACACGTTTTGCCCACAAAATACCCAGTCAATTCGCTTTACAATATATTCTGTGAAGCTCCTTGACATCTCAATGATGTGATAACAACAGCAAAATTACATGTGTAAAGCGCCTTTCATGTCGGGAGGACGTCCCAAGGCGCTGGACAGTCAGTGTTTCGGACCCGAGCTGGGGGTCGGGAAAGGGGAGGGTGGAGGGCAGGGGTGGGGGCAAGTAGGGTGATCGAAAGCACGGTCGAAGAGGAGGGTCTTGAAAAGGGTCCTGAAGGTGGAAAGGGAGGGTGGGGGGCGAGACAGATGGACTGTGGGATGGAGTTCCAGAGGGTGGGGGCAGGATGGCAGAAGGCCCACCAAGCCAATGGTGGGGCGAAGGAGGCGGGGTACGTGGCGCAGGCCTGAGCCCGCTGAGCGGAAAGAGCAGGTCGGTTGGTAGGGCACTATGTCAAACGCAAGCATTATTAATACACACACTGAGAGGATTACAGACACCAGTCCCACTGAGAGTGAAAGCTAAATTGGTTGAAAGTTGGGAGAACACGGAAAGGACTGTCATTGAATCCCATCGAAAATCAAGTGAGGCATTCAAGAGATCAGGTAAGGTGATGGGAGAGGGAGAAAGATGGGAAAATGGAACGAAAGAGGTGCCATAGATTTGGTCCCAAGCTCTGCAGGTGAAAATCCTCATGTGGTGTGGCTGATGTTGAACTGGTTCCTCCTGCAGTGGGAGACGTACCTGGCAGTGCCGTGCTCTTGTTTGATGTTGAGCTGCTGGATCTCAAGCCAGGGGTCCCGGACGGCTATCTGTTCGTGTGGACCGAAGACGCTCCGAGCAACCTGCACGAGGAGCTGGACAAGGACAAGGACGGAGAGATTGTGCTGGATGAGGTAGATGCTTCCTTAGGGTATCCATCACTCCCCCCTCCTCCCCCCTCCCCCCTCCTCCCTCCTCCCCCACGGGTGGCTGTGGGTTCAAGTCACATGTTGCTACGTTGAGCTCATAATCCAGACTGAAGCTCATTCCAGTGCAGGTGGCTGTGTTGGAGGCAGTGTTGGAGGCAGTGTCGGGGGCAGTACTGAGCTACATTATCAGAGGTGTTGTCGATCAGCTGAGCTGTTAGCCCCAGTTCCTGCCTACCTGTTCGGGTGGACATAAAAGACCCCGGGACACTGTTGCAAAACAGAAAGGATTGGATGGGGCAGTCACTGTGGGAAGGAGGCGGGGTGGGGGCAGGAGGCGGGGGCAGGGGGCGGGGGCAGGGGGCGGGGGCAGGAGGCGGGGTGGGGGCAGGGGGCGTGGGCAGGAGGCGGGGTGGGGGCAGGAGGCGGGGTGGGGGCAGGAGGCGGGGTGGGGGCAGGGGCGGGGGCAGGGGCGGGGGGGGCAGGAGGCGGGGTGGGGGCAGGAGGCGGGGTGGGGGCAGGGGGCGTGGGCAGGAGGCGGGGTAGAGGCAGGACGCGGGGATATTTTCCCTCTGACTGGTCTGTCGGTGTTAGTTTTCCAGCTATATAAAGGCTCAGGTGGCCAATGGGAAGGGCCGCCTGTCGCCCACTGAAAGCCCCGACAAACTGATCCAGGACATGTTCAACAACCAGGACCGTAACAGTGACGGCAAGATCAGCCCCAGCGAGCTCAAGCTGAAGGTCGACGAAGACAAGGAGAAGCTCCTGAAAGACGAACTGTAAACAACCCCCACAAACCAGAAACTCTTTCCAGAAGCTCAGACACCCAATATGTATATGTACAATAGATTGCTGAGGATTGAAATCTCTGTCGTGTGAAATAGTTGTCGCAGCCCACGTCCCATTTTGACGTCCTAATTGCTTTGTGTTTATCGTCTGTGTTCCTTCCTCCCTTTCTTCCTTTTTTCCCCTTCAGTTAATCCCGTTCATGTTCACACCTTCTCCGTCACTGAGACCCCGGGTGCAGTGTTTAGGCTGTGAACAAGCCCTCGCTGGACGCTGAATTTGCTGAACCCAGGTGTTTGCATTCTCCAGTGGCTGCAGGTTGGTGGATTTCTGCAGGAATCACCTGATTTTTCCATGGAGCAACATCGAATTTTCCTTTCCCCGGAGCTGTGGCTGGTGACAGGGAGTGAGCCAAGCGGCTGAAGGCATCGCAGCCTTGGATGGTTCCAGTGTTTGGTTCCTTGTTGATCTCGGTTTGTTCGCAGTGGCTTGTAATCTTGCCTAAATCAGACAATCGGCAGCTAAAACGTTATTATTGTTTAGGGCACTCGCCTGGCAAGCGACACACCTGGATTCGATTCCAGGCAGAGGGTGAAACCTCGGGCAAGTTTCCTTACTCCACACAGAGCCTAATAATAATCCCTCCAAAACAAAATAATAATAAAATTGGTCATTTTCAATCCACAACTGTTTGTGGGCACTTTACAATATATCCTGTGAAGCGCTTTGAGACGTCTCAATGACGTGATAAGACACTATATCAAATACAAGGATTAGTATTATTATATTTCAATAACCACTCTGAAATTAAAACTGAATTGAAGACTGTTCCACAATGCTCCTGAAAAAAGGAACAAGTGGCATCACAGGCTAAGATTAATTGGAATTTCGGGCCATTGGTCTCACCTGGAAGCTCCTGTTGTGTGTGATCTTCGACCGCTGATATAGGGTGAGAACCCTATGATTGTACAGAAACAAAGTGGGTTACAATCTCATTGCCTTATTCCACTAGACTTCCCTGAGATTGAGTGAATAAGCCTTTAGTTCTGAGGATGGCTTTTCACCCACCTCCCATCCATGCCTCTAGTCTCCCATCTTCAACATTCCCCCCACCGGCCACTTGGTGGTGGAGTAAACCTCATATAAGTCCTATCAGTTGGGACCATAAATTTAATATGACTTATGCAACGTATGAGTTAAACTGATACTCTTGAAATATGGAATATAAACTCGTGAGCAGGACAGGCAGATGAATGACTTCGGCGATTATACAATTTATACAGATCAGACTTATGCGAGTTTTACTGTACACTATAGCAAAGATCTTGACAGAAGCCACAGCCTACTCCTATGCTCCTCACTCCTAGTCAGAGTCAGCAGAAATGGGGTGCGGGTTTACAGGGAACGAGGGGGAGGCCTGGGCGCAGTGGGCAAGGCTCTAGTCTGACAAGGTTAGTTCTTGTCCTCGTTGGATATTTCCGGTTGAACCTTCAGTTGGTGGATTTCAAAACATTTCCTCTTATTTCAGAGACAGCGTCTCCACTCCTTGACTTGGGTTTGTTTTTTTTAATTAAATATGACGGGTGATGTTTGATGCGATGAATTGTGTTCCTGTGAATGGGTGTGTTGTACAATGTGTTTGAGAGTTTTGTGCTGGGAGGATGAGTGCTGAGAGGCACGGAAGCTGCTCAGGGTTAAATCCCGGGATTCCCGTCGCCGTCAGGATAACCGGGACGTATCCAATTTTCCCTCGCGCTCTGCAAGGAAGTTTAAATAAAGGAATTTCCCAGAAAAAGTGCCATTTGCTTTGTGAGTCGCTGTTTTGGCTATTGATTGAAACGGGAACACGTGGTATCTGTTGAAGTGATTGTTTTCCGGGGGTAATAATCCTTCCAGATAGAAAATAATTTGGTCATTCAATCCACGAACGTTTCGGGACACCTCTGTGCAATCGCCTGCCGCATTTCACCCACAAAATACCCAGACACATTTTTACAAAATTCACTTTACAACATATTCTGTGAAGCGCTTTGAAACGTCTCAGTGATACGACTAATCAAATGCAAGGATTGTTTATCAGTAGTAGAAGTAGTATTCATCCAAACCGGTCTCATGATCTTGAAGTTACAACAGACTGGAATCTGCTTCAGTGGTTAATATACAAACCAGGACTTGTGACAGCTGGTAGGTAAATAAAACACTACTCTTGTCGCTTTAAGTAACCTCAGCTGCACAGACAGTTTCGACTCATCAACTGAGAATTTAATGGTTTAAACCGATGTCATTATTTGCACTCTCGTGTGTGTGTTTGTACAAGACTTTGGTCTCAAAGTTTGACTTGTCATCCGCAAGAATAATTGTCTTAATGTTAAGTACTCTGACACAACCCGTGTGGGGGTCGCTGTATAATAATAATCAACACAAGTTTTTTTTGGAGCAAATGAGCAAATGATGTTCTGTTAGTAAGCAGTAGCAGGGCACACCAGTCACAGGGGGAAGGGAATCCTCCCACTCAGCTCCTGTTAACCCTGCAAGCCAAAGCCCTAACGGGTAGGGTGGTCCAAGCTGGACAAGGAGTGGGAAAGCTTGACAGACAGCGATACCAATGGCAAGTTACGCAGTTTTAACTGGTTAGACTCCCGCAGTTACCCCAACACACACTCTGGGGTCCCGCCACCAAGCCTTGGCTCTTGCCAACCGGCACCTAATCATCTCCAGGATCAGGGAGAGAATGCGCATTCCAGTCCAAACACAGGGAAATTTCCAGTCTGGTTTGGAGACTCTTAAGCACGGTGATGGGTTTCCGCTTGGGTCAGACACCCAGCTGTTGTGGACAGTATTAAACAGACAACGTCTCACTCTAGAAAAGGGTTTATTGTGGAGTACAACTCTGACGCAGAATTAATTTCCTGTCTGCCTGCCCCTCCCCCGAGCAGAGAGGTCGTTATACAAAATCGATGCTTAAAACATTCTTTAAAAAACTAAGTGAAAGGTGATGGGGATACATAGGGCGTGGTTCTCGTGGGCGAGGGGTGTGTGTGTGGGGGGAGGTCAGGACAGGAAGCGCAGAGATACTGAGACCCAGCGCAGTCCCTGGAGAGAGTGGGGAAGATCACAGGTGTCTGTCGTGATGAGCAGCAAGAGCATTTCAAGTTTAACACGTGTCCATTCACACACGCACATCAGATGAAACACTGGGACTTGTGGTTTTACTCAGTGAATTAGTTGAATTTAGGAATTTACCCCTCCCCCCCCCCATCTCCGATCCCAGCCTGGCCATAAACGGGCACACATGAACACAGACCCATATACATGAGGGGGGAGGGAAACATGGCGCTAACAGCCCCCACCCCCGAGGCCATTCCCCTCGTTATCAGCCCCCACCCTCACTAGGTGCGTATCAATGAGGTATTCCAGAAAATTGATTCATTTTACAAAGTTTTAAAATCAACAGGATAATTAACATTCCACACTCTCTCCTCCACTCCCTCCCCCAGATTGAACCAAGCTAAATTGCGCCCCCCCCGCCCATGGACTGAGGGATAATGCTGCACAGAGGAGATCGATGATATTGAGGAGATATCTGTGCGAATCGATGGATCAACTCAGACCTGGAGTATAAACAGCCCAAAGGTCTCACTTCTCGATCTTTTCAATTTGTCCTTGGAAAAGCTCCCTCTAACCGGCACCCGCAGCCGAGCCCCAGCCCGGGTTAGAGACAGAGCAAACCTCCCTCGGCACTGTCCTCACTGCCTTTGTTTGATCTTCCACTTCCCGCACAATCACAGAGTGGCCTGGCTGGGCTGGGCTGGGCTGGGATGGGTTGGCTTGGGTTGGATTGGATTGGTTCAAGGAGAGGAACAATGTGCGGCTTGTGTGTATGCATACGCCCAGTGTGGAGTGTGCGTGTGTAGAGTGACGCGTGTGTGTGGAGTGTGTAGAGTGTGCTCATCCGTTGAGTGTGTGTGTTTTGCGTCTGTGTGTGTGTGTCTTGAGTTTGTGTGTGTCTTGAGTGCGCGCGTGTTGAGTGAGTGCACGTGCGTGTGTTAAGTGTGTGTGTGGTTGAGCGAGGCTCCTCAGGCCAGTGGCTGACTGGGGCTGAGGATGTGCTCCAGGATTCCGTTGGCCACGTCCAAGGTCTCGTCCCTCACAAGGACAATGTCGTAAGCCGCCAAATACTGCTCCAGCAGCTCCTCCACCTGCACACGATCAGAGAGAGAGAGAGAGAGAGAGAGAAAGAGAGTGACGGAGGCCGGAATGTCTGGCAAGCTTTCCCGCTGTTTGTCCAGCTCGGACCACCCTACCCATTAGGGCTTTGGCCTGCAGGGTTAACAGGAGCTGAGTGGGATGACTCCTTGCCCCCAGTGACCGGTCTGCCCCTGATGAGCCAGGCTGGGCCTGTGCTGTTGTAAGCAGCGAGCGCCCTGGAATACTTTGGATCTGCCAGGCTCAGTAATCGGGCTACCGAGACCGGAGGAGGGGGGAAAGGGGAGGGGGGGTGGGGAGAGGGAGAACGGGGCTCACCTTGTCGTTCAGGAAACCGATTTTCAGGATGTTTTCCTGGTTCTGCACCCCGTCGGCCATACTGAGGTCCCCCAGAGAGTCTCCCAGCAACACCACGTTACTGCACTGCATCAGCAGCTGGAAGTATTCCGTGTTCTGCAGGGCCCCCTCCTGCTTGTTATACACGTGAATCAACTCACCCTTAAACCCCTTCAGGAGGCCCTGAGAGACGAGGAGGTAACAACAAAATATAATCAGCCCCCCTACACACACACACTCGCACACCCACACAATAACGATAATAATAATGGTCACACAATCCGCGGCTGTTTGTGGGGACGCTGCTGTGCGCAATTGGTTGCTACTTTTCGCCCACAAAACATGCAGTCAATTCACTTGACAGTCTATTCCGTGAAGCGCTTTGTGACGTCTCGAAGGCGCTGTATCAAATGTGAGGGTTATTATTTTCTTTAAGACAGATGTACATTTATGCAGTGCGTTTGAACACTTTTTTTAACCCAAAGGGTAGTGGAAACCTGGAACTCTCTGCCCTCGAAAGGCCGTGGATGTCGGACTGAGGTGGATAGCTGTTTGTTAGGTCAGGGCATCAAGGGGTATGGAGCAAATGCGGGTAAATAAGAGTTGAGGCACAGATCAGCCGTGATCTAATAGAAGAGGGGAACAGACTTGGGATTGTAAAATAATAAACAATCACTACACTTTACAGTACGGTCTGTGAAGCACTTTGAGACGAGTGCTCGCACACTCACATTCTCGTCGAAGTCCATGAAGTTGGAGACCACCTTCACGTTGGGGTGATAGACCCCCACCTGACGGATCACCTCCTCCAGAATGTCACCGACCCCGGCCGAGAATATGAAGACGGGAATGTTGTGCTGCTGAAGCTTATCAAAGAAAGGTTTGTATCCGTCTCTGCAGAGGAAAGGCAGCTCCTTAACACACAGCTCGCACGCAGCACCACTGCCATTACACACCCGCCGTTACACACCGCTCGCCCACCCACCCACCATTACACACCCGCCGTTACACACCGCTCGCCCACCCACCCACCATTACACACCCGCCGTACACACCCGCCGTTACACACCGCTCGCCCACCCACCCACCATTACACACCCGCCGTACACACCCGCCGTTACACACTGCTCGCCCACCCACCCACCATTACACACCCGCCGTTACACACCGCTCGCCCACCCACCCACCATTACACACCCGCCGTACACACCCGCCGTTAGACACCGCTCGCCCACCCACCATTACACACCCACCATTACACACCCGCCGTAACACACCGCTCGCCCACCCACCATTACACACCCACTGTTACACACCTGCTGTTACACACCGCTCGCCCACCCACCATTACACACTCACCATTACACACCACCGTTACGCACTATCGTTACACACCACCATTACGCACCACCGTTACGCACCACCGTTACACACCACCGTTACACACCACCATTGCACACCAACATTACACACCAACATTACACACCAACATTACACACCAACATTACACACCACTCAGGAAGCCTGGCTGATTTCCCCCTTATCCCCGCGGCCTGTGTAGCTGACTGTAGTCTCGCTGCTGACCCACTCGCTGTGTCTCTCGCTACAAACCCGCGCTCGCTGACTCGTTCCTGGGGCAGCGGTTCTGTACCTCAGCACAGCGTTCGACTCCCGCACCGTCTCCACCAGATTGATCTTCGCAATCTTCTGCTCCACCAGCAGCGCATGCACCTTAGTCCACCTGCAGGTCAAGGCAGCTCAATACCCAGCCTCCACACCCCCTCCCCCACCTCACACACAGCCCTCACACACAGCCCTCACACACACACACTCCTCACACACAGCCCTCACACACACACTCCTCACACACAGCCCTCACACACACACCCCTCACACACAGCCCTCACACACAGCCCTCACACACAGCCCTCACACACACACACACAGCCCTCGCACACCCCCCACACACAGCCCTCACACACAGACCTCACACACACACACCCCTCACACACAGCCCTCACACACAGCCCTCACACACACACCCTCACACACAGCCCTCACACACAGCCCTCACACACACACCCCTCACACACAGCCCTCACACACACACCCCTCACACACAGCCCTCACACACACACCACCACACACAGCCCTCACACACAGCCCTCACACACACACCACCACACACACACCCCTCACACACAGCCCTCACACACACACCACACACAGCCCTCAAACACAGCCCTCACACACACACCACCACCACACACACACCTCTCTCACACACACACACCACCTCACACACAGCCCTTGCACACACACACCCCTCACACACAGCCCTCACACACACACACACCCCTCACACACAGCCCTCACACACACACCCCTCACACACAGCCCCACACCACCACCCCTCACACACAGCCCTCACACACACACCCCTCACACACAGCCCTCACACACACACACACAGCCCTCGCACACACACACCCCCCACACACACCCCTCACACACACACCACTCACACACAGCCCTTGCACACACACACCCCTCACACACAGCCCTCACACACACACCCCTCACACACACATACCCCTCACACACAGCCCTCACACACAGACCTCACACACACACACCCCTCACACACAGCCCTCACACAGCCCTCACACACACACACCCCTCACACACACAGCCCTCACACACATACACCACTCACACACACCCCTCACACACACCTTTACACGCTGCTCACACTCCCCCCATATCACACACGCCTCATCACCGTTCCCCCCTTAGCCCCACTCTCATTGCCCCCGCGTCTCCTGATGATGGTTCCCCAGAGCCTCTCACCATTCGATCATCAGTGGCAATTTTTCAGTGATGGACGTCGAGGGGTCGATTTCCAAGGGGTAGTAAGTGTTCAGAAGATCCTTCAGCTGTGAGGAGGGAGGGAGGGAGAGAGGGAGAGAGAGAAGGAGGGAGGGAGAGAGGGAAGGAGCCGTCAGTGCCCGGAGCGATAGCCATGCTCTATCCGCAGCCACGCACACGTGGGTGTGTGAGGGGTGTGTGTATGTGTGTGAGGGGGGTGTGTGTAACCAGCTCTCACCCCACACACTGCGCACACACACACACACGGTAACACACATGGTCACACACACACACACACACACGTGCATCATCGCTCTCCCACATACTAACGCAGCGCACCCTTACACCCAGAACAAGATGAACGAGAGGTTGGAGCCGAAGAAGACTTTCAGCTCAAACACAGAGCTGGGAGTTAGATGAGTCCATCGTTCTGGCCTCAACCACAACAACCACCACAACAGTAACCGAACCACAGCCATTGTATAGCGCCTTTCATGTCGGAGGAGGGAGGGAGCGAGTCTCACACACACACACACACACACACACTCTCACACACACTCTCTCACACACACACACACTCACACACACACACACACTAATGCACACGCATGCACACTCACACATATACTCTCATAAACAGGCGCACACTCTGACGCATACACATCTTCACACACGCGGAATCACACCTACCTTCTTCCTACATTCCTCGCTGACTAAGTCGCTGTTGATAATAATATCTGCGACAAACAAACAAAAGAGGATCATGAGAGTAAAGCCCCCACCGGCCCCACGTGTGAGTGGCTGAAACACATCGTCCCTGACAGCGACTCTCTCTCTCTCTCTCTCGCTGTGATTGAGCTCATCAGAGGTCTCAGGGAAATGGCTATTTCCACACCAGCAACATCCCAGATCGGGGTCAGCACAGGATGGGGACAGAGTAAAGAGGGGGGTTAAAGGAACCAACGTAAACAACAGGCACCTGGATGACCCCCTGCCCCCACCCCCAGCCCCACCACACCCTCTACAAAAGCAGCTGTCCCACATACACAGCAGATTTCCTGCACTGTAATATCTAAGGCAGTTTGGGAGATGATGGGATTCAGCGAGTTACTCAGCGGGGTCACTAGGGGTCAGTGCAAAGCGCAGAGAACCCTCCCTCCACACCCCCACACCAACCCCCCCCCCCCCACCTCACCCATTCCCCTCGGGGAGCAGAGATCCTCCCCTCCCCCTGTAGCAAGGAGACCCCGCAGTGAGGGAGAGGCTCAAACACGATCACACTCACTGTGGCAGGTGGGACATCTTTTCCCATTGGTGGCGAATCTGGTCAAAGTCATATCGAAATCAGTGATGATCTGAAAGAGAGGACGGGAGGGAGGGTGGAAGCGGGTGTTTATCAGCAGCGTTTCAAGGCCATTGTTCCTCCACATCTGTGCAGTACTCGAGAATAGTAATAATAACGACAGTAATAATAAAATCCTTGCATTGTGGAGTCCTATAGCTTAGTGGTCAGAGGACACAAGCAAGAGGACCCGGGCAGGGCGAAATCTGGGCAAGTTTCCTTGCTCCACACCTAGCAGTAAGCAGGAACCCGGTTGTTAGTCGATTGACGGATCACTTTTCCGGGGGTGACGATCCCTTCAAAAACAAACAATAACAATTTGGTCACTCATTCCACGACTGTGTGTGGGACGCTGCTGTGCGCAATTGGCTGCCACGTTTCGCCCACAAAACATACAGTCAATTCACTTGACTGTATATCCTGTGAAGCGCTTTGAGACGTCTCGAAGACGTGATAAGGCACTGTATCAAATGCAGGATTATTATTATGATGAATTTTGCAGCCAGTTTGCACACAGCGATGTCGCATAAACAGCCACAAAGTGAGTGACCAAATTTACCTGGAGTTTGGGATCTGTTGTGAACTGAGGATCAAAAGATCTGCCGAGATCCAATAAACTGGTGGAACAGGCCCGATGGGCTTAATGGCCTCCTCCGGTTCCTATTTTCCTATGCTCCTAATATTCAATGCAGCAGAGTAAGGGTGAATAAAAGGCTCTGGGAGGCTATGAGGCTGTGTAAAGGGCGCTATATAAATGCAAGTATTTGTTGTTGATAATAATGACTATTCTCTCCCGCCCGGTCCTAAAGGTTACAGCACTTAAACTGGCCTTTTGGCCCCACAATCTGCTCTGATGTTTTTATTCAAACAGATAACCTTCTCTCTCCCTGTATTAAGTCTTTCACTTCAAGCATCTATCTCATTCCATTAGCAGGCGTTGGGGACTTTGCCTCGAAAACATTTAGTGGAAAAAGAAATCCCACATTCCGTCCACCCTCTGTGTAAAGATAGCTTTCCTCTCTCTCCCTCTCTCTCCCTCCTATCACTGCTTGTGTGATTATCTTAAATATGTGCCCTCTCGTTACTGACTCACTGGTCTGCTGAAACAATCTACAGTAAACTCCTGATAACTTGACCCTGCCTTAACTTGTCAGTACCACTTAAGTCATCATTGGAGTCCTGTAGAGTAGTGCTTAGCGCAGTCGTCTCGCAAGTGAGGGGACCTGGGTTTGATGTCCGGGCAGGTTGAAACCTTGGGCAAGTTTCCTTACTCCACACTCCTCTGTTTACCCAGCAGTAAGTAGGAACGTGGTTGCTAATCGTTTGGTGGATCGTTTTCTGGGGGTAATAATCTCTAAAAAACAAATTCACTTTACAGTATATTCTGTGAAGTGCTTTGAGACGTCTCGAAGATGTGATAAGGCGCGATATCAAATGTAAGGACTATTATAAGAACATAAGAAATGCTAGACAAAAAAAGACCATGGTCCATCTAGTTCGCATTCCACCTTCCTGGCGGTCGCTTGCAGTTATGTCCCAAACTCCCTATGTATTATTCCCCATCATGTTATTTCCTAAAAGAAAACGATCTAATCTGTGTTTGAAAGAATCAACATTTTTTGCTTCAACCGTCTTCCTAGGGAGCCACAGGTTCACTATTCACTCACTGAAATAGTGTTTGTGTAGATTCATTCTGAATGTACATCCCTTCAATCGCTGGCCGATTTCCTCTGGTTTTACTATTCTGGACAAGTTGAAGCAGCCTATCATGATCTATATTGTTTGGCCCGTTTAGAATCTTAAAGACAGCAATCATGTCGCCTCTCAATCTTCCCTTTCCCAGCGTGAACATGCCCAATTTACTTAGTCGCTCCTCAGAGTCCAGTCCCTTCATTCCCTCAACCATTTTGGTTGCCCTCCTCTGTCTCTTCTCGATTTCTCCAATATCCTTTTTGTACTGCGGTGACCAGAACTGTACACAGTCTCTAAGATGGTCGCAACAATGATTTATACAGTGGCACGATTACCCCACTATTACCCACAATGGACGTCAAACCTACTGGTCTGTAATTTCCTGGGTCACTTTGTTACCTTTCCCTAAAAATAGGAGTAACATCTGCCTTTCTCCAGTCCCCCAAAACCTCTCCAGGATTCAGTGATTTTTGAAAGATTTTGCCAGTGTTTCTGTGGCTTCCTCCCTTAGTTCCTTAAGGATCCTCGGATGTAATTTATCCGGCCCCTGAGATTTAGCTGTTGCCAAACAGCTGTTTGGCAACCATGCTGGTCACGGTATGAAAAGTGTCACAACGTTTCTCTGCAACATCCTCTTTCGAAATCAGATAGGTTACCCGTCTCCTCCTTGGTAAAGACTGATCCAAAAAACTTATTTAGACCTAAACTGAGGCCCTCCTGATTGGCTCACGTCAGCGCCTCCTCACCTCAGGCGCTGACAGCATCAGCATCCAAGGCCGCACTCTCCACCTCTCAAAGCCGGTCAGGAACCTCGGGGTTTTGTTCGACCCTGAGCTGTCCTTTCTCCCTCATATCTGTGCCACAACCGGCACCGCCTTCCATCACCTCCGGAATATCGCCAGACTACGGCACTACCTCACCCCTCACGCGGCTGAAACTCTGGTCAACGCCTTTATCACCTCAAGGCTGGACTATGGGAACTCTCTCCTCGATGGCCTTCCCGGCCCTCCCTCCACACTGCAGGTCATTCAGAACTCTGCAGCTCGTGTACTGTCCCGCACCAGACACCGCGACCACATCACTCCCACCCTCGCCCTCGCCCTCGCTCGCCTCCACTGGCTCTCCATCCCCCAGAGGATCGAATTCAAGATCCTCATCCTCACCTACAAGGCCATTCACGGCCTTGCTCCCTCCTAACTCTCCGACCTACTATTCCCCTACTTACCTGCCCGTACCCTCTGTTCCTCCGGCTCCGGTCTGCTCCACATCCCCCGCCCCAACCGCCCTACCATCGGTGGCCGGGTCTTCAGCCTCTCAGCTCGGAAACTCCATCCCCCAGTGCCTTTGCTGCTTCCTCCCTTTCCTCCTTCAAGGCCGGTCTCAAGACCTTTCTCTTTGACCGTGCCTTCAACTCCTCTCTCGACTCTCTACCCCCTCCTCTCTCCATCCCTTCCCTCCCCTCACCCTGACCATTTCCCCCAATGCTCGGGTCCCGACCCAACTGTCCAGCACCTTGGGACATCCTTAATCCTATAATCCTTGCATTTGATATAGCGCTTTTCACGTCAGGAGGACGTCCCAAAGCGCTTCACAGAACACACTGTAAAGTGAATTGACTGTATATTTGTGGGCGAACGCGGCAGCCAATTGCGCACAGCAATGTCCCACAAACAGTCGTAGATTGAAAATGACCAATTTATTATTGTTTTGTTTTGGAGGGATTATTATTAGGCTCTGTGTGGAGTAAGGAAACTTGCCCAAGGTTTCGCCCTCTGCCTGGAATTGAACTTAGGTCTCTCACTTGCAAAGCGAGTGCTCTAACCACTGAGCTACAGGACTCCGACGTGAAAGGCGCTCTATAAATGAAATCTTGTTGTTGTTGTTGTTATTGCAGCTTTACTTGTCGTGTTTTCTCCCAAACCCACCTTTAGTGGCCCTATTTCTTTGCTTGCTTTTCTTCTACTTTTAATGTAACTAAAAAACTTTTTGTTATTATCCTTCACATCTCTTGCCATGTTCAATTCAAAGCAATTCGTTGCCATTCTGATGCCCTTTATGTTCATAGAATCATAGAATCGTACAGCACAAAAAGAGGCCATTCAGACCATCGAGTCTGTGCGGCTCTTTGAATAGAGCAATTAATGTCAATCCCACTCCCCAGCCCTTTCCCCATACTCAGACCGGTCCTCCTCAAATACCTGTCCATCAAGTTTTTAAAAGTTGTTATCCTTTCAGGCGTTGGAGGTTTGGTCGTCCCCTTGTTGGCTCCTTTACAAACTGAGTCATAAAACAGTCTTCCTTTCATGATTATTATTATTATTATTATTATGATTCTGGTTTACAAAGGGTCAGGAGGAACCTACCTGGAGTTTGGATGCTCCGCCTCGCTTGATGGACTCGATGATCTCTTTGACCCGTTCGGGGTTTCGGATCTGGACAGTGTTGTTCTGTAACTCTGGTACCTGCAGGAGGGGAGGGAACAGCCAACAGGTCTGACTAATGGGGCCCAAACACACCAGTCACACGCGGCATCGCCACACACGCAGCTCTGTCAGTCTGATCTCCGTATGACGGGATCTACCCCAGGAACAGCATCTCCATTTGTGCACAATTGGCTCAACAGGGTTGTACACAATATGTCCAGCAGTGACACACAAACAACAAACAAATATTACATTTGTAAAGCGCCTTTCAGGTCAGGAGGACGTCCCAAGGCGCTGACCAGCCACACACAGTGTTTATAGTCGAGACAGTAATCCACACTAATCGCGATCGGCTATTGTGGTTGAGGAAGCACTGCAGATAATCAAGCACACGTAAAAACTGGCTACAGCGTTAACCAAAACATTTTTCCATCAGGATTTATAGTCAATGGAGTAACCACTGCACAGCCTTTTTCTTTTTCTTTCTCTCTTTCTCCCTTCAACTCTTTCTTTGTCTGTGATGCTTTCTCTCTTTCTCTCTCTGATCTCCGAGCTGTTTGTTCTTCGCTCTCTGACCGCACGCTGTACACCACTAAATTACATTTATAAAACTCCCTTCATGTTGGGAGGACGTCCCAAGGCGCTGGACAGCCAGGGATTCGGACTGGAGCTGGGGGTTGGGATCAGGGAGGGTGGAGGGCAGGGGTAGGAGGGTGGCCGAAGGCACAGACGAAGAGGAGGGTCTTGAGGCGTGCCTAGAAAGGAGGCGAGGGAGGGAGGGAGTGGGGGCGCAGAGAGGCTAAAGGCCCGAACCGTCGATGGTGGGGTAGGCCTGGCATGGGACATGGAGCAGGCCGGAGCTCTGCTGAGCGGAGGGAGTGGACAGGTTGATCCATTACTCAACAAGCACTGACCCTGACCCTCACAGTCACAAACGGCAATCGCTCTCCTCGGGAATTCTGCACTCAACTGGGTTTAACATTCGCCGGTTTGGCAGCCCTTTTGTTCATATCTACATCAGGGACCAATGTGCATAAGTGGGCATGTGGATACACAGCGCTCTACTGAGTCCAGAGCAGAGTTTCTCAAACGGGTGATTTGTGTGGCCACGGTAGCTGCTCCCTATGGGGCAGTGTGTGGGGGGGTGTGGGGGAGTGGTGGTGTGCATGTGGTCACAGTACCCACTGGCCCTTGTATTCCAAGCGTGACTTGGGCCCTGCTGCTGTGGAGGGTGCGGGCATTTGGCCAAATGCACTCTCTCCCACCAGTCCCCCCCACCCCTACTCCGTCCCTCCTTCCACCCCTCTCCGTCTCTCCCCGTGCGCTCTCTCTCCTACCTCTCTGTCTCTCTCTCCCCCCCACCCACCCCGCCTGCCCTCCTTCTCTCCCTCCCCCCGCCCTCTCCGTCTCTCTGGCCGGCTCAAGGAGGGGGGGGGGGGGGGTGGGTGAAGTAACGCTGATTACAAAAATTTGCACAGAGGCCACCCAGAGCAACGTGTTTGCGAGGCCCCCACTCCAGAGCTTTATCTCCGTAACGCACATACAGGAAGGAGGACCTCGTTATCTTCCAGTAACAGACATCCTGGACAACCGAGGTCCTGACTGCAAGCTCACCCGAGTAACGCCATCTCCCAACGATGCTCCCCCCCCCGCGCCCCACCCACCCACCATCCACCCCACCCCCCATCCCACCCAGCGCCGCCAAAACCCTCTGAGACCTATTATTATTATTATTAACATTATTCGGAAAAGGCATTAGAAGCTGCTACTGATCTCAACGTCAGGTGTGGAGGTGTGAACCCACAAACTTGACGATGAGGAGCCAACAGAGAGCCGGGGGGGGGGGGGGGGGGGGGGGGGGCAGAGGGGGGGAGGGGAGGGGGAGACATCTGTCTGACTTCTGGGCGACAGCAGCAATCGCCGCCCCTGCCCGGCTCGGCAGAAAATCCACGGCTCGGCCCAGGCTCAGGGGCCGCTCTCCCCCACAGTCTAAGTCTAAGGGGGGAGGAGAAGGGGAGGGGGGAGGGGGTGTGGGGGGGGAGGGGGGGAGGGGGGGGGAGGAGAGGAGGGGGGGAGGGGTGTGGGGGGAGGGGGGGGAATTAAACCCGGGTCCTGTCCGCCTGTTCAGATGGACATTAAAGATCCCTCGGCCCCACTGGAGAGAAGAGGAGGAAGGCTTCTCTCTCCCAGTTTCCTGACCAGCAATCACTCCCCCCCCCCCCATCACCCCCCTCTCCCCAATCACTCCCCCCCACATCACCACACCCCCTCCCCAATCACTCCCCCCCACATTACCCCCCCCCCCCCTCCCCAATCACTCCCCCCCACCATCACTCCCCCTCTCCCCAATCACTCCCCTCATAGCTGTTTTGGGGCTATTTACTGTGAGTAAACCGGGCACCATAGTGCGAGGGGGGAGGAGAGGAGGGGAGGGGGGGAGAGGGTGGGGGGGGGGGGGGAGGGTGGGGGGGTGAGGGGGGGAGAGGGTGGGGGGGTGAGGGGGGGAGAGGGTGGGGGGGGTGAAGGGGGAGAGGGTGGGGGGGGGTGAAGGGGGGAGAGGGTGGGGGGGGTGAGGGTGGGGGAGAGGGTGGGGGGGAGAGGGGGGAGCGGCTGCTGAGGACACGGCGCAGTGCAGAACCACTCACCATCTTTGTCGCCGGGAATCGAATCCTAAAGAGAGAGAGAGAGAGAGAGTCAGTCCACAGCGAACGGGGGGGAGGGGGGGGGGGGGGGGGGGAGTGCTGTCAGCAGAGGGTCAGCTGTGGGGGGGCTGTGGGGGCGCTCAGGGCTGTAGGGGGCGCTCAGGGCTCAGGGCTGTGGGGGCTCAGGGCTCAGGGCTGTGGGGGCTCAGGGCTCAGGGCTGTGGGGGCTCAGGGCTCAGGGCTGTGGGGGCTCAGGGCTGTGGGGGGGCTCAGGGCTGTGGGGGCTCAGGGCTCAGGGCTGTGGGGGCTCAGGGCTGTGGGGGCTCAGGGCTGTGGGGGCTCAGGGCTCAGGGCTGTGCTCAGGGCTGTGGGGCTCAGGGCTGTGGGGCTCAGGGCTGTGGGGCTCAGGGCTGTGGGGTTCAGGGCTGTGGGGCTCAGGGCTGTGGGGCTCAGGGCTCAGGGCTGTGGGGCTCAGGGCTGTGGGGGGGCTCAGGGCTGTGGGGGCTCAGGGGCTGTGTGGGGGGCTCAGGGCTGTGGGGGCTGGGGGGGGCTGTGGGGGGCTCAGGGCTGTGGGGGGGCTGTGGGGGGGGCTGTGTGGGGGCTCAGGGCTCAGGGCTGTGGGGGGGCTGTGGGGGGGCTCAGGGCTCAGGGCTTACGGCTGTTACTCGGGGCTCCGGTTCCGGGTTTGGTTTCGTTTCAGCAACAGTTTCACTTTGTAACAACATCAGACACTCCGCAACACTCCCTCATTCACACACTCCCTCATTCACTGCCTCATTCACACACTCCCTCATTCACACACTCCCTCATTCACTGCCTCATTCACACACTCCCTCATTCACTGCCTCATTCACACACTCCCTCATTCACACACTCCCTCATTCACTCCCTCATTCACACACTCCCTCATTCACTGCCTCATTCACACACTCCCTCATTCACTCCCTCATTCACACACTCCCTCATTCACTCCCTCATTCACACACTCCCTCATTCACTCCCTCACTTACACACTCCCTCCCTCACTCACATCCTCCCTTCCTCCAGCCCTCCCTCACACATTCCCTCCCTCACTCTCTCCCTCCCCCACGCACTCACTCATCACTCACTCACACAGTGACTCACACACTCAGTCACTCAACAGTGAAATGGTAATGAAAACGGAATCTATGTGAATGTTAATTATATTTTTGTTCATTAAATTTATGTAAATAGGAATTGTAAGTAAATGTACTCACTCACTGATCACGAGAGAGAGAGACAGAGAGAGAGAAGGCGAGACATGAAACAACAACAACAACAACAACAACAACAACAACAAGATTGAAAGTAATCAGAGAGAGAGATGACACCGAAGTGTTTCATATCAAAATGTCTCTGAGACAAAACAGACTCACACAACACACACGGGAATGAAGACTGAGGTGGTGCAGGAATAAAGGCTTAAAAGACTGTCTGACTCTCTCTCCGCTGCCCTGCCCGCCCTGCCCTGTCCTGCCCTGCCCTGCCCGCCCTATCCTGCCCTGCCCGCCCTGCCCGCCCTGCCCTGCCTGCCCTGCCTGCCCTGCCTGCCCTGCCCTGCTCGCCCTGCCCGGCCCGCCCTGCCCGCCCTGCCCTGCCCTGTCCGCCCTGCCCTGCCCTGCCCGCCCTGCCCTGCCCGCCCTGCCCTGCCCTGCCCTGCCTGCCCTGCCTGCCCTGCCCTGCCCGCCCTGCCCTGCCCTGCCCTATCCTGCCCTGCCCTGCCCTGCCGCCCTGCCCTGCCGGCCCTGCCTGCCCTGCCCTGCTCGCCCTGCCCGCCCTGCCCTGCCCGCCCTGCCCTGCCCTGCCCGCCCGCCCTGCCCGCCCGCCCTGCCTGCCCTGCCCTGCCCTGCCCTGCCCGCCCTGCCCCCCTGCCCTGCCCGCCCTGCCCACCCTGCCCTGCCCGCCCTGCCCTGCCTGCCCTGCCCTGCCCTGCCCGCCCTGCCCTGCCCGCCCTGCCTGCCCTGCCCTGCCCCCTGCCCGCCCTGCCCTGCCCGCCCTGCCCTGCCCTGCCCTGCCCTGCCTGACCGCCCTGCCTGCCCTGCCCTGCCCGCCCTGCCCGCCCTGCCCTGCCCGGCCTGTCCTGCCCGGCCTGCCCTGCCCTGCCCGTTGTAGACACACGCAGCCCAGTGGCTGATGTTGAAAAGGTTAATCGGGATTCCTTCATCTATATTATCAGATTGTGTTCTGATCTTTACCCCCTCTCTCCCCTCCTCCCCCCCCAAGGTGAAGACACTTCCGGTGCCACATTGAGCTACAAAGCTCACATGTCCTAACCGGTGGCCCAAAATTCTAACTAGTCTTAGTCTGCGAGACCATATTTCTGTCTTCAAATTAGAAGAAAATTGTGGAAAACTCTTGGATCCAATTTTAATGTTGAAGTTGCCTTTCCTGCAGTTTCTTAAAAACAATTAATGTCCCACAATTCTGCCCTATCAACAACAACAACAAGATTGCATTTATAGAGCGCTTTCACGTCGGGAGGACGTCCCGAGGCGCTGGACAGTTGGGTCGCGACCCGAGCAGGGGGGAAATGGTCAGGGTGAGGGGAGGGAAGGGAGGGAGCGAGGAGGGGTTAGAGAGTCGAGAGGAGAGCTGAAGGCACAGTCAAAGAGAAAGGTCTTGAGACCGGCCTTGAAGGAGGAAAGGGAGGAAGCGGCGAAGGCACTGGGGGATGGATATACCTACAGGACTGTGTTATACCCTGTAATACAATATATATTCTCCACAGTCTTGCTCCCCCCGACCTCTCCGACCTCCTAAACCCCTACCACCCGGTTCGCTCCCTCCGCTCAGCGGGCTCTGTCCTGCTTCACGTACCCCGCCTCACTCACCCCATTATTGGCGGGTGGGCCTTCTGCCACTCTGAACCCACCCTCTGGAACTCCATCCCGCATTCCCTCCGTCTCGCCCCCCTCCCCCCTTCCCTGGCCTCCTTCAAGACCTACCTCAAAACCCTCCTCTTCAACTGTGCTTTCGATCTCCCTGCTTCCCCCCTCTGACCTCCCCCCCTCCCGTAACTCGAGTCCGTAACTCTTGTCAGTCCAGCACCTTGGGACGTCCTCCTGACGTGAAAGGCGCTCGACACGTGAAATTTTGTTGTGGTATATAGGGTGTCAGCCTGGCTCAGAGTCAGACGCTTGTGGCTTCAAACCCCAAAGCAAGGACTTGGAGCTCACAGGGACCAGGCTGATGCTCCAGGGCAGGACTGCGTGGAGCTTCACCACTGGATGAGACAGAGAAACTATCCACCTGTTCAACTAGAGGTTAAAGATCCCACAGCACTGTTTGAGTCACTGCACTTTCCAATAAATCCTGTGAACGACAACAACTTGACAACTTCCATTTATATAGTGCCCTTCGCACAGGACAGTGTCTTGGAGCCCTTAACGGTGTCAGAGCCTGATGCCGAGCCGGGGGAGGGGGAAGGAGAAGGTGACCATAGGCACGGTGTCGCAGAGGAAGATCTTCAAGTGCGACCTGAAAGAGGGGGCAAGGCAAAGGGATTGAGCGAGAGAGTTGCACAGCTCCCAGGCTTAGTGGCTGAAAGTACGGCTAGCGATGGTGGGTCCAGGGGACGAGGAGGAGGCCAGAGCCAGTTGGAGAGGGGCAGAGGCAGCGGGTAGTAGTGTAGAAGTGTCTACTGGCTGTAGAATTATAGTGAGCGTTTTGAAACATTTGCAGGATGTGATAAGCCGCGATATCAATTCAAGGGTTAGTTTGCTATAATACCTGTCTGTCTGCATATAATCGGGGAAATTCAATCCTCCCATCCACCCACTCTCACACTTACTATCAGATCGTCCCTCCTTTGCTTTCTCACATTGGAAAACTGCGGCCGATATATTTCTTTTGTAGAAAAATATAAAGCTGACAGCAAAAGTCAGTGAGCTTAAACATTGCCCTCCTGATGGGTCATTTTAAACCATTTTTACACTACAACAATCAACAACGGTTGCACGCCTGTCCACCAGATATCTGACAGGAACAAGAGTTATGAGTTGCATTGGGAGGCACCCACCAGCAACTTGCAGGAAGCTGACCGTTTGGGATTCAATCGAAGAATGCACAGGTTCAATAGATCTTGAAAGATGCTGAGCAGTGTAGGACGGACTGAGAGGAAGTTAAGGCCCTTTGATTGTCCATGTCACCTCATGGAAGTAGATGAGATGACGTGTTGTAGCGCCTTCTTTGTGATGTTACAATTGGATATGTTCTGGAACTTTCAGGGGCGGCCATAAAAACACAAGTCCTGGCAACCAAACGTTGCATTCTCACCAACTTCCATTGAATTTCTCGGCGGAAGCGTGTTCTTAGTTTGGAGGCTTCAGAGATGGAGGAGCCCTCAACCTCGACTCGGCAGCTGCGGCAGAGTACCATGGAGAGAAAGATGAGTGCCATGGCGTGTACCATCTTCAACGAGCTGCGGCTGGAGGGCAAACTCTGCGATGTGGTCATCAGGGTCAACGGCATCGACTTCAACGCTCATAAGAACATCTTATGCAGCTGCAGCTCCTACTTTAGGTCAGTAGTTGGAATTAGTCCAAACAATAATAATTTGGTCACTCAATCCACGACTGTTTGTGGGACACTGCTGTGCGCAATTGGCTGCCGCGTTTCGCCCACAAAATATACAGTCAATTCACTTTACAGTATATTCTGTGAAGCGCTTGGAGACGTCCAGAAGACTTGAAAAGGCGCTGTATCAAATGCAAGGATTATTATTATCATTAACCTTTTTNCTCACCCGGAGTCTTTCCTGTGGCTATTCTTCCACCTAAAAGCCAATGGAAGTTCTTTCTGCCAAAGAGAGCAAAGGGTTAGAGGATTAAATCCACAGCAAATTCGTGCTTCTTTCAAATCCAGCTGAGCCAAATTTTGAACGATTCTGAATTTGGGTGGATTTCTCCAAATTCTGTCAACGTAACTTTGATCAATGTGCATGATTTTAAAAGCAATGCAATTGCAGAGGGAATCCCACTGACTTAGCGTCAACTTTAAACCAGTGGGGTTCACATAAGCAAACCGTTGAATAAGGCAGGACAGGTAAATGAAGCTGTTAAAAAAGCGTACGGGATACTAGGCTTTATAAATAGGGGCATAGAGTACAAAAGTCAGGAAGTGATGAAGCTTTATATAAAACGCTGGCTAGGCCTCAGCTAGAGACTGTGTTCAGTTCTGGGCCCCACACTGTAGGAAGGCCTTGGAGAGGGTGCAAAGGAGATTGACCAGGATGGTACCAGGAATGAGGAAAGGCGAGAGAAGCTAGAATTATTCTCCTTGGAGCAGAGAAAGTTAAGAGGAGGTTTAATAGAGGTATTCAAAATGATGATGGGATTTGATAGGGTGAACAAAAAGCAACTATTTCCGCTGGCGGGTGGGTTGGTAACAAGCTGACACAGATTTAAAATAGTTGGCAAACGAACCAGAGGGGAGGTGAGGAGAATTTGTTTTTCACACAGCGAGTTGTTCGGATCTGGAATGCGTTGCCTGAAATGGTGATAGAAGCCGATTCACTAACAACTTTCAAAGGAGAAGTAGGTGAGAAGTAGATATGTGGGGAGGACAAATTTGCAAGGCTATGGGGCGAGAGCAGTGGAATGGGATTAATTTGGATAGCTCTTTCAAAGAGTTGGCACGGACACCATGGGCCATATGTCCTCCTTCTGTGCTGTGCAAGTCCTGTATTTCAATGGTTAACGCACTCTCGTAAGAGAGAAACCTGGGTTCAATTCCCGGCAGGGTGAAATAGTGAACAAGTTTCCTTACTCCACAAGCCTCTGTTTACCTAGAAGTAAGAAGGAACCCGGTTGTTTGTCGATTGGCGGATCGCTTTTCGAAGGGTAATAATTCCTTAAAAAAAAAAAAATTTGGTCACTCAATTCATGACTGTTTGTGGGGACGCTGCTGTGTGCAATTGGCTGCCGGGATTCGCCCACAAAATATACAGTCAATTCACTTTACAGTATATTCTGTGAAGCGCTTTGAGACATCTTGAAGACATGATAAAGCGCGATATCAAATGCAGGATTATTATTATGAATGCTGCATTATTAGTATAATTCTATGATTCACAAAAGGGTGATAATAATCCCTTTCAAAATTCAGAAAGTATAGTGGATGAGAATAGAAGATGGAAGTCCCTATCCTTGCTAATGGTAGCTTTTGGCCTGCTCAGAGAAACAGTATAGAAGCTGAAGCTGGTGAATCTTGGATCTCAAAGATTTCAACATTTCGACAAAATGATTGAAATGGCTGGAATTTACGAGCTCACTGGGGACCTGAGGAATGAAGGATCAAATTAGATATTTGAGTCCATTTATCATTTATTATTATTGATTTCCATTCTTATATTCCTCAAAAGACTTTCTCTTTATTTCACACAATATTATAAAAATGATTGAATGTAATAATTTAGACTCAGGAAATCAAGTCTCCAATAAATTATGTGTTCCCTTTTCATTATATGTTCTAACTTTCCATCAATCTATATATATATGTATATATATATCAACTTTACAATTATATAGTATCTTTCATATCAGGAGCAATGTGTTAAATATATGGTATACACAATGTTCACCTACTGAAGATAATGATAGAGAGATCAAGAAGCAGAGTTAGCAGTCAGCCCAAAAGGCACTGGACTAGGTTCCAGTTGTAGTATGGTCTCTCACTGGAACAGTTCTCCCTCTCCTGGTGAAAGCATCCTAATGGACTCAAAAGCGATCTGCCAATCAACTGATAACCGGGTTCTTAATTACTGCAAGGTAAACAGAGGTGCGTGGAGCAAAGAAACTTGTCTAATGTTTCGCCCTGTCTGGGAATCAAACATAGATCCTCTCGCTTATGAGGCGAGTGCTCTAACCACAATCTACAGGATTCCACAAATATTAACCCGTTAGATTTCTGGAAGACGAGTCTTCCAGAGAATAGTTCTCCCTTCTATTATTGAGCCTCTCCCCACCCTCCCACCTCCCCTCATTTATGCATAAACACTCATTCACACGTACAGTATAAAGGTGAGAGAGACAGACATGTTGTGTCTCAGATGGTAATGTGACACGGCTACAGATGTGTCTTCTGCAGACGATAGATCATAACGTTGTTCTTTAGTTACAGTGTGAGGATAACTGGTCATTGGGCTCCAGGCAATCAGCAGCTCCAGTTCTCTCCTCGCAGCCACTTTCATCTTAGACCTTATTCAACAATTTTAGCGGTAGTGGGTTTATTAATAGCAATAATCCTTGCATTTGATATAGGCCTTATCACATCGTCAAGACATCTCAAAGCGCTTCACAGGATATTGTGTATAGTAGATTTACTGTATTTTGTGGGAGAAATGTGGCAGCCAGTTGGTGCACAAATAGCCATGGAGTGAGCAATCAATGTTATTTGGGGCATTGGTGGCCAGGACTCCGGGAGAAGCTCCCTTCTCTTTTTGATTAGTACCTTGGGATCTTCAACGTCCAGCTGAACAGACAGCACTACATAGGAGTGTCATCTTAGACAATGTGATTCCAAATCCCAATGTGGGGCTTGAACCCCGACCTTCAAATCAAGAAAGTCTGTGAATGCAGCATAATGGGGAAATATGTAGTTCCTAATTCTATTTCTACTGTGTAATTAGAGTTATGAGTATTATTATTACATCAACAGAAGTAGAACACAGTAATTAAAGGGAAATGAGGAAAGGTAGGAACCTATTCCTATCAGCTTGATGTGAGCTCATATCATTGATTCATATTATCTCAGCCTCTTTAGTGTGAATGTACAAAGGAGTCCTGGTGTTGGTGACCCTTAATGATAGCAGGATAGACAGAAAAATGATAGACAAATCTAGCAATTGGATGCATTAATATATATTAATACACAAAATATACAGTCAATTCACTTTACAGTATATTCTATGAAGCGCTTTGAGACGTCTTGAAGATGTGATAAGGCGCTGTATCAAATGCAAAGATTATTATTATTATTATGAATTTGTTTATTCTACGCTAAGATTTCTGTGTGCTTTGTGCAGGGCTCTCTTTACCAGTGGATGGAACAGCATAGAGAAGAAGGTGTACAACATCCCTGGGGTGTCTCCGGACATGATGAAACTTATTATAGAGTACGCTTACACACGGACAGTACCAGTCACCGTGGAGAATGTGGAGAGACTTCTGGCTGCTGCAGATCAGTTCAACGTCCTGGGAATTGTCAGGGCCTGTTGTGAATTCCTGGAAAGTCACCTTTGTTTGGAAAACTGCATTGGGATATGCAAATTTGCAGATTATTATTTCTGCCCTGATCTCAGGCACAAAGCTTACATGTACATCCTGCACCACTTTGAGGAGATTGTGACGGTGAATGAAGAGTTCCTGGAGCTCTCAGCCGTTGAGCTCAGAGACGTCATTGAGAAGGATGAGTTGAATGTGAAAGAGGATGTAGTGTTTGATGCCATTCTCAAGTGGATTGCCCAAGATCCAGACATCAGGAAAAAGTGCATTGTCATCCTACTGCCCAAGGTAACAACAACTTGCATTTATATAGCGCCCTTCATACAGAGTAGTGTCCTGGAGCACTTCACGTGGGGCGGAGTCTGACAATGAGCCAGGGGAGAGGGAGGTGACTGTGAGCACAATCAAAAAGGATGGTCTTTAGGTGTAATTTGAAGGTGGGCAGGTAGGAGGCAAGGTGGAGGGATTGAGTTCCAGAGGTTTGGGGCATAGTGGTAGAAGATATGGCCACCGATGGTGGAACGGAGGGCATGAGGGACAAATAGGAGGCAGGAGCCAGCTGAGCAGAGGCAGTGGTGGTGGTCTGGGGGTGAGCAGGTTGGATAGGTACTTTATGAGATACATTTACATCTCTATTTCATGGGGCCTGGTGCAGGAGAGAACACGAGCTGCAGAGTTCTGGATGATCTGCAGCTTGTGGAGAGAAGAGTTGGGAAGGCCGACAAGCAGGGAGTTGGCATAGTCAAGCCTAGATGTGATAAATGCATGGATGAGGGTTTGGCAGCCTGAGGGCTGAGGCATTGGCAGAGCCGGGCGATGTTGTGGAGGTGGGGGAAGGCAGAGCGGGTCATGGTATGGATGTCAGGTGGAAAGGACAGTTGAGGGTCAAACAAGACCCCAAGGTTCCAGACTGGCTTAGCAAAGTGGAGTTTTCATCCATGGATGGTGATGCTGTCAGTGCCTGAGGTGAGGAGGTGCTGACGGGAGCCAATCAGGAGAGCCTCGGTCTTGTTGACGTTCAACTGAAGAAAGTTAACTCTCATCCAGGACTTGATGTCCGACAGACATTCTGTCAGGACAGCAGTGGGTCCTGGAGTCAAGGGTGGAGGCAGAGAGATGGAGTTGTGCGTCATCCCCATGCATGTGAAAGTTGACCCCATGTCTTAATTAAGCCCCAAAATATGAGGTATGCATGGTATTCTGCAACAATGATAGATTTTAAAAAACTAAAGGAATTAAGGGACATGGGGAGCAGTGCTGGATCTAGTTCTGGAAAGAAACATTGGCAGGTAAAACAGCTAATGAGCAATGGGAAGCCTTCCAGGAGGAGATAGTTCAGGCACAGAAAAAATACATTCCCACCAATGGGAAAGGTATGGCATCCAAACCTCCCTGGATGAATAAGGAAATTGGGATTAAAATAAAACAAAAAAAGGAGATTTGTGTGATAAATATCATGTCAGAAATACAGAAGATAATCAAGTAGAATACAGAAAGTACAGAGGAGAACTGAAAAAGGGAATAAGAAGGGCAAAGAGATTGTATGAGAAAAGATTAGTGGGCAGAAGGATAAATTCGGGAACCAAAGGCCAGTCAGTAGTGGGGAAACTTCTGGAGACTATAAATTGGAACAAAATACATTTTCACTAAGAAAATTATGCCTTAATAAAGGACAGCCAAAATGGGTTAATTAAAGGCAAATCATGTCTAACAAACCTGATAAGAGTTTTTTGATAAAGTAATGGAGAGGGTGGATGAAAGAAGTGCATTTGATGTAGTTTATATGAATTTTCAAAAGACATTTGATAAAGTGCCACATAAGAGACTTGTGAGCAAAAGAAGCCCCCGGTATTAAAGGGACAGTGGCAGCGGATGCAGAACTGGCTGGAGCACGCAAGAGTTGACCTACTGATTCCTGAAACGTGCAGGCTAATAGCTGGATTTTATTATTTTTATGCCACCTCTAAATGCATAAATGGAACCATTGCTCAAGGGGTAGGGATGTGTGTCTGAGCTGTGGGCAGGAAGATGGTGTCAATGCTCTCACGTATTTCATGCTGAGCTGTATGGCTCACCAGGAAGTGCGCAGTACCTGCCGTCCATCTAGCAGGAGTTCAACATGTTCAACTGCGTTTGTTGGATGTGAAATGACCAACCATGACTATCCTTCTTGGAGGGGAGGTAATCAGGTTCTCCTTGAAGCTGAACTGGCTCTAAGGAGACATGCTTGGCAACGGAATCTCAGAATCGAGCCAGCCCTCTGTGGTGGTCTCGGAAGTCCAGTTCCTGAATCAGGTGTGTCTGCGGTATTCCGGGGCACTGCTTGATGACAGACCAGCCAGCCTGGCTCATCGGACTGGAGTACAGGTGGGAGGGAGAGTAGAACAGTCACTGGGGTAGGGATTCTTCCCACTCAGCTCCTGTTAACTTCAAAAGCTGAAGTCTTAACAAGTAGGGTGATCCTAGCTCAACATGCTGCAGTAACCTTCCCAGTCACTGTTTTCATAGGCAAGCTATTACAGTTTTAGCTGCTTAAACTTTAGCAGTTACCCCAAAGCACACTCTAGGATCCCCAAGCCTCGGCTCTTGTTAACCTATGCCTCATACTCTCTGGAATTATGTAAGCAGGGTGTGTCGTAACCAGGGAGTGTATGCATTCCATTCTAGACACAGGGAAATTTCCAACTGTAGATGAGATACATATGTAGACCGTGTAATCTAAATGGAATCCTGTAGCTCAGTGGTTAGAGCACTCACCTCACAAGTGGGAGACCTGGGTTCAATTCCCAGCAGGGTGAGATGTTGGGCAAGTTTCCTAAGTCCACACGCCTCTATTTACCCAGCAGTAAGTAGGAACCCAGTTGTTAGTCGATTGGTGGATCGCTTTTCAGGGCGTAATAATTCCTTCAAAAAAAAANTTGGTCACTTCAATCCACGACTGTTTGTGGGACACCTCTGTGCGCAATTGGCTGCTGCATTTTGCCCACAAAATATACAGTCAATTTACTTTACAGTATACTCTCTGAAGCACTGTGAGACACCTCGAAGATGTGATAGGGTGCGATAATGCAGGGATTATTATTATTATATTATTTCTAATCTGGTGTGGATACTCTTGAGCATGTGCCAGACATCTAGCTGAGCAAAACATTATTGTGGAAGAATATACTAGCCTTGGAGAATGTCTGGTGGTGATCCACTAGATTCATACCCAGAATGAAGAGGTTTAGCTGTGATGAGATGCTGTGTACATTTGGGTTATATTCATTAGAGATGAGGAGGTTAAGAAAGACTGAGATGCTTAAAATAATAAAAAGAATTGATAAGTTAAATGGTAGATGACTCTTCCCTCTGGTTGAGGGATCCAAGATAAGGAGATATAATCTTAAAGTGAGAGCTAGGTTGGTTAAGTCACATCAGAAAACCTTTCTCTGCACAGAGGGTCATGAAAATATGGAACTCACAAGCCCTGTATATAGAGAGTTGGATTCTAGGGATGGTTAAAAGGAAGCGAGAAGGATAGTTTCCGAAACTCTGGAACACTCGCCCTCTATCCCTCCTCATTGCCCCTTCCTTCCCCATCTGCAGTTGTGCATGTAGACCTTCCACATCGACCTTTCCAATGGTAACCTCCACCCAACTCAGCATCTACCAGGATCTGATAAACTTACCAATGGAACAGGCTTGATAGTCTCCTATTGCTATGTTCCTAACCTTGAGGTTAACATTGATGAATAAAATAGATTTTTTTCATCTCATTGATACCAATGACACTAATTGTAATTTGTAGCCACTGGCGATGAGTGGTGGCATTGGCATCAATGGAAGAGTAATGCTACATCTTCTCACAAGTGAGAGGACTTGGGTTCAATTCCCGGCAGGCTGAAATGTTGGCCATTTTTCCTTACTCCACATGCCTGTTTACCTAGCAGTAAATAGGAACCAGGTTGTTAGTTGATTGGCGGATCACTTTTCTGGGGGTACTAATTCCTTTAAATAATAAATAAATAAATAATAATAATTTGGTCACATCAATCCACAACTGTTTGTGGGACACTGCTGTGCGCAATTGGCTGCCATAGATCGTCCACAAAACATACATTCACTTTACAGTATATTCCATGAAGTGCTTTGAGACATGAAAAGGCACTATATCAGATGCAAGGATTATATTGTTGTATCATTATATTATATACTACATCTAAACATGTTGTGGATGATTCAGTCTAACACACCTTTCCCTAACTAATGCAGTGGTGGAAGGCACCTGTATGCTGGGCTTGGCCACATGCTACACTCTGTCACCCAACTCCCAGTCCAGAGCTTTCCTGAGATTGGAAGTTCTCTATGTGACAGTTGTGTGCGTGAACCTGTAGCAAAGTGTCCTCTGATAATCCTTGCATTTGTATAGCACCTTCACATCGTTCAGACATCTCAAAGTGTTTCACAGGATATACTGTAAAGTGGATTGACTGTGTATTTTGTTGGTGAAACGCCAGTCGCACACAGCAGCATCCCACAAACAGCCAAGGAGTGAGTGACTCATTTTATTTGGGGGATTTATTGACCTCACCAGGAGAAACTCCCTATTCTTTTCGAATAGAAGCCACGGGATCTTTTATCATCCACCTGAATAGGCAAATGGGACCTCGGTTTAATGTTCCAACTGAAGGACAACACCTTCAAGAATGCAACTACAGCACAGCATTGGAGCATTGGCTTAGACCCGATGTAGGGCTTCAACATGCAAACTTTCTGATTCCAGAGGCGGAGCCAGGAGGACACGCATGGAAAGTGTGTTTGAATGTAAAGGAGTTTGCCCTTCAAGGAGAAGCAAGCAAGGGAGCTGCACACGTGTGCGAATGAACCTTTAGAGCGTAGACTCATATAAGTGCAGGAATAAAGGGGGGGCTTACACTTTGGAGCTCTCAGGGTTGATAGCTCTTGTTTTATCTCACTTACAGGTCAGGCTAGCTTTAATGAACGCAGAGTATTTCATGAACAACGTTAAAAACAATGACTATGTCAAGGACAATGACGACTGCAAACCTATCATCATCAACGCCCTGAGAGCGATGTATGATCTGAACATGAACGGCCCATCGAACTCAGACTTCCGCAATCCCCTGACCAGACCTCGGCTGCCTTACTCCATCCTCTTTGCCATCGGTGGCTGGAGCGGTGGAAGCCCCACCAATGCCATTGAGGCATACGATGCCCGGGCCGACAGATGGGTGAATGTGACGTGTGAGGAGGAGAGCCCGAGGGCGTACCATGGGGCTGCGTATCTCAACGGCTTTGTGTACATCATAGGCGGCTTCGACAGCGTTGACTACTTCAACAGTGTCAAGCGCTTTGACCCTGTAAACAAGACGTGGCAGCAGGTGGCCCCCATGCATTCCCGCCGCTGCTATGTCAGCGTTACCGTCCTGGACAACTTCATCTACGCCATGGGGGGCTTCGACGGCTACGTGCGGCTCAACACCGCAGAACGGTACGAGCCAGAAACCAACCAGTGGACACTGATTGCACCAATGCACGAACAGAGGAGTGATGCGAGCGCCACAATGCTGCACGGAAAGGTAACCCTCAAACCCCCCCTCCCCCAAATGGTTCATTCATGTTTCAAGCCTTTGATTGTTTATTTCTAAAGCACCTACAAAATACCATGTAAATGCCATATATATATATAATAATATTCCTTGCATTTGCTATTACTCCTTATCATGTCGTTGAGGTGTCTCAAAGCACTTCACAGAATATACTGTCAGGTTGTAGTGACTGCGCACTTTGTGGGTGAACTATATTTGTTGTATGTCTTGCCCACAAAATTTGTCCTCCCCAAATACCAATCAAACTTCTCTCCTGAAAGTTGTTATCGAATCTGCTTCACCGCCCTTTCAGGCAGTGCATTCCAGATCCGAACAATTCGCTGTGTGAAAAATGTTCTCCTCATCTCCCCTCTGGTTCTTTTGACAACTATCTCAAATCTGTGTCCTCTGGTTACTGACCCACCCGCCAGCGGAGGCAGTTTCTCCCTGTTCATGCTATCAAATCCCCTCATAATTTTTAACTCTACTAAATCTGCCATTAACTTTCTCTGCTCCAAGGGGAATAATCCTAACTTCTCACACCTCTCCTCATAACTGAAGCCCCTCATTCCTGGTACCATCCTGGTCAATCTCCTTTGCACCCTCTCCAATGCCTTGACATCCTTTCTAAAGTGTGGGGCCCAGAACTGAACACAGTCTCTCGCTGAGGCCTAACCAGTGTTTTATATAAAGGTTCATCATAACTTCCTGACTTGTGTATTCTATGCTCCTCTTTATAAACTAAAGATCCCATAAGCTTTCTTTTTAACAGGTTTGTCACTTTCCTGCCACCTTCAAAGATTTCCTTATATGACCCCCAGGTCTCTCTGTTCCTTCACCCCCTTTAAGATTGTACCATCAGCTGATATTGCCTCTCCTCATTCTTCCTCCCAAATTGCATCACTTCACATTTCTCCACATTAAACTTCATCTGCCACGTGTCTGCCCATTTCACCGGTCTATCTAAGTCTACCTGAAGTCAGTTACCTACTCCTCACCATTCACTACTTGTCCTAGCTTTGTATCATCTGCAAACCTGGAAATTGTACTCCCTTTTCCCAAGTCCAGGTAATTTATATAGATTAAAAACAGCAGTGTCCCAATACCGACCCCTGGGGGACACCACTGCACACTTTCCTCCAGTCAGAACAACACCACCACTCTCTGCTTTCTGTCTCCCAGGCAGTTCTGTATCCACTGTCGCTGTCCCTTTTATACCGGGGGCCTCTATTTTGCACACAAGTTTCTTATGTGGCACTTTATCAAATGCCTTTTGAAAATTCATATAAACTACATCAACTGCATTCCCTTCATCCACACTCTCCGTTACTTCATCAAAAAAACTCGGACATGATTTGACATGATTTGCCTTTAACAAACCCTGTCCTTCATTAACCCATACTTTTCTAAGTGAAAATTAATTTTGTCCCGGATTACAGTCCTGTAGCTCAGTGTGTACAGTGGTTAGAGCACTCGCTTTGCAAGTGAGAGACCTGAGTTCAATCCCAGGCAGAGGGCGAAACCTCGGGCAAGTTTCCTTACTCCTCACAGAGCCTAATAATAATCCCTCCAAAACCAAAAACAATAATAAATTGGTCATTTTCAATCTACGACTGTTTGTGGGACATTGCTGTGCGCAATTGGCTGCCGCGTTCGCCCACAAATATACAGTCAATTCATTTTACAGTGTGTTCTGTGAAGCGCTTTGGGACGTCCTCCCGACGTGAAAAGCGCTATATCAAATGCAAGGATTATTATTATTATTATTATTATTATAGTCTCCAGAAGTTTCCCCACAACTGACGTTAGGCTGACTGGCCTGTAGTTCCCAGGTTCATTCTTCTCCCCCTTTTTGTACAGGGAGTAACATTTACAACATTTACCATTCTATCTTCTAATCTTTCTTTCCAGTCCACCTTTTCAACTCACTGAAATTAGCCTCTTCCAGTTGAGTATTTTCACCTTTGATTGTCCCTTTCTATAAATACTCTAAACCTAATGATGCTGAGATCACTGTTGTCCAGATGCTCTCCTACTGAAACCTTCTCCACTTTGCCCCACTTCTTCCCCAGAACTAGATCCAGCACTGCTCCCTTGCTCGTTGGGATGGAAACATACTGATCCAGAAAGTTATCCTGCACACATTTCAGGAATCTTTCCCCCTCCTTGTCCTTTACACTGTTATTTTGCCAGTCTATGTTAGGATAATTGAAGAACCCCCATTATCACTACTCTTTTGGTTTTGCATCTTTCTGATATCTGCTGTAGATTTGCTCGTCTCTCTCCTTCCCAATATTTGGTGGTCTATAATACCCACCTAACAGAGTAACAGCTCCTTTTCTGCTCCTTAACTCAAACCAAATAGATTCTGTTTTTGGATCCTCTAGCACATCGTCCCTTTCCAGGGCCATAACCGGGTCTTTATTCAATATTGCCACCCCCCCACCCTCCTTTTTTCCCTTCCCTATCCCTCCTGAATGCATTGTAGCCAGGAATATTCAGCTCCCATTCCTGCCCTTACTTGAGCCAGGTCTCCGTTATTGCCACTACATCATAACCCCACGTGGCAACTTGAGCCACAGCTCACCAATCTTGTTTGTCACACTTCGTGCATTTACGCACATGCACTCCAAGGCCTACTGAGCCTGCTCTGCATTTCTCCCCTATCTGATCCGTCCTTTTTCTGGACTACTTTTGATTGCATTATTGTTCATTTCTCCCAGTCCTCTATCTACCTTGTTTCTCCTCTCTGATGCTACATCCTGGTTCCCTTCCCCCTCCAAATTAGTTTAAACCCTTCCCCACAGCACTTGCTAACCTCCCTGTGAGGACATTGGTCCCAGCCCTGTTCTGGTGCAACCCATTCACATTGTACAGGCCCTACCTGCTCCAGTACTGGTCGCAATGTTCCAGGAATCTGAAGCCTTTCTGCACCATTTCTCCAGCCAGGCATTAATGTGCTTTATCCTGCTGTTCCCATGTGGCACTGGGAGTAATCCAGAGATCACCACCTTGGAGGTCATGCTCTGTAGCCTTATCCCTAGCTTCTGAAACTCTGCCTGGAGAATCTCAACCCTTTTTTCCCTACGTCATGGATTCCAACATGGACAACGACTTCTGGCTGTTCCCTTTCCCCCACAGAATGTTTTGCGCCCGTTCCGTGACATCTTTTACCCTGACACCAGGGAGGCAACATACTATGTGAGACTCATGCCTGTGGTTGCAGAAACGCCTGTCTATCCCCCTGACTGTTGAGTCCCCAATGACATTTAGCACTCTTCCCTGTGTCCCCTATGCATTGATTCTCTTCCCAGAGTCCGCCTGTGCATTGATTTGCTTTTGACTGCCCTCTGTAAAGGTGTCGTCACCCTCATCGGTATTCAGCACAGAAAATTGTTTGTGAGTGCCACACGCTTGGAGGATTTCTGAACTGCCCGTCTCCCCTTCCTACCAGGGCCGGGTGGTCACCCACTCACTCTCCTTCTGAACTCTTGGTGGCTGTGTGGTGACCACACAGAAAACTCTCCTGTTTTTATCTTCAAATGCAATTTAATGGCCATTTGCATGTTTAAAAGGGAGATTGGACATGCTTCAGTATATCACAGGTTTAGATAATAATGCGGCAACATTGCATCGTCCTGTAGCTCAGTGGTTAGAGTACTCGCCTCGCAAGCGAGAGGACCTGGGTTTGATTCCCGGGAGGGCAAAACGTTGGGCAAGTTTCCTTACTCCAAATGCCTGTTAATTTAGCAGAAAGTAGGAACTCAATTCACAACTGTTTTTGGGACACTACTGTGCACAATTGGTTGCCCCGTTTTACCCACAAAATATACAGTCAATTTACTTTACAGTATATTCTGTGAAGCGCTTTGAGACCCCTCAAACACGTGATCAGGCGCTGTATCAACGTATTATTATTATTATCACAAAGTGAGCTCTGATGTCAGAGGCAACCTGGGAAGTGATGGCAGGTGATGTGGTGTAATTTATACAGCAGTTTCTTTTTATTTACCTCAATGCAATTATCTCGATGCTGAACTGCTTTTGTTAAGTAAAGAATAATGGAGAAAAGGCAAAAATGGGACTAAATGATATGGTCACCACCTCATAAAATAGCAGACAGGTCTGTCCTTGCGACCCCCACTGACTCTGCTTGAGTGGAAAGTACATGCCTTAATGAGGCCTCCATGGAGACTTACCGTTTACATTACTATAATCATCCTTGCATCTGGTAAATATCGCACCTTATCACGTTGAACCATCTCAATAACCTCCCAGGATTTACTGTAGACTGAGTCGGTACTTTGGAGGTGATCACAGCAGCGAATGGGCCCACAGCAATGCCAGCTGTGAAGTGAATGACCTTTTTATCTGGGGGATTGTTGACTAGGACACCAGGAGAAACTCCCCTTTCTTTTCGAGTAGCACCATGGGAGCTTTGCCATCCACCCAAACAGGCAGATGGGGCTTCAGTTTAACATCTCATCCGAGGGAAGGGCAGCTCTGACAATGCAGCGCTAACCCCCCCACCCCACCCCAGCACAGCACGGGAGTGCCAGCCCGGACTGTGAGCTTTATTGGGGTGTGACAGAGCAAACAGCTTTCCAGAAATGCAGATCAGATCTTTCCAACAGTAGGAATCTCTCTCTGCCTCTCGCTTTTCCACCTAAACTTATAAATAATTTGTTAAAAATAAACATTCCCGTGATGCCAAATATATGTGGGATAACTATCTGGTCTAAAGAACAGAGAAACAAGGTAAACACTACTCAATAATAATAATAATCCTTGCATTTGATACTGCGCCTTACTATGTCTCCGAGACATCTCAATGCACTTCACAGAATACACTGTAAAGTGAATTGTCTGTATATTTTGTGGGCGAAACGCGGCAGTTTAAATGTCTTAAATAGCTGCTTTCAGATAAACCATTTAGACGTTTTTTAACTAACAATAAAAACATACCTAGGACATTAAAGTTACCCAGGACAGATTGAGTTTTGCCTTCAGTTCCCAATTCTCAGGTTAGGATGCTCTCTGCTGACGGTAATTGTAATTTCTTTCACATAATCCGTACCCTCAAGAATTCCTGATCAGGTGCAATCACCTCCCGCTCCCCTCTACTTGGAATCTAAACCAAACTGGTTTCGTGCATAAGACAGATGGCTCGGGGGATTGGCAAGAGTTGCCTGTGAGCAGCAATTGTTTTTTTGTCTTAGCAATTTCTCACACTACAGATTCCTGAAACTCAGTGATTAAAGCGCTCGCCTCACAAATGTGGACCGTTGGTTTGATTCCCAGAGGGGCAAAACCTTAGGCAAGTTTTCTTACTTCACGTGTCTGTTTACCGAGCAGTTAATAGGTCCCCGGTTGTTAGACGATTAGCAAATCGCTTTCCGTGGGTAATAACCCCTTCAAAAAACTACTACTAATAATACTTTGGTCACTCAATCCGTGACTGTTTGTGGGACCCTGCTGTGTGCAATAGTTATGCCCACAAAATATACAGTGAACTCACTTTACAGTCTATTCTGTGAGGCGCTTTGAGACGTCTCAATGACGTGATAAAGACACTCTATCAAATGCGAGGATTATTATTATTACTTCTCCCGGCAACACAGATGAGACTATATAAGCTTGTAGCCCTCGAGGCACGGATTCACTTCCTGTTCACGGTCACTAAAGCTGCCCCTTCTCCACCAGGTGTACATATGCGGAGGATTCAATGGCAACGAGTGCTTGTTCACAGCGGAGTTCTACACGCCTGAAACCAACCAATGGACAAGCATCGCGCCCATGCGGAGCAGGCGAAGTGGCGTTGGTGTCATTGCGTACGGAGAATGCGTGTATGCGGTGAGTGGCAGCTTCAGCTTTGGTTCAGTGTTGGTCAACCTTTTTGGACGGCCAACAAAATAATCTTCGATAAACTGATCATTTGTACCACTACAGTTTAATTAGTCCTTTAGTTTAGCCAGTTTGAAGGTTGTTTTAATAATAATCCTTGCATTTGATACAGCGCTTTATCACATCTTCGAGACGTCTCAAAGCGCTTCACAGAATATGCTGTAAAGTGAATTGACTGTATATTTGTGGGCGAAACGCGGCAGCCAATAGCGTACCAGGAGTGTCCCACAAACAGTTGTGGATTGAGTGACCAAATTATCATTTTTTTGTTAAAAGGGATTATTAACCCCAGAAAAGTGATCCGTCAATCGACTTACAACCGGGTTCCTGCTTACTGCTAGGTATACAGAGTCGTGTGGAGTAAGGACACTTGCCCAGTGTTTCGCACGGCAGGGAATCAAACCCAGGTCCTTTCACTTTATTGTTACCATCATTTCCAAATTTAAATTAAGAAAATATCTCCATTTTCTCTCAAAATGTTACACTGCTGTGTGCAATTGTTTCGCTCACAAAATATACAGTGAATTCACTTTACAGTGTATCCTGTGAAGTGCTTTGAGACGTCTCGAAGACTTGATAAGGCGCCGTATCAATTGCAAGGATTATTATTATTATTATGACCCAATAACCATTTGTAGTAACAAAAGGGCGAGGAAGTAAATCGATCAGTTTCTTTCTCATTTTCCATTCCCATTCCAGGTTGGAGGATTTGATGGAGCCAATCGGCTGCGGAGCGCGGAAGCTTACAGCCCCCTCACCAACACATGGCGTACCTTGCCCACCATGTTTAACCCCCGCAGCAACTTTGGCATTGAAGTGGTGGATGATCTTTTGTTTGTCGTGGGCGGTTTCAACGGCTTCACGACCACGTTTAACGTCGAGTGCTATGATAAGAATACGGACGAATGGTATGACGCCCACGACATGAGCATCTACCGCAGTGCCCTGAGCTGCTGTGTAGTGCCAGGACTCCCCAATGTCAGGGAATATGCAGCACCGAGAGACAGTCTCCTGGGACTACTTTCCCGCGAGGAACAAATAAAATACTCTGCCTCTACCAGCCTCTTAGCAGTATGATCTCTGCATTGACCACCGATCACGCTTTTGCTGTTCCCAATAAAATTTTAACTGATGAATCAACAGTGTAATAACCATAAATAAACTTATTTTTAAATTTTAAAAACAATTTAGCATGTTGTGACGATTGGTCTAAAACGTACACTGATTTTCAGTAATGTAGAGCCAAAGGTAAGGGAAGCACTGCTGAGAGAGGAGGTATATCGCTCAGGTAACCGAGGCTCGGATGTTGCACAAGTGCTAAGGGCAACGGTAAATATTTTACAAAGAAAAAAAATGTTACCGGGAATTTGTTGATTCAATCCTCAATACCGAATGTGCTCGCAGCAGCAGTTACGTGGGTGCATTTCACATGAAATTCCTTCAAAAATGATATTGATTGGAACATAAGGTAGTTTCGATCAAAGTAATATCCTGAAATAAATAATCCTTGCATTTGGTATGGTTTCTTTATCTCGTCAAAACGTCTCAAACCGCTATGCAGAATTTTACTGCAAAGCGTAGATTGTTATTTTATTTCGGGAATTGTTGGCCAGGACACATATATGGGACATCTTTCTTGCCTTGGCATGTCCTTCTGACGTGAAAGGCACAATATAAATGTTATGTTATTGTTTAATTCTAATCAATGCATTGCTCTCTCGCACTGTGAATGAATCCAGCCCAGACTAAAGGATGATACTGGAATTGTGAGGTTATACCTATCAGGAAAGGCTGAACCAGCCTGGACTCTTTTCTCTTGAAAAGAGAAGGTTGAGGAGTGACCTAATAGAGGTCTTTAAAATTATGAAAGAGTTTGATAGGGTAGAAAGCTCAGCCACCGATGGTGGAGCGGAGGGGATGAGGGACATGTGAATAAAAATATAAAGGGGCAACCGTTGTCCATAACAAAGTAACATAAAAATACCCGGCTACTAACCCGGGGATGATGGAAGGTTCGCGGTGGCAGGTGGGTGTTGACGTATGTTTGCAAGTGTACGAGGAACCCACCTGTCAGGTTCCTCAGCAGATCGGACTCGGCCACTTGTGCCGTGAACTCTTAAGGGCACCGAATCGGCATGTCGAGTGAAAAAGAGCTCAAGTTATTTTTCCATCAACTATCTAACACCACCAGAAGAAAACATGTAGACATGAATGTTTCTGATAAAGGTAAATTCTTTGACTTTATTGACAAGATATTGTACAGATTTTAAAAAACAAAGCTCATGTGCAGTATATGACTTACTTTACTGAACCATCACGATGTACATGCACATGCATGTTAGCTTAGATCTGTCACGTCTGCACTACTTGGGTAGAGGAATTCACCGAGTACAGTATTCAACAGACATTACATGACCTCTCTTACGTGTAATATATTCCTCTTCCCATTAGTCCAAACAGTTACATTCACACGGTACACAGCCAGCAGCACCGAAACGTCACGAGGGAAAAACTGCACTTCACAAACAAAAGCTTTTCGGGAACAGCAGCACACAATTACAGGAACAAACTTATACAGAAGCCAAATCCTACACCAAGAGGTTCCCTCGATCACAATGTGCAGCCGCTCTGCTCTGGCAGTAAAGCGGTGGCGACTCTGATTCAGAGCCTGAGTTTAAACCCCCACCTGGAATGTACCCGTCGCCACCTCTCGACCGACCCACCACACGGTAGCAAAACATTCATCTTGGGCAGGAGGGAGATAGAAATCACACACATACAAAGCAAATATAATTACTTGAACGTTACCAGACTGTTTGAAATGAAGATGCGCTGCTCCAGCAACTTGCGTAACACAGATTAAAATCACCAATAATAGTGTGAAGCACTAGTTGAAATATTTCATGTTACAATTAAACACTTACAGATTTCACATCACTGTATCGTAACTCAGGTAAACGGAAAAGTTAATTGTGGAAGACTGTTAGTTTAAAAAAAACATAAAACTATTATGAGTCTGTGAACACTGTTACAAAGACACAGACGGGTTGGGTTCCTCCTGAAGACACACAAGGTTAGTCTTTGAAATAGTTGCAAGCTTTTCACTCTGCACACTTTGCAACGACAGATTGGGAAATACTACCTGAACACCTCATGAACACCTGAACAAGGTGATGAGCAAGAGTAAAGTTGTGGAATGTATTTATGAATTTATGTATTCGCGAAGTTCCAGTTGAAAGGTGGAGGGGAGCGGGAACATAACATGGCATCGGACAGACCCAACGCTCCCTAGTAAAAACAGAAGTCGCTAGAAACACTCGGCAGGTCAGGCAGCACCTATGGAGTCGATGACCTGAAACACTAACTCACTTTCCTCTCTCCATAGATGCTGCCTGACCTGCTGAGTGTTCTCAGCCACTTCTGTTTTTGTTTCAGATTTCCAGCATACGCAGAATTTTGCCTTTTGTCCAATGCTCCTATTGCCACTTGACAGTGAACAGGAGGCAGCGGAGAGGAGGAGAATCCCTCCCACAAGTGGAGCAAACTGGTCAACCCTCAACACCCGGATGCAAGAATTCAGGTATTTAAGAAAACGAAGCAAGTTTTCTTTAAACGGGTCCTGTCTACGCTCAGTGCATCTATGGACCCTTTCACCCATTGTACACTCATTCCTATTTAATACTGAGCTCTCATCCTGCACTGGTCAGTGAGGGAACTCGATCACAAGCCTGGCAATGCCTGGCAGTCACACCTCACAAACAGTGCCATGATCCAGTAAAACAAACAGGGAATCCTGGAGTATAAAATCTGTCCCGACAGGCGCTTAAGACAGACTAAAACGGGTATGGTCAGCGAGGGTATATTCGGAGTGTGTAACCTTCTCCCAAACCACAGCACACACAGGAGGTGGCTGGTGGGGCTTACGGTCAGGCAGATTTGTTGCTTGTACGTTGAAGCAGGATAAAAAGGTGCATTGCGGTGTAACATCTCCCAATCTGTGTTCAAGATCACAACAAGCAGAGGTTATCATTCCTCATGTGCTAAAACATGCTGCAGTATCACTTACCATCACTTGTGACAATGCGCGCGTGTTGAATCTAAAAATTAAAAGGCGTTGTTAGCATCAAGACTTCAATTGAAAGAAATCTCAGCATCAGAAACGGTTTTCAAGCTGTGTACAAGTCGGATGCCGAAAGCTGAAATGCATTTCCTTCCCTGGAGGAAACCAGCACAGAGCAGCTCTGTGTTCTGTGTGTTTGTTTAGTTGTAGCTTCCCTGAGACGGATCAGCCCTGGGGTTGGGTCACGTCTGCTCATTTCCAGATTTCTAAACGGGCCAACGGTTTACAGTTAGAAATCTGGAAATGAGCAGACGTGGCCCAACCCCAGGGCTGATCCGTCTCAGGGAAGCTACAACTAAACAAAACCAACACTCAACTCTGTTGATTACAGAAACAGAAACGGAAGTGGCTGGGAACACTCAGCGGGTCAGACAGCATCGACGGGAGACAGGAAAGTGAGTTAATGTTTCAGGTGGACGACCTTCCATCAGAACAGAGTTCTCACTTTCTTCTCTCCATAGATACTGCCCGACTTGCTGAGTGTTCCCAACCAATTTCTGTTGTCATTTCAATGTCCAGCATCTGCAGTACTTTGCTTTTTTTCCTGTTGCTCACAGTCTCTCTGCTTTGTGTTCATTACAGTCAAGACTTGTACCGTGTAACTGACTGCCAGAATGTAGTTGCAGAATGGAACCAAAAAAAAAAGGACAATCACATGGAAGAATGGCATTAATGTGTGATATCTGACAGCTTAATGGTACTTAAGCAGCCCAGTCAAAAATGTATTTACACTACCACAAAGATTATACACATGGTACGAATAAAAATTACATCTTATTATAGACACATACAGAAGCACAACGGGCAGCACTTAATTTAAACCATTCATTTAAAAAAAACAGCTGAACACAGACCGCTAATAAAAATAAAGGACGGCTTTATGGTTCCCCTCCCCATCCCAATTGAAAGCAACCCTACAAAACTAAAATCAGGACATCACCAATTACTCATATCAAAATAATTCTATACAAAAATCTTCTCGAGGCACTGACTCTAGCTCCACAAAGTAGGCCACTGAGGGAATGGATCACGTATCAAACACACAACGGCATCCCTTCCACACACACAACACACGCGCACAACACATGAGCTGTCATGTTACAAACGCAATCACAAAACATGAATTTAAACAGAGATCACTTCCAAGCCGAAGACAGAATGACTTCTGATTAAGACTATGACATAAATTTAAGAGATTGTCCCTTCTCTGAGAAGTCTTACAATGAAAACATAACAGTGAAAAATACATTTGGGAATCGCAATAATCCTACTTTAGTGTTCCTATATACACAGCACAAGGGAATGGCACAGAACTCAACAGTACAATATATACTCACATACACTTATAAATCAGAATGTTACAAACACAATACTGTATTTAAACAACCAACATGTATTTTGAAACATATAGAGTAAGAAAAGTATTCTTTTCAAGGGAGTGCAGAGCTCAAATGTTTGTATGAAAGGGCCCCATTATATCACACTCAATTCTTTGAAACACGGGTCAACTTGAGCTCAGATAATAATTTGTCCAGACAAACCACAATCAGCTGCAATGTACAGTAAAAACAGGAGACAGACAAACAAGTGCTTTGTGCAAAAACCTGGTTTCCACCATTGTTATATTGGATGAAGAGAATGAGGTAAAAAAAAGTAAGAGAAATGTCTGAATATAGTGTTTCATTATATGTGGAGTTTGCCGCTCAGCTCTTCATACCAAACCTGTTTAATTACTTTTCCACAGATTGCATATTGGAGAATTGCACTTTCTCCCACTCAAAATTAAGAATAAAACCCACAGCAGAGTGTGCACTGGATCCACACATTGTGTATTATGAAGCCTCAGCCACAGTGCAGCTACAGTTGGAAAATAAGAATGGTGGGTGCTATTACAAATCAAACAGGAAATGAAACAAACTATCCTCCAGCAGTTTGAATAGATTGAGTTCTAAGGTTTTCTGTGTATTTCCCATACAAAAACAAAACAATGATCAGCCTGGAATCTTTTCACAATAACCAGCGTCTGGGCAATCTGCCCGGAGCGTTCTGTTACACTGAAAGTCATTCAAGCTTGTTTGCCGTGTTTTTTTCTAAGAACTTACAAGTCATTCAAAACACTCCTCCAATTCACATGATTTGGCTTGAGCTGTTCTTGAGAGTATGGTGAGTCCAACCACTGAGCTGACCCCCTGAGCTGCAGTCAGGGAATCCCTAGTCCTGATTCTAATTGATCAAAGTTGCCAACCTGGCGGTTAAAGAGAACTAAATGCAAATAAAACGCAGAGAAGTTAAAAAGATTTCTGATCAGTTACTTACCTTCACTAACTGGAGTCGTATTCTCAAGGAACCAGACAGTAGCTCAGAACCGCAGCCCATTCAGCAAAGGCTGAGCTGGGCTTGGAAGCAGATTTTGGCCTCTCGCTAAAATGAATAAGAGCCGAATTTACCAAAACCGTCTCTGGGAATAGCAATGTAGTCTGGACAGACAGGCCTTGCAGTCCATATGCAGCTCAGCCTCCTGACTCTGAACAGAACCAGACTTTCTCACCCCAGCTCAACAGTCCCCAATTATCCGCTGGAATCAGGGAGATGGTTATTTCCTGTCACATTCCCCCCAAACATTCCTTCATGGTTCACGTACAGTAGAGCCACGATTATCAGTTTGTTTCAATTATCTCACTCGAATAATACATTTAATCGGATTTCAGTGTTTGGAAAAACAGAACAATGTGGAAATATGCATTAGGCAAAATGGAAAAGGTTATAAAGTGGAATGCTTGGAATAGCGAAAAAAAAGTGAAATTTAACACAGGGGGAACCCAAAGAAAGGCTCAATGAGCAACACCAAAAAGGCCAGGAATGTAGTAGATGATCTATGAGCTATTGTAAATTCTGCCTAATTAATGTACACCCAAATTAGAGCCACTGTTTGACCAGGACTCACAGTGGAAACACAAACTATCTTTGCAGCAAAGGATCAGCAGAAAAATAGTTAAAAGATCTACGTTTTTTGTCCAGTGACACAAACGCTTTAAGGAGAAAGGTCACAAACTGCATATCAATACAAGCAAACAGCTAAGTTGCTGCCCAGATCAACCTTATCTTCTCTAAAAAGGAGGTAAACAAAATATACTACCCGAGCACATAATCAGCCACCCTGAACAACATCTGCCAACCCAACACCTCTGTCAAACTCCCAAAGGTTACACACAGCATTGGAGAAAACTACAACCACAACTTCCATAATCATTTAATTTTTTTCTTCATAATGAAATGTTAGCAAAGATGGTTAGGTCATTGGATTGTGGCTGTGATCCCCCACCCTGTGAGGGGAGGAGATCAAAGAGTGGACACCAGGCACTTGGGAACGAGGAATAAAGTAATTGAGTAGCCCAGCCCCACCCAGGGGACCCCATTGCACATAAGCAGACACTAGTTTCTCTGTTGCGGTTGTTTTGTGGTGAAGCAATTATAACCTCAAAAACTGAAATATCTAAAAACATTTTGAGACCTCCTACAAAGAACTAAAAAGCTCTGCTCTCAAGAAATGACTAACGACTGCACTGAATATACGATTATCATGCTGATTAAAACCACCGTATCAGAACACACAAGAGAAGGAGCTGATCTCTCCACGTAAGCACAGGACACAAGCGGGAATCCAGCTTTGCACCAACCCAGAGGACAGCTTCAGCTCTCATCGAAACGGTCCAGCCAAACTGCTCAAGGCAAGTGCCACCCACAGCCTTGTTCCCACGCCTCCAATATTGCTCTGAAATGCAGGAGGTATCCAGGGCCAGAATGACTTCGGGCAAACACTTGGCCTTCTGCTGGGCACCGCCTCACCATGACAAGAGATTACACGATCAGCACAAACCGGGTAACTCGTACAAAGCCTCGACAATTTCTTGTCCCAACTCCCTGCTCCCATTAGTTGGGAGCCTGTTGAGCACAGCCGGATGGGTGTGATTTTTGCTTACAGGGTTGCTGATTACCATCGCTCTGACAGTGCTGGAGGTGGGGCTGAAAATTGCTTCGGCGAAACATTCGAGCTTAACACTCAACTTGTGGCTGGAGTTGCCGTCTTAGACTCAGAGACCGTCGATGTAACTGCTGCATTTGCTGCATCCGTTCTCTCTGCCTGGCCAGATTCTGGGGCATAGGATACCTCTGAGAGCCATATAGGAACCTGTAAGGGATCCGCGCATGGCAGGCAGTTGCCCGGCAACGTGGCTGAGGCATGGGCGGGAGGAGCATCCAGCGCTTCCGCTCAGAGCAATAGCGGTACGCCTCCTTCCGGTACTGCTTGTCAATGTCATCGCTGTTCTTCCAGCCGCCAATGATGAAGACGTCATCTCGAAAGTAGCAGATGGCAGCTCCCTCGATGCTCAGCACCTCCGGCGGTAAACTTTCCAGGATTTCATCCGCCGTCCTGGCGCAGATCTTCTGCTTGGCTTCCTCGTCCGTCAGCGAGTAGCTCTTGGGGCAGCAGGAAGCCGTGTGGTAAAAGTTTGTGCTCGCAATAGCCATCTGAAAAGCACAGTAGTTGTCCAGCAGGGGCAGGGAGGTCACGTCCTGCCACTGTCTTGTGTCGGTGTCATACTTAGCGTTCACAGTCTCCAGTCCGTCCTCGTTATCGGTGTCCACGGGGGTGCGGGCGGTGACGTACACAAAGCGATCCTCCACACTGACCGCTTTCACGTCTCTCAGGATTTTTGGGGCCGATTCCAAGTGGTGCCACCTGTCCTGCGCAGGTTCATAAACATCAACATCTTTAAAACCCGGACTGAAATTCCCATGTCCACCAATACTGTACAGGTTCTGCTTCACGGCCGATAGGCCGAAGGAGTGCTTCCTGGTGATCAGGTTGTTGACTTGCTCCCAGCTGTTGCGGTTTGGGCTGTACCGCTCGACGGTCTTAGCAAACCCAGGTTCCATGGAGCCAGCCACGTACACATGGGTCTCTGTGATTGCCATAGCGTGTCCATCTAGGTGGTTGTGAATGTGGGGAAGATTCACCCATCGATCTTCATCAATGAAATATCCTACGCATTCGCTAAGGTAATCCCCCCCCTCAGACACTCCACCAACCACCATTATGACGTCCATGTTCTGCCCGAAGCGGGGTTGAAATGACATCACTCTGGAGGCCCAGTGCTCTAGGTTACCACCAGGCTGAAGGTTCTCAGACCTCAGTGCATGACCCTCCACAGCTTCAGATACAAGCTTCAGGCAGCTTTCGTTTTCAGCCACGAGCCGCTCGGACTTGATAATCCGAGTCAGGTAAGTGGGTTTCATCTGGGGCAAGCGCAGCAGCTTGAACAATTCTTCAAAATGCTTCTCCCTCTCCTCAGGGTTACGTTGCACCCACTTCACCACAGCCTCAAACAGCACCTCCTCAGAGTCCACCGTGATCTCTGCATCCGAAAGCCAGTCCCTGACCAAGTGGTAAGGCAGAGTGTAAAACTCATCATCTTGTACCACCTTGGAGAAGTCTCTACGGATCATGTCTGCAGCTTTCAATGCCAACTGGTCGAGGGAGTACATGTGTGCCAGGCTATGGACAGCCACACAGTTGGTCAAATTAAGCTTTTTCTTGAGGAACTCACAGCAGAATTCTTTCAGCTGCAGCAGGAGGAACCTGGAACAAAAACACAGGGTTTTAATTACATCTGGTGTCAACATCACACAGCAAAGGCTTGTTTAAAATTAACATCACGCACCAAACGTTTAGAAACTTTAAGTTGTTAAGCACAGAGGTTTGTCCCTGCAGTTTATGCTCTGGCTGCATTGGTGACCCGGCAGAGATGCTTTGTGAACAAACAGCCAAATTAATAATGTATGATCTAAACGCAAAGAAACATTTTGAAAACTAGGGGTTTCATTAGCCCTTGTTGCCATGTAGTTTGATGTAATAAAAATAATATCAACTCTAAACATATTTACTGCCCACTTCCTGCTGCAGCTTCCCATTTCTGAACAGATAATAAAACAATCAGCAGGGATGGCTTTTAATAAAAAATACTTTATAACAAGCACTGTGCTATAATTTCACAGTCACATAAGAGGTTCGGATGATTTGATTTGATTTGATTTCCTCCACAAAAACAAAAATGTTTTTGTGGAGGAGTGAGTAAGTGAGGAATGGGTGTGAGTGAGGGAGTGTGACAGTGTGTGTGTGACAGTGTGTGTGAGGGTGTGTGTGGGGGTGAGTGTGTGTGTGTAGGGGTGAGTGTGACAGTGTGTGACAGTGTGTGTGAGGGTGAGTGTGAGGGTGTGTGTGACAGTGTGTGACAGTGTGTGTGTGACAGTGTGTGTGAGGGTGTGTGTGACAGTGCGTGTGTGTGTGTGACAGTGTGTGTGTGAGTGTGTGTGTGAGTGTGTGTGTGACAGTGTGTGTGACAGTGTGTGTGACAGTGTGACAGTGTGTGTGAGGGTGTGTGTGGGGGTGAGTGTGTGTGTGTGGGGGTGAGTGTGACAGTGTGTGACAGTGTGTGTGAGGGTGTGTGTGACAGTGTGTGACAGTGTGTGTGTGACAGTGTGTGACAGTGTGTGTGAGGGTGTGTGTGACAGTGTGTGTGTGTGACAGTGTGTGTGTGAGTGTGTGTGTGTGTGACAGTGTGTGTGACAGTGTGTGTGAGGGTGTGTGTGACAGTGTGTGTGACAGTGTGTGACAGTGTGGGTGAGTGTGAGGGTGTGTGTGACAGTGTGTGTGACAGTGTGTGTGTGAGTGTGTTTGTGTGTGTGTGACAGTGTGTGTGACAGTGTGTGAGTGTGTGTGTGTGACAGTGTGTGTGAGTGTGTTTGTGTGTGTGTGACAGTGTGTGTGTGAGGGTGAGTGTCAGTGTGTGTGACAGTGTGTGTGAGGGTGTGTGTGACAGTGTGTGTGTGTGTGACAGTGTGTGTGAGAGTGTGTGTCAGTGTGTGTGACAGTGTGTGTGTGAGGGTGAGTGTCAGTGTGTGTGACAGTGTGTGTGTGTGTGTGTGTGACAGTGTGTGTGACAGTGTGTGTGTGTGTGTGTGTGTGACAGTGTGTGTGTGAGAGTGTGTGTGTGTGTGTGTGACAGTGTGTGTGAGGGTGTGTGAGTGTGTGTGTGTGTGTGTGACAGTGAGTGTCAGTGCTCTCTCTCTCTCTCTGTCACCTGTCCGCCAGCTCGAGCACCTCGTGTACGGTGCCGGTGCAGACGCGGATGCCGCCGGTGTACATGTACTGGATGACGGCCTCCACCGTGTCGGGCTCGGGCCCGGGTTCGGCGCTCCACTTGCGCATCTCCACCCGCTCCGACCGCGACTCCTCGAAGTTGCCGCCCAACAGCGGCTCGAAGTACTCGGTGGCGGCGGCCAAGACCGAGCGGTGCGCGCGGAACTCGCGGCCGCCCACCGCCAGCGTCAGGTCACAGAACAGGCCCCGCTTCCGCTGCTCGTTCTGGCGGCGCGACAGCTCCGGGCAGTGGCCCTGACACTCGAACTGCTCGGCCTCCGAGTCCCCGCTGTCCGCCTCCTCCGAGCCCGAGGCCGAGGCCGAGGTGGGCCCCGGGGCCGCCATCGCCTCAGCTCTCTCCCGCCTGAAACACGCCGCGCGCTCCGACGTGCGTGCTGCGTGCTGCGTCATCGCGAACCGCGTGGCGGCGCGCTGGGTGCGTGCGTGCGTGCGTGGCTTGGCGTCCGTCCGCCCGCCCGTCCGGCGTCACCGCCAGGGTAGCCCAAAGCCGCCCCAAGCGGTAGCCCAAAGACGCCCCAAAGGTACCTATCCCCTGCTCTATGCGGGGGCGTTGCCTGCTGACTGCTGTGGCTGTCAGGGCAGGGGTGGGCTGGCAGGGCAGGGCTGGCAGGGCAGGGGTGGCAGGGCAGGGCTGGGGTGGCAGGGCAGGGGTGGCAGGGCGGGGTGGGCGGGCAGGGCAGGGGTGGCAGAGCAGGGCTGGCAGGGCAGGGCTGGCAGGGCAGGGGTGGCAGGGCAGGGCTGGCAGGGCAGGGGTGGCAGGGCAGGGGTGGCAGGGCTGGGCTGGCAGGGCAGGGGTGGCAGGGCAGGGCTGGCAGGGCAGGGGTGGCAGGGCAGGGAGGGCAGGGCTGGGGTGGCAGGGGTGGCAGGGCAGGGGTGGCAGGGCAGGGGTGGGGTGGCAGGGGTGGCAGGGCAGAGGTGGGCGGACAATTCCAGGGTTTTTAGTGCTTTCGAATCCGTGAGGAAAGGTCTTGAAAGGGGAAAAAAATATGTATTTTCTTTGAGCACAGAGCCACACACACACAACCAAGTTGGCCGCATTGGTCACCTCTCTCCCTCTCCCTGTGTCATGTCGCCACCACCAATGCTCCCCACTCATCACAGCTGCCGATGCCGCCATCGAGACGTCTCAAACGCACTTTACAAGAGATAATGCAATGATTTCGGACACTCGATCCAGGACTGTGGTACACAATTGGCTGCCGCGTTTCGCCCACACATATACAGTTCATTTCACTTGACGTAAATATTCTGTGAAGTGCTTTTGAGATGTCGAGGAGACATAAAAAAATGCTATATCAAATGCCAGGATTATTATTAGTGACTGTATAGTTGGTGGGTGAAACAATTGGCAACCCATTGTGCGCAGCAGTGTCCCACAAACAGTCGTGGATTCAGTGACCAAATTATTATTGTTGTTATTTGTCAGAGATATTTACCCCAGAAAAATAACTGGAGAAGTGTATTGGATTAATGGCCGTGTTTCTCTGATGAGCGTGAACTGTGTCACCCCACGCGCGCTGCCGGTGGAGACACGGATGTGCTATTGATGCTGTAAGGACCTTAGTCTTTGAAAATGTATTCCCAAACGACAATTACTCTTGTAGCCCTTCTAATCTGAACAGTTTCTGCTACATTACAAGCATCTGAAGTGTCTGACCGGCCAGACTAATTCGTAGTATCATTGTAGCAACTATTGGAAAAGTAGGGGGTGGATTCTCAGCTACAACAACAACAAGATTCGATTTATAGAGCGCCTTTCACGTTGGGAGGACGTCCCAAGGCGCTGTACAGTGGGGTCAGGACCCGAGCAGGGGGGAGATGGTCAGGGGGAGGGAAGGGAGGGAGCGAGGAGTGGGTAGAGAGTCTAGAGGGGAGCTGAAGGCACGGTCAAAGAGAACGGTCTTGAGACCGGCCTTGAAGGAGGAAAGGGAGGAGGCGGCGAAGACACTGGGGGATGGAGTTCCAGAGCCTCGGGGCTGAAGGCCCGGCCACCGATGGTAGGGCGGTTGGGGTGGGGAATGTGGAGCAGACCGGAGCCGGAGGAACAGAGGGTACGGGCAGGTAGGGAGGGGGATAGTAAGTCGGAGAGGTAGGAGGGAGCGAGGCCGTGAATGGCCTTGTAGGTGAGGATGAGGATCTTGAAATCGATCCTCTGGGGGATGGGGAGCCAGGGGAGGCGAGCTACATCAATATCCCTGGCTTACTAATTCAAAGATTATTCTTCGTTCAGATTGCCTCCTGCCGTCATGTAGATTCCTATGGAGGCCATCTCCGTAAATGAAGCTCGGGATGGAACTCCAGCCCTGCAAGATGTCTCAGAGCAGCTTTCCTTTACCCGGCAGGTGTAGAGAATGGAAGACCGACACAAGACAAAAACATTTTACAGCAATGAATCAAGAACTGGAAAAAGTACAAACCAGTTTTAAAACTACAAGTAACATTTAGATAAAACCTTATCTGGGGTATGATTCACTCCCGCCCACCTTACCTACCCTTAGGTTTCAAGATTACCCGCAACATTTTCCAGTTGAAGTTACGGGATGTGATGGGAGCAGTTTATTTTGGTCACATAAGAACAGTGCATTCCCACCATAACCATGATTATTATTATTGTTATAATAACCAGGCTGGTACCTTGGTAGATATTCTATCATGTGATTAACATGTACAGTGCTATGCTCCTAGTCACCACCGAGTCAAACCTCTACAAAGTAATGAATAGAATAGTTTTATGCGTGTAGTACAGAAACTCGAACAAATACGGAAACAGTAAAGGATTCTGTGCAGTGTGTCACATGTGGGCACCAGAGTAACAAACCACTGATTAAATGGAGGCCTCCTCAGGGTGGAAGAGGCTTCAATTAAGTCATACATTTGGGGCAGCCACAGTTTTGAAAGTGATGAAGCAGTTGAGAGCCTCGTTTGAGATCACAAAATATTTGCAGTCAGTGTCAGCGCCAGACCTCACCACGAGAGCAGATATCGTTGAATATTCAGATCTACACAAACATCTTCAGGATAACAACAACTAGCATTTATATAGCGCCCCCTCACGCAGGGTAGTGTCCCAGAGCCCACACCTCTACATGTTCCCTTCGCTCAGCCGGCTCCGGCCTCCCACACATCCCTCGTCTTGAAGTGATGGCTTTCTTCATGTGTATTTTAATTCATCTTTGAAGTCCCATCTGCTCTGACATTGGCATAACTCCCAACATTCCAGCTGGCTACAGCGGGACCCAATTAAAAAAATAAAAACTTACATGTGAGTGTGTGAAGAAGCTGGGCAGCGCACACACACACACTGACTTGTCTCGAGGTTAATGAATAGAACAGTGTCGGAGCACGGTGGTGAGCCGGTGGGAGTGGGTAGGTGACCATAGGCACAGTCCAAGAGGAAGGACTTCAGGCCATGGGATAGAGCAAGAGTGTTCCAGAGTTTCGGGGTGTAGTGGCTGAAAGTGAAGCCACCAATGGTGGAACAGAGGGCACGAGGGACATGCAAGAGGCTGAAGCTAGTCAAGCAGAGGCAGCGGGTAGCATGTTGGGGAGTAAGCAAGTCGGAGGGGTCAGGAGGTACCAGGGCATGAAGGGATTTAAAAATGAGGATAGAAATAAAACAGGTCGAAAGAGTAAAACCCAATAAGTTACACACTTTAATTTATACTAAGACACAAGCTAGAGTTTTGGTTATATTATCGAAGCATGGGTACCTTCAAATACAGAAACACAAAGGCAGGTCAGACAGTGCATGTGGTTAGACTAAAAGGCTCACTTGAGAAGACGGACTGCATTTCTGACACAGGATCTTTCTTCCTCACTCCCAAACCCTCAACAAGAAACACATACCCATTTCCTAATCTAGTTTTAAAATGCCGTCCAGCAATTTGTAAATCCATAGACAGCAGATGAAGTACAAATGGTCCCTTAAATAAGCTTACACAAGCCTGGTTACATTAAGTCCAGCAGGTTTACAATTGAGCAGGGTGATGAGATGGAATTCTATTGGGAGCAGGTACAGCGGAACTCAAGTGTATTTGGTTACCTTACGTGTCCAATGGCCTCAACTGAGACATGACAATCTGCCCTCTCGATCTCCACATTACCAGCTTCTGCGAAAATCCAAAGCATTTAATGGGAATGCACCCTCAACCCAACGAGCTGCTGCCTGTTTGGGTCAGTGTTCTTGGGAAGAGACACTTTGGGATTCCGCTGTACTGCTGCAATAGCAATGCAGAGCGTGTACTGAGAGCCTCTGATTTGTATTGTATTGTACGAGATCCCAGAGCCACGCCACGCTTTGGCTTCTCCCATTCACACTTCAGATCCTACTTCTTCATAATGGGTCTCAGAACCACACTCATTTCATTCCTCTCTTTAAAATCTGCGTTGAGCTTCTGAGAGCACATCGTGTACACAATTCATCAGGATAATTGACCAGGAGACTCCTTCCCACCCGAGCAACTTCAGTGTGCAAGAGGGAAAGGCAAACATCTTTTTTTGGAGGGGGGGGGAGGGGAAGGGGGAGGACACACACCAGGGGTGGACGGAGACCCTCCGAGCTGACCCAATGTTCACATGGTCATGTGCTCTGGCAAAACATAAGATATGTCGTCCCATGGGTGACGATATAATCCTTGTTTCAATCGCTTCTGATCCAGATAGTGTCCTGAAACATCAAGTGCTTCCATAAGCATCACATTCACCAAAGAAAGAACAGTTCATTACAGCATTCAGCACGCGGTTAACATTCAATCTCCCGGGAACAGGTGCCAACTCATTGGGAAGAATCTCCACTCAACTCTGTACCACAGTCCAGAAGGGACCTGTTCAGTGAGCAGGAATATGGGGAAGTAATAAAAATAGGACCTACGGTAGGGTCAATCTCAGTATAGCTCCCAAAGGGTCCAAATTCACAACACAAAAGCAGACCAAGTGCTGCACTGGGGGAGTAGAGGCAACTCCAGGTGTTGGGGATAAAATAGAGCAAACAGCCTTACCCTGCAAGTCACACCAGATTAGTGGGTGCATGAGCAGAAGAGTTCTGCTACCCAGCGCTGGGATCTCTCACCGCATTAGCTGCAGCTCGAGATCCGTCAGTAGCAACGTGCGTTTATATAGTACCCTTCACGCGTGGTAACAATTCAGGGAGCGTTTAACAATGGCGTAGTCTGACACCGAGCTGCAAGAAAAGGAGAGTGCGACCTGAAGACAGGCAAACAGGGGGCGAGGCAGAGGGATTGAGGCAGGGAGGTTCAGAGGTTTGGGGTGCAATGGCTGAAAGCTCAGTTGCACTGATCGAATCAACTGCAGCATTGAATGGAGTTTTACAAAAGCAAACTGAGAAGCCATCTTTCAATTGTATAAAAATAGTTATTCTCTCAATGAGAGAACTGATATGGAATTCAGCTGTACAGATGTGGACTGTGTGGAACACAGAGGGAAGAAAAGCAAAACTCTTATCACTTGTTTATCGTGCTGGAGTAACTTACCAATGAAGCCCATACTCCTTCCTAAAACAAAGATGCCATTCAGAGCGCCGATCTCCACATATTCATCAGACTCCTCCCTGCAGCACAATCTGAGTGTTAGGAAGGCACGCACAGCAAAACACACACGGCAAAACACACACAGCGAAACCAAATAAATGGCAGAGAATGAGACTGTATTTTAAATAAAAACATAACACTCAGCAGGCCAGGCAGCATCTATGGAGAGAGAGGAAAGTGAGTTAACATTTCAGAGTTCTGACGAAAGTTCATCGACCTGAAACGTTAACTCACTTTCCTCTCTCCATAGATGCTGTCTGACCCATTGAGTGTTCCCTACTCAGCGCCTTGGGACGTCCTCCCGACGTGAAAAGTGCTATACAAATGTAATTTTGTTATTTTTGTTGAGTGTTCCCAGCGACTTCTGTTTTTATTTCAGATTTCCAGCATTTTGCTTTTTGTTAAGAGTGTATTTTAATTCATCTTTGAAGTCACTGCTCTAACCAGGTAATAGAGACCTTGTTCATCAGCTGTACTTTTTAACCTAAGTTCCAGTGCAGTGGTTGCAGAAAACACAGAGAGAGATTGAGAAAAGGGAGATTCTCTTTCTGATTTCACTGCAGCCAGAAGTATGGGGTAGTCAGAGACAGAGAAGGTGATGAACCCAAGTTCAGCTCTGGTAACAATCCACGGCTGCGTGTGGGACACTGCTGTGCGCAATTGGCTATTGCCCACAAAATATACAGTTAATTCGCTTTATCGTATATTGTGTGAAGTGCTTCGAGACATCTCAAAGACGTACTAAGGTACTCTATCAATTGCACAGATTATTATTAATATTGCTCACAGTGCTTCCACAATGCCGCACAACTCAGGAATTGATAATTGGATGAAGTCTTTTCAATCACAAAAAAAATCCTAAAATGATTTGGCAATGAAACATCAGACTAATGCCCTGTCCAATCCTATAGAAAGAGGCCCAGGGTTAAGGGCTGATAGACAAAGAGCTGACAGCAAGTTTCTCTCTGGAGCTTTTGACCCTGGATGACTAAAATGTAACAATTTAGTGTTAAAATCAGACATTTTAAAAATTACACCAAAATACTGGAGATGCTGGAAATCTGAAGGAAAAACAGAAGTCACTGGGAACACACAGCAGGTCAGGCAGTATCTATGGAGAGGAAAATGAGTTTACGTTTCGGGTCATCAACCTGGAATGTTAATTCATTTTCCTTTCTCCATAGATGCCCCTTGACCTGCCGTGGTATCCCAGTGACTTCTGTTTCTATCTAAAAAAAAAACTAAGTCTACCTTGTAAATGCACCACAGTTTCTTAATAGGTCAACCATGCCCACACCAATAAAACCATCAACGTTTAGGATGAGATTTGGTTTCTGAAACAAAAAGATTAGAGATATTTAAGTCATTAATAAATGATATTAAAGCTCATTATAATCAAGAATTAAAATAAACTTCTATAATGCACCTTATACAGGTTACCTAAACATAGGAACATAAGAATTGCTAAATGAAAAAAGCCCAAGGTCCATCTGGTTCGCCTTCTACCATCCTGGGAGTCTCGTGCTATAATAATGCAGATGTTGATAGAAATTCATTCTGCGTGGATTAGTCAACAACACAGTGGAAAGCTTTGGGAACCTTAGATATAAGCAATAGCAAGTTTGGATTTAGTAAACTACATTCAAGCATGCAAATAGTTTTAATTTAAGGTTGGAAAGTTGGTTATTTGCAGACGAGGAGTGATTGCAGTTACACGACCGTACCTTAGAGGTGGTGATCTTCTCCACTTCCAGTGCGTAATCCAGGAGCGGGGTGGCAGGGAAGTTCTGCTTCACGTAGTCTTCAGGATCTGAACCCTCATATCTGGGTTATTGATCTGCAATCAGCAAGTTAGTCAATATATCCCAATCTGCCCTGAAGCCCTACCAATATGGTAACACTTAGAGAATACTGTAACCTGCCCAGTTCGCCAACCACCAATACTGGGAGTCGCTTGACATGTCATGTCCAAACTATTTATTATTTTCTAAAATAAATCTATCTAATTTGTTCTTGAAAGAATTGACACTTTCTGCTTCCACTGTCTCCCTAGGGAGCCAGTTCCATATACCTTGAGTACCAACAACCTATTTAGTACTCCTCTCGGTTTATTCTTATCTTATCCAATTTCTCTACCCTCTCCTCCAATCCTCCAATACTGTGGCATTGGCTGCATTCTCTTCCTTTGTAAAGACAGATGCAAAGTACTCTTCCAGTACGTCAGCCATGCCCTCTGCCTCCAAAAGAAAATTTCCTCTTTGGTCCCGAATTGAACCCACCTTTTATTATTTATATGCTTACAAAATACCTTAGGGTTCCCTTTTATGTTACCCGCTAATCTTTTCTCATATAATCTCTTTGCCCCTCTTATTTCCTTTTACAGTTCTCCTCTGTACTTTCTATATTCTATTTGATTATCTTCTATATTTTCGACCTGACATTTATCATAAGCCTCCTTTTTCCTTTTTATTTTAATCCCAATTTCCTTATTCGTCCAGGGAGGTTTGGATGCCCTACCTTTCCCCTTTGTGGGAATGTATTTGTTCTGTCCCCAAACTATCTCCTCCTTGAAGGCTTCCCATTCCTCATTAGCTGTTTTACCTGACAATTTTTCTTTCCAGTCCACCTTGGCTAGGTCCCTTTTTAACTCATTGAAATTAGCCCTCTTCCAGTTGAGTATCTTCACCTTTGATTGCTCCTTGTCCCTTTCTATAAATACTCTAAACCTAATGGTGTTATGATCGCTGTTGTCCAGATGCTCTCCTACTGAAACCTTCTCCACTTGCCCCACTTCATTCCCCAGAACTAGATCCAGCACTGCTCCTTTCCTCGTTGGGCTGGAAACATATTGATCCTGAAAGTTATCCTGCACACATTTCAGGAATCCTTCCCCCCCCTTCGCCCTTTACTTGCATGATAGTTCTAACCATCTTAAAGACTGATAACTTGTGGAGGAACTTAATGTAAACTAAACGCTTCCAGACTCACCGATTTCACCCGGTGTCCAATCCCCATAATCAGTTTTCCTTCCTTCTTCATCTTGTTGACAAAGTCCATGGCAATGAGGCCACTGTCAAAGGCATTGCTGAACTGTTTGGCGGCTGCATCTAATGCTCCTCCGAACCGGTCGCCCTGCGAGAAGCAGAGACAAGTGAAGAGTCAATTATTGATCAATCAATTGTGAATTGCAGAACTCGGACAGTGAAAGGGCAGCTTCAACAATTACAAAGCAAACACCAAAAATCTACAACTGATTTGAACTCCAACCCTTTGGCTGCAGGGACACTAGAGCTTATGCACATTTTTAAAGAGTTGAATTGTGTAACAACAACAAGGTGCCTGATTTGGTCTCTTGCAGTTATCGGATCTCAGTAATTGCAGCTTTGGCCCTGGGGCAGCGACTATGGGGGAGGAAGAACAAAATCAGCCAGGTGTTCCTGCTCTCAACCACTATCCAGTGACTCCTGCTGTGTATCTGAACATCGGGTGAGAACAGCACGGTGTCCGACTCGGAGGCATCCCACAGATTGACTGTGAAGATTCGGGGCCGATACTCTCAAATGAACAGTAACACAACATGGAGCAACACCCGGGAAAGAACTTGTTACAATCCTTCAGGAAAAGGAAAAGGTTTAAAGCCTACCAGAAGCTGGAGAGGTAATCACAGAAAGTTAGTCTGCAGGTGCAGCAAGCAATTAGGAAGGCGAACGGTATGTTAGCATTCATTATGAAAGGATTAGAGTATAAGAGTAGGGAAGTCTTGCTGCAACTGTATAGGGCCCTGGTGGGACCACACCTGGAGTACTGTGTGCAGTTTTGGTCTCCTCATTTAAGGAAGGATGTACTTGCCTTGGAGGGGGTGCAGTGTAGATTTACTCGGTTAGTACCAGGGATGAAGGGGATGAGTTAAGGGGATAGGCTGACCAATTTGGGCCTATATTCTCTAGAACATAGAAGAATTAGAGGGGATCTTATAGAAACCTATAAGATCATCAAAGGGCATAGAGTAGATAGTGGGAGATTGTTTCCCCCTGCACCTTAAAATCAGAGGCCAACGCTTTCGCACTGAGTTGAGGAAGAACTTCTTTACTCTAAGGGCGGTGAATACATGGCACTCACTACCCCAAAGGGCTGTTGACACTCAGTCCTTGAACATATTCAAGACTGAGATACATAGATTTCTTATTGCGAAAGGGATTAAGGAATATGGGGATAAGGCAGGGTCAGGTTTTTAGCTGGAGTTAGATTAGAAGATCAGCCATGAATGAATGGCGGGGCAGGCTCGAAGGGCCGAATGGCCTACTCCTGCTCCTACATGTTATGTTATTGGGACAGATAACTTCAATGCAGCAAAGACCAAAGCTAACGCAATGGGTCGAATGGCCAGCAGTGATGCATTTCTATGGCTGACCAGATATACAGAGCTTAATGGTTTATGTCCATTAAAAATAACTGTAGACACACTTACAATAGTAAGCAGACCCGAAGTCAGGCTGGATATGAGATCTTTCCCCGCTCGGGCACAGACGATAGTGTTGTGAGCCCCTGAGACCGCTGGTCCATGGTCAGCAGTCACCATGAGGCACATCTCAATAAAGTGGCAGGCGGGTTTAGGCAATCTGCGGGAACAAGAGCAAAAACATCCCTTGGGTTTGGAGAAGGACACATTTTAACATTCTGTAAAAAGCTAGGTTACAAGAGAAGAAAAGTGATTCCGATCCAAATCTGGAATGGTTCAATCAGAATTTCAAAGCATTCATTTGTAAAGGGTTAATGTATGAGAGATGTGGAGTCTGGGCTCAGACATTCTGCAGATGGCAAGGACAGATTGACAAAGCCGCATCAAGCAGAGTTGCTGAAGTAGACGGGAGAGGAATTGCTTTTTAGGCAATGGCAGCTTTTAGTTGGTTAATCTCGAGCAGTAGTCTAATGCACAAACCTTGGCTCTCATTGAACAACATAATAATACTTGCATTTGATATAGCGGCTTAGCACGTCTTTGAGACATCTCAAAGCGCTTCACAGAATATAGATCTGTTTGACACCATTTACCATCAGAAGCAAGGCAAGACTCTGAACATTAGTTTACGCATTGGATGATGTTCTTTTCCATTAGAGAGATTTCCGGGTCTTGAGATAGGGATCTTTCTGCTGAGGGTCTCACCTCCTTTGGAACCAGAGCAAACCCAGGACACCTCCAAGGCCCATGTCCTCTTTGAAGATTTCAGTGATGGGCATTCCTGCGTAGATGAGTTCCTGGCCTCTCTCATCACAGATGCTGGACATGAAGGAGGCTGGCTTACGGATCAGACCCAACTCCTGCACAATAGACACGTGACAGGTCAGCATTACAAACACCAATCCAACATCGGGCATTCAACAATAAACATCCTCCCCACGTGAAAATCCTGTACAAGTGTCAATTGTGTTGCAATTGTATTTATAATACAGTAACCCTTACATTACTGTGCACCCGGCGAATCATGAGAAACGCCTCATAGCACTTTATAGAACGTGAGGAAGGCAGATCATTTACAGCTGCAACGTTCTACAAACATTGAAGTGAGTCGATGAGTATTTGGGGATGAACTTGGACAAGGAGGGAATATTATCCAGGGGACAGGGAGGCAGGGCTTGCTTATTAGTCCTCTTGCCTCCGAGGCAGAAGAATGTAGGGTTCAAGCCTATTGGGACTTTGGACTCAGTCTAGGCTGACACTCCAGTGCAGTGCTGGAGGAAAGCTATATTTTCTGAGGGATCATCCTTTGGATGAGATGTTAAACTGAGGTCCCGTCTGCCTGTTAAAGATCCCATGGCTATTCTCCCAGTGTCCTGGCCTACGGATAAAAAAAAGGTTTACTTCATGGTTGTTTGTTGGAGGTTAATGTGTGCAAACCTATTTCTGCGTCAACTACAAACACAGTCACTTTACTGCGGGCTGTGTGGAGGACCTACCCTTGCCCAAGAGTAGTCCATCGGCACCGTGGGAGGAGGAACTTCTTGTGCAGGAACGATCACACTTTTAGCAACAAGGTCATCGTAAACAGACCTAGGAACAGAGACACAGCGGCATTCAGATACATCCAGGACAACATGAAACAGAGTGCAGTCAGGGGTAACTGATCAGCTGCACCACTCCTCCCTCCTGCTACAAGTGCTCTTACTTGATGACTTCTCCAAGCTCATCAAAGTTTCTTGGTACAAAGACTCCGGCTTCTCTCAGAGCCTTGTTTTTGGCCACTGCGGTCTCAGAGGTTGCGTTGGCACAGGCACCCGCATGCCCAAACTGCACCTGTGAAGAGTTACGAGGGACAGCGACTTGTATCAGTGCTTCAAAACAAGAGATTTACACACACACAAACACACCCACACACCCAGCTTGACCTCAGAGACTCCAATAGCTTCACATGTCTCCCACCCAAGTTGTATTCTCAATGGATTGCATGGCATTTTAACATAAGGAAGAAAAAATGCTCACCTCTGAACTAAACATAGTAGCACATGTGCCAATGCACCAAGCAACAACAGGCTTGGTAATACGTCCCTCCTGAATCCCTTTGCCAATCCTGTACTCTTCTGCTCCACCAATCTGTAGAGAGATTTAGGTTAGATGCCATCTGTTTATCCAGTTAATCCTCACACCACTTTGATTTTCACAGCACTAAATTTACATACTATACAACCATTAGCAGAACTTGGGAGTTAATGTCTCATCCAAAGGATGGTACCTCAACATGCAGCACTCCCCAGCACTGGGTTGGGAGTGTCAGCTTAGTTAGTGAGGTCAGGATCCCAACATGGGGCTTGAACCCCAACCTAGTGATTCAGAGACTAGACTGCTACCACCTGACCTGATAGGAAGAAAGCTGGGTCTCTAAGGCTGATTTTGATTATAAGACAGTTTAAGTGTGTGTCCCTCACACCACCATCGAAACAATTGACTTGTAGACCTTTCTGGATAGCTAGACCATTAGCCACAAGTTATATAAGAACATTAGATTTTGTTAGGCAAAAGAAGTCCAATGTCCATCTAGTTTGCTTTCCACCATCCTGGCAGTCACTTGGCAAGTCGTGTCCCAAACAATATACTGTATCCTGAGATATTATTTTCTAAGGGAATCTGTCTAATTTGCTCTTTAAGAGTGTTACCCTGTTAGAAAGGACTTTTCTATGACTGTTACGTCAGAAATATTAGGGAATTAATTCAGATCCACTCACCTCCCCAAGAACAACAATCATTTTAACTTCAGGGGTGTCCTGGTAACGGAAGACATGATCCATAAATGTGGAGCCTGGATAGCTGGAGGGAAAGGAATGCAGGAATGCTTTAATCCGCAATGAAGTGTTTTGCAATTTGTTTAGTTGCAATTTTTGAAAAAGATGCGAGACATTTCAAAACCAAAGGTTAATATTCCCCAAGGTAAACAAAAAAAAAACACTCAGGAGTTTGGCATAAATGCTGCTGGTGGTAGCTTTATCGAGCAGTGAGTAACACCCCAGAAATCTAACGCCACTGTGGTGAGAGTCAGCAGTGACTCTGTGGCAGGTTCAGCAGATGGCAAGTCACAAACTAAAAGAATCCAAATCTTTCATCGCAGACGTGACAAATTCCAATTTAACAGTTAGTTTGAAAGCCTGCCACGTATAGCTCACATTCAACGATAGAAATGGGCAGTTAGCTGAGGTTTACAGTATTAAGCACAGGGCAACAGACAACAAACAACACCACCACCAAGATTACATTTATATAGCGCCTTTCACGTCGGGAGGACGTCCCAAGGCGCTGGAAAAGATCCTGTTATTAAGCGCCTCGCTAGAATCTCCTGTGGACTCATGGTTACCTAAAGTACAGTACACTTCTCGCTGGAAATCGTAAGAAACATCAGTTATGATGGGACCTAGTAGCCATATTTTTCACAGACCTCTAGCTATATATTTTGATCCCAGTCACCTCATTGTAACAGGTTTCCCTGTAGAAAGAGGAGCTGTAAACGACATTAAGCCTTTGCTTGGACAATGTCGTACAGCTTTGGAATTTACTGCACCATTCTTCACCCGAGTGCCTCGGAGACTGGAACCTGATGAGTAAACGGGACCTTCCCTGATAGTTGTGCCACAGCTCCCTCCTGTGTTGAAACTACGCAACAGGAACCTCGAGCGACGCCAGAAGCGATTATTATTCTAGCGTACAATAATTTCTTTCTCAAAGTCCTTCACTAAATGTTAGTGTATATGACCGCAACTGCGTATTAGTAGACAAACGCAGCAGCTAACTTGCACGGCAATGTCCCACAAACAGCCACGAAGTGAAAGAGTCTAAGGCCACGGCCCCAGGAGAAACTCCCTTCGATTTTCAAATAGTGTCACCGGAACTTTAACATCCACTGCACTGACAGACGGGACCTCAGTTTAATGTCTCATCTGAAGAACATTGCCTCTGACAACGGAACGCGCTCTCAGCATTGCAATGAATTGTTAGCCTAGACTGAGCTCAAAATCCCGATACAGGGCTTAAACCCACAAACTTTAGACTCGGGTGAGAGTGCTACCAACTGAGTCAGATTCACGTCAATAAAAGTGTGCTATTTATAGCATGCAACCGCACTGCAAGCAAGAGCAGCACGGCATTTCATTGAGGGACTGCCTTAACCTCTTAGTCCTAGCACATCCCCTTAATGACCGACCGGCACATCCCTTTGTGCTGTGGTGATGGTTCTTACCGATCTCCACCGATAGCGACACCTTCATAGACGCCGTCGGTCGTTCTGGAGATGATGTTGTTGAGTTCGTTGGACATTCCACCGGAGCGCGAGACGTACGCCACACTGCCGGGGCGATAGAGTTTGGAGGCCAGAATGTTGTCGAGCATTCCTCCCGTGTTGCCGATCTTGTAGCAGCCAGGCTTTATGCCACCCACCTGAGGAAACACAAGTAGTTATCCAGTTAGACGACACCATATCCACCTGTCCACTCGGCCTGCTCCACGCCCCCCACCCTGCCCTGCCCGCCTGCGGTCAGACCTTCAGGCTCTCAGCCCAAACTCTCTGGAACTCTATCCCACAGTCCCTTTGCTTCGCTCCCTCCCTCAAGGCACTTTTGAAGTCCCTCTTCTTCGACCACACCTTCGGTCACTCTCCTAACCTCACGCTCTCTGCCCTCCACACTCCCTGATCCCAAATCTCTGACTATCCTGTGCCTCGGGACTTCCTCCCGATGCGAAAGGCGATGTGTAAATGTAATTTGTGGTTGACACTGTGTGGAATTAGAAAAGCACAAGATACAAGCCAACATTTCGGTCTGTGGTACAGCATCAAGGCTAGCACCTAACGCCTGTTTAAGCTCACCGTGGCCCAACGGGTTAAGATATTGCACCACAGAACATATACAACAGTTTACATTTACACAGGGCCTTTTATGTCAGGAGGACGTCCCAAGGAACTTCACACAAGTGACTGGGAGACCAAATTTGTGCCAGGATCTTTCTACACACAACCAAGCACTTACTGTCGCTGGCCCAATAATCGTGACACCTTTCTCATCTGCCATTTTGATGAGTTTCCTGGTCAGTGCTTCAGGGATACCTTCAGCAATAATGGCGATTGTCCTGATCTGTAACACACAAAAGGCAATCGCAATTAAACAATATTAACAATCCTTGCATTTGATAAAGTGTCTTATTACAGCTGAGATCTCGCAAAGCGTTTCACAGAAATATACTGTAAAGTGAATTGACTGTATATTTTGTGGACAAAACTTGGCAGCCAATTGCACACAGCGTCCCACAAACAGCCGTGGATTGAGTAAACCTTTTTTTTTTAAGGGATTATCATCCCCGGAAAAGCGATCCGCCAATCGACGAACAATCGGGTTCCTACTTGCTGCTAGGTAAACAGAGGCATGTGGAGTAAGGAAACTTACCCAAAGTTTCGCCCTGGCGGGAATCAAACCCAGGTCTCTCGCTTACGAGACGAGCGCTCTAACCACTAAGCTACAGAACTCCACATCCGCATTAAAATGCAACCAAACACCTGCGAATACCCCATGTCTGTACACAAGCAGACAGGCACAGACAGCGAGATTCACACTACATCACTCTATTAACCTTATTCTGCTGTTTTTTCTTTTTCTGTTGTTGTAGGCAAAAGAATCAGAAAAGAGATGAGGATTAAAAAAAAATTTACGCAGGGAGTTGTTAGGGTCTGGAATGCACTGACTGAAAGGGTAGTGGAAGCAGATTCAATGATAATGACTTCCAAAGGGGAATTGAATACTTACTTGAAAAGAAAACATTTGCAAGGCTATGGGGTACGAGCGGGGGAACGGGACTAGTTGGTAGCTCTTTCAAAAGCTGGCACAGGGCAGAATAGTCCGAATGGCCTCCCTCTGTGCTGTTGGATTCTAATTGTACAAGCTCCTGGGTAGCCACCTTCATATGCCTGGAGATCAGGACAGTCAGGTGGGATTTTACACCAAGGTTTCTCTTTCAGTTGGGTTACATCGAGAAGACAACAAACAACTGGACAAACCTGGGGAAAGGTCATCGTTTCCACTGTGCTGTCGTACGCGGACCGTAACGAGGCAAAGTTGATGAGGACGTCCACTTCCGGATGCTTCTTCAGGGCGTCACCCATGTTCTTGTAGACGGGAACAAGGATCTCTTTGTGACCCCAGTAAAATTTCTGTTTATGATCACCGCTGCAGAGACAAACCGCACTCTCATAGCCATCAACAACAACAACTTGCATTTACACAGCGCCTCTCACGCAGAGCAGCATCCCAAAGCTCATAGTTTCCATCGTGCTGTCGTACACCGACTGCAATGAGAACATGAGTTCCTGAGAACGTTCACCTCCCATCACAGCAACTTCAGCAAAAGTCACAAGGAGCTGCTGCTCCCACTTTATAATTTCAATTAAAATCACATTTAAGGCATTAAAACTGAGCTGAAAAGGATCGTCCGTTACAATGCTCCAGCTCAGAAATGCAAGAGTCTCCAGCATTAGCCTGGGGATTGAGGTCGGTGCGTTGAACAATAATATTTCACTGCTAATTTCTCACAAACAACTATGAAATGAGTAATCAATTTTATCTGGGGGATTGTTGGCCAGGACATCAGGAGAAAATATCTTCTCTTTTCAAACACTGCTCTGGGAATTTTTAACGTCCACCTGAATAGGCAGACAGGGCCTCGGGTTAACGGCTTAAGAATGTCCTGGTGTGTCAGCCTAGACTGTGAGCATAAAGTCCCGATATGGGGTGTGAACCCAGAACTTGCTGACTCGGGAGGGTATGTACTACCAACTGAGCCACGCAAAGTTTATTTGTGGAAGGAGGAACTGGGAAAGAGGATTTGTTCAGGGATTTGAATTACATCCATTTGGATTATTGGAACACAGAATGTTGCCTTAAAAAACAATATAAAATGTTCAAAAGAATGCTTTGCCTGCAGCCTTCAACAATCGGCCACTATTCAGGAAAACATTTTGAAAAGAACGTTACAACATGTCCTGTAAATGTAGAGTGCAGCTGCAGGGCATACAGCAGAGCACACACATGAAGAGGTACGTCAATATAAAGTGATCCATTGCCCTGTGTAGTAATGCAGCTTGGAGCTACACTGCACACAGTTAAAAAACAAAAACAAATCAAGATTGCTCCGAAGCTAAAAATAGAATCAAATTGATTTTCATAAGGCTCACTCTCTCAATTGCGAGGATTATGCTCACTGTTATTTTTCAACCTTCATTAGATTCTTCCTGAACAACAACAAATTGTATTTGTATAGCGCCTTTCACGTCAGGAGGACATCCCAAGGCGCTGGACAATCAGGGATCCGCACCTGAGCTGGTGGCTGGCATCAGTTGGGGTGGAGGGCAGGGAGCTTAGGAGGCAAGGGAGGGGGCGAGGCAGCGAGACTGTGGGATAGAGTTCCAGAGAGCGAGGGCAGAGAGGCTGAAGGCCTGCCCGCCAATGGTGGGACGGGTAAGGCTGGGGAAGTGAAGCAGGCTGGAGCCCGCAGAGGGAGCAGACAGGTTGTTAGGTGGGTAACAGGTCATAGAGGTAGGGACGAGCGAGGTCCCGTGGAGGGGTTTGAAGGTGAGGACCAGGATCTTGGAACTGTATTCTCTGAGTGATGGGGTGCCAATGGAGCCGGGCGAGGATGGGGGTGATAGGGTCGAGGAGGCCGGTGCAGCAGAGGACATGGGTTGTGGAGTTCTGGATGATCTGCAGCCTGAGGAGGACTGGGGTGTCTGACAAGTAGGGAGTTTGCATAGTCGAGACTGGATGTTCCTTCAAGACCCATCTCAAGACCCTCCTCTTCGACCGTGCTTTCGATCACCGTTTGTCCCCCCTGCCCTCCACAATCCCGACCCTCAGCTCGGGTCCGAAACACTGGCTGTCCAGCGCCTTTGGGACGTCCTCCCAAAGTGAAAGGCGCTTTACAAATGTAATTTTGTTGTTGTGATGAATGTGAGGATGAGGGTCTTGGTGACCTGGGGTGAGAGACAGTGACGAGAGCGGGTCATGGTGCGGATGTGGGGGATGACGGACAGTTGAGGGTCGAACAGGACGCCGAGATTCCGTCTTGACTCCGTGAGGTGTGGAGTGCATCCACAAAGGGCAATACTGTCAGCGCCCGAGGTACGGAGTCGCTGATGGGAACAAGCAGAAGGGCCTCGGGATTGTTGACATTCAACTGGAGTTAGTTTGCTCTCATCCAGGACTTGATGTCCGACAGGCAGTCTGCGAGGACGGCAGTTGTCCTGGAGTTGAAGGTGAAGAGTTGGCGCAGGCAAAAAGATCAGCTCCCACCAAACCTAAGCACACTTACGTGAATGGATAAACCATGGCTGCGACGGATGGCTCATCCCGTGAGCAGACGTAGTCGAAGTCTAACATTCCCTGCACGGCACGGGTCTGCATGCCCCAAATAATAGACTTGGTGTGGTGGCTGAAGAGAGTGGGGGCTTTACCTGTAAACCAATTGGGACACTTTGTCAGACGAAAGTTTTGAAATTTCATCAAAGATGGAAAGGTCGATTCATAGAGGAACTGAGACCTGAACAGACACGGTGAAGTAGGTAGAAGATAGGAAGGAAAGACACTGAAAATTGTACTTCAATAAGAAAAATGGTGGCAGAGACAACTTTGAAAGGTTTCAGTAATGCAAACAGCCTCTCGGGGCCCATTTTCACAGCTGACCCCAATTACTGCTACGGGCTAGCAAACACAAACCTCTTCCTATCTTCAGGAATGTCTCGTCCCTTCTCAAGATTGCTGCCATACTTCGCCTCCTCCCCCACAACCTACGCCCCATGACATCATTCATAAGCATGAGGCTTGCAGCCACATACACGCTGAAGATACTCAGCTCTACCTCTCCACTCTTCACTTCCATCCCTGTCTGTCCTGACCCAACTGTCCAGCGCCTTGGGACGTCCTCCCGACGTGAAAGGCGCTCTATAAATGAAATCTTGTTGTTGTTGATGTCTGATGGTCAGAATAACACGGTCCTGAATGAGTGATTTTTCACCAGAACCCACATGTTTCTGGCTTGGATTCCATCAACCGGCTGGCTGCTCGCTCAGCCTCATGTGCACGTCCCTGATAAGGTTCTTGAATGGAGCTGAATTTCAAGCTCCATATCTGGTACACTGTCAAGACCACCATCTCCTACCTCTATAACATGCAGGGTCACACCTTTAACTTGCCCCATGTGCTGATGATTGAATGGCGAGGCAGGCTCGAAGGGCCGAATGGCCTACCCCTGCTCCTACATGTTATGTTATGAACTCATGCTTTCAGGAACATAAGAATAATTTGTTTGCAGTCTGAGGCTTCAATCATTGTCTCTAAAACTCTTACAAAAACCCCCAGATTGCTGACCTGCTCCCAGTCTTATATCATGCCTTTGATCAACATCTTTGAATAAACTTCTACACTCACTGTCCATCGCTGCATTTGTCAAGCACTTTAAGACTTTTTTTTATATAGACTACACAAATGCAAGGTATTGGTTATTAAATCCAAACCACATTGCAGCGCTCATCCAGAGCTCTTTTCAGGGGTTTTCAATCAACCACTACCACTGGAAGATACAGAAAAGTAAGTGTGTAATAGTGTCACAACTGTGAATTTTAATAGTTGTTGAGAGAGCAGAGATTTCTCAGTACCATGTGAACAGTGCAGACACCAGAGGCAGGATATCAACCAATGTGGCACAAGAAGATGCACATTCTGGAGACACAGTGCAGAGGAGAGCGACAAAGCTGCAGTGTTAGAAATATGGGCTAAGGTGCCAACCAGATAAGCTTCAGTATCCATAAGAAGAATCTCAAGGAACTGAATAGAGGTGAACAGAGAATCCGCACTAAAGGTTACGAGCTAGCCTGGTGCACAGCTTTATTTTCTGCTCCTTTTCTTACATGGCGTTAGGGGAAAGAGGAAGGAGGAAAACTTACAATGGAACAATTGCACAAATGCACTATAATGGCAGCCAAAGACGACAAACAACAACAAAATTACATTTGTGTAGCGCCTTTCACGTCGGGAGGACGTCCAAAGGCACTGGACAAAACCATACAACAGGAAAAACTAGACTGGACATAATAGAGTTCCTCACACCCTCCATCACCTCTACTCTCTGGCACTTTCTCCTCAAATCCCTTTATTGTTCCTCTCCCTCGACCTCCAAAACACTTTTTAGAAACCTCTCTCTGATCGTGCATTGGGTCAGGACCCTTAAATGTCTCCTTCCTCTCCACTTGGCTCTCCCTATAGTCCCTGAAGCAATCAAGAAGATGGTCCTCAGTGAGATGCTGTACAAGTGCAATTCATATGCCGTTTATATAATTTATAGAGCTGCTACACTGTGCGAAGGCCGCTATACAAATACACATCAAAAGGCCCCAAAAATCTGCCCAGAGGCTTCAATTCACAAATGTGATTGCAATAATGTTAGTGAACCAACTCTGGAAGCAAAGAACTGGCTAAAGGTATTTGGGGTCCAAATTCAAACAAGGTCTTGCTTTGGTTCTAAACTAAAAACTTTACCCACCAATATGGCCTTCAAACACAGCAACCCAGAAATTAACATGTGTGTTTGTACTAAATGCTCAGTCAATAGAAATCTAAGTGTTGAAGCACTTTGGGTTCTTAGCCACCTGTGTTTAGTAAAAAGGGTCTCAATGTTTGCTCTGGAATTTATAGTGACTCAGTCCAGCTTTCCCTCTAAAAAGAATCAGACAAAGCAGGACAACTCAACTCTGCTGGAAAGCAGGACATTAAAAGCAATGACAGCCACCTTTTGAGGGCACACATTTACGATTCCGAGGCTCTCTCTGATTTTCTTGGGTCGCCCGAGGTTCTGTCAAAAAGAAATTACCAACAAAAAGAAACTCATCACATACTATCCAAGTTAAACACTGCTCTCTACTGACTCCCTCCTATTTAGGCTGCCCCAACCACCCCCCCCCACTCCCCCACCACCACCACAATATCTCTGTCACAACTCCCACAGTGAAGAGGAAACCCTTAGCAGAAATTGAGCAGAACCATGAGTTTGGCTGTATAAACAAGGACTCAACAGCACTAGTCCAAACTCGAGAGTTTTTAAACATATGTATGTCACCTACGCATAGAAATTTCCCTATGTCTGGACAGGAAGGCACTCTCTCTCTCTCCCCCTGGGGTTTTGACTAATTTTGGAGAGTATTAGCCTTGCTCAACACTTCTGGTTGTCACTATATATGTAGGTTGTGCCTGATCATATTCTAGAGAGCTGAAAGGGTCTTGGATTCTTCACGCAAGGTCAACAGTACCAGTTACACAAAACAATTAAAAAAAGCCATGCAAATGTTTTACAAAATGCCACTATTATGTTGTTCCCCACAGCACCAGGTTACACAGAACATGAGTGGAGCAACAATTAAAACCAGGTGCATTTTGCTGGTGAATTAAGACAGAAACCTCATTATAGACCAGCTCCAGTGGCTGCGTTAAGCAAGGCGCTGATTAACATCTGACTTGGGGTTACTGCTAACGTCAGTTCCTGCTCGCTGCAATCGCACAGGAAGTACTGCTCGCATTTCCTTTGTGAAGTGACGTCAGCGGTGCCATGCTTCCAGTTAGAGCAGGGCCTCAGCAACTTGGGCTATACACAAGACAACGATCTAACAGAGTATTCTCTAACGGGGTTCCTTTGTATTAGCTCTAGGTTTTTGCTCAATGCTAATGTGAACTGGAGTGAGAAATCACTTTACTTTGTGTATGAAGAACAAACTTATTTTATACAAAGCATCTCATTTGACTAAACATTTGGAATAAAGGTTCCTTCCATTGCGGGTCACACACGAACGACCACCCCCCCCCGCACCCACCCAAAAAAAACAAGTACATATTTGTGCAGCTGTGTTGCATTAATTACCATGCTTTATACTTTGCTTCAAAGGCTTAGCTGCTTTGTTGGTGTCCTCTGGTTTTGATTCAGAGAAAGAAGCTGTTCTGCTAGTGACTGGGGTCTGCAGGAGAAGGAAACAAAAGTTACATCACAGGGAAACTGGACCGCTGCTGTATTTACAACTATCGGTTTGCCCGTCATACATCACTAGTTTGAGAACTTGCTGAACTTGGGCCACAGTGCTGTGTAAAATTCCTCCATTCCAACCCTCGTGAATCAGACTCAAAGTGGATCACAGCGTGATAGGCGCTATAGAAATTTGTATTGCAATAATATCAATACTGACGAAAGGCCTATTTTTCTACTAAACTGCAGCCACTAGACAGAGGCAAAGCAATCAACCAGGAATTCAGCATCAACATAGAGAAATCACAGGTCCTATTCACCCCACAAGCGCATTATGCATTAACCCTTTGAAAGTTAACATGAGCTGAGCAAAGCAAACGTTAACATCAGACACCCACTTTCTAGGTGAATCATGGTATTGGAGTAACGCAGAATGCACTGCCAAAGATGGCCATGGAAGCAGAATTGATTGGGATGATTAAAATAGAATTGGGAAGAGCGATGTGAAATAATAATTCTTTCATTGGATTATAGCACCTATAAAGTCGAAACATCTCAAAGCACTTCTCAGAATTGTTCTAAGGTGCAATGACTGTAAAGTGTAGCATACGGGCCTTGGTTTAACACTTCATCAGTGGAGTCCTGTAGCTTAGTGGTTAGAGCACTCTCCTTGCAAGCGAGAGGACCCGGGGTCGATTCCCGGACAGGGCGAAACTTCGGGCAGGTTTCCTTACTCCACACGGCTCTGTTTACCTAGAAGGAACCCGCTTCTTAGTCAATTGGCAGATCGCTTTTCCTGGGGTAATAATCCCTTCAAAAAAAAATTTAAAATACTAATTTGGTCACTCAACCCACGGCTGTTTGTGGGACACTGTTGGGCGCAATTGGCTGCCGTGTTTCACCCGCAGAATATATAGTCAATTCACTTCACAGTATATTCTGTGAAGCACTTTGAGATGTCTCGAAGTTGTGATAAGGCGCTATATCAAATGCAAGGATTATTATTATTTTTATTATCAGAAGGACAGGACCTTCTGACAGTGGAGTGTTGCCGAGACTGTGACGAGAGCTCATGTGCCCGCAGTTTGAATCTACAAATTTGTGATCCACAGGCAAGAGTTTCACCAGCTGAGCCAGGAAGAGTAGTGGAGAAAAATTATGAAACCCCAAATCATGTTCTAATAAAATGGGGGAAGATGCTTAATATGCCAAGTCCCCACAAACACAAGCCCTAGTTTGTATTCATTCCCAGTTTTCGGATCCTTCACTTACTGAGGGACTTCCGCTGGCATTCAGGAGGAAGTTGGCCGTGTGAGCAGCTACGGGAGGGGAGTCTGGGATATGGCGGTGTCCAAGGGCCATTCCTACAATTGCAGTCATGTGTGTTTCTGTCCCAAAAACATGGATTGGAATTCCAGTCGTCTTTCCTGCCGACAGAGATTAAAGAGTCAGTATTGCCTTACTGTCAGGTAGCCCAGTACACAAATACACCAACTTAAAGCAGCAAAGTGAGGTAGGCAAAGGTAGGTAAACGAGAGGTTCACAGGCAATTCACACCTTAAGGTCATTTCAGAAGCTGCCAAGGAAGCAGAAAACAAAGCCAACTTGATCGACTCAATCGCCACTCAGGTGGTTTGCTGGTTTTTCCTCCATCCTCTAAAGGACACTGAACTCAATTTTGGATTGCCACTTCGTCCTTCTCCATTCAAAATACGATTTCCATCGTCACCCAAAGTTCCAGTCTCTACCCTGCCCAGTTCACAGCAAAACTCATCATGGGGAGGTCCACAGGTCACTGTTCTCAAACAGGAGCATTTCCTACACATTCTCTGCTCCTCCTCCTGGCCTCCTCCCCATGATGAGTTTGCTGACATCACCATTTACTGTGTGGAGAGTCAGAGGCACAACCGCACATTCTATACTGGAACATTGCACTGTGCGTCCCAATGGATATCCAACTTGCTATTCAATGGAGAGCTTTGAGATGCTCACTGTACATGAGAGAGGGTATGCAAGTTCAAGCTCTTATTGTTGCCTCTCCTTCCTCCACTTCTGCTGGAATCAATGATCACATTCCCACTTTTACTCCACATAAGGTACTTCACACAAGGAAAACTGTAATGTAAGTGCAACTAAGTCCACTGTACGCCTACAGTAAATTGGCAAGCGGAGTGAACGATGCACGAATCAAAACAAAATCTGTAGATTCAAAATGTAACATGTGGTATAGTGCAAACAAGGCTGCCACTGAGGCAGGAAAAGAAGAAACCTGTTCAGTCGAGGGACCTTGACTGCCTCGGCCTCAGTTGTCCTCGGTGAAAACATTAGGAAAGGCAACATTAGGAGTGGATTTTTCTACCATTTGAGATCACTCACCAACTTCCCCCATGACACGGAGCCCCTCTTGATAATTTGGCCCACCTCGTCTGACAAATATGGAGATGTTATGGTCCTGTAGAGGGGTCTGGTAGTCCTTGATGGCATGTACAATGCCCTGGGGTCAAGGAAAAGAAAGTTATACCAGACATTCAGGCGTGAAGTGTTTTCTCTCTCCTACTAGCGCCTGAAGATGTTCAACAAAAACAACAACTTGCATTTATATAGTGCCCCTCCGCAGGATAGTGTCCCAGAGCACTCGGCAATGGAGGAGCAAGATACCTAGCCGGGGGGAGGTGACCGTAGGCAAGGTCGAACAGAAAGGACTTCAAGGGTGAAGGAAGGGGCAAGGCGGAGGAATCTCTGTTATTGTAGCACGCGACTACCAGGATGGTAGAAGGCGAACCAGATGGACCTTGATCTTTTTTCATCGAGCAATTCCTATGCTCTCTTATTGCCACCCAACCCCTCCTCTCTCCCAGAAGAACTTCAGTTTCAAGATCTGAGGCCAGCAACCAGGAAGCCAGTTGATAGCCAGCTGGAAATGTATATTGATAGCTCTTATTCTGCCTGGACAGCTTGAATGACCCGTATTTAAGCAACTTTCATATATCTGAGTCCTAGCCCTCAGGCAAACAATACTGCATAAAATCCACCTGTTTAAAATGAATGAATGTTCTTGCTTCTTCCCTCAGAAACCTCTTCAAATTGCTCTTCTGTTTCTGCTTCACCAATGATTACATCTCTAATTTCTGATTCTCCCTATTCTGTTTGAAATACACTGCTTGGCTTTCTAGCGAGAGGCACTGCCCAATTTAGCACTAACGAACAAGGTCACAACTTAACCCCTCATCCAATGAATGGCTTAAACTCAGTCACTAACATTGACCTCATCAATCAGGGGTCTTTGGAGTTAATGAGAGGCAGTCAGGAGAGAGGATTGTGCATGGCAATGAATGCTCTTAAGAGCAAGCACTGAATCAGACAACCATCGTTACTGCCAAGGACAGGGAGATCTCAAGGCTAATGAGTAGTCAATTCTCATAATAATCAGCAACAAACAGTAGAACATTCACAATCTTACAACTCCTGCTTATAAGAATTATGGGAGGAAGCAACTGATTACCTTAAAAGTGGCTGCTACATTTGTGAAGTTAGCAATACTGCCTCCAATGATAAGAATTTTACCTGAATAAAAGAAAGAACACATTGAGATAAGGATTTATTCCTACTGTGAGCAGGCTTCAATAGTTAGAGTGAAAGACTGAAAGTTACAGATGCTCGGTAACGTGTAGATTCTACAAAGCGCTGAAAAAAGGGGATCTGCTTTCAGATCTCTGCTAAATGTCACGGTGTTCTCAGTGTCAAGAAATAAAAGCAGTGCAATTCCATCTTTCCTCCCTGATTCTTCACAGTGATGTGTCTCAGGCTGCACACTCAGGGGAAAGCACAGGCACAAAACTACACAGAGTCCAGGATCATCATGCTGCTCTTACCCCAACACCACCACCAACAACCATTTAACCACAACACCTTGCATTTATATCGCATCCTTCACGCAGGGTAGGATCTTGTCATGTGTGTAAAGAATTTCTCTGAATATTCCAGCTGACTCTCACCCTCTGGATGTTGTTCTCTTGTCATCAGAGACAGAATGGTCTTAGCGTAGTCGTAGGTCTGTTGCTCGCTGGGAGCACCTGAATACTCCCCGTAATTCGCCAGCTCGTCCACTCCACCCAGATCACAGATCGTGTCACTGCGAAGGAGGAAGGAAAATAGACGTTTTGAATGAAAGCAAACGTCTTGCATCTTACACAAGATGCATTGCGTACCCTTTAAGTGAAAGCTTTGAGCCCTTATCTTCTCAGCTTCAATTCACTTTTCAACTCTCAACTTTTAAGTCATTTTTCAAAAAGAAAAAATGTAAAAAAAATAATAATTTGGTCATTCAATCCACGACTGTTTGTGAGCCACTGCTGTGCGCAATTGGCTGCCACGTTTCGCCAAAAAAAAATATAGTCAATTCTCTTTACAGTATATTATGTTAAGAGCTTTGGGATAGCGCTATGAAGACGCGATAAGGCTCTATATCAAATGCAAAGATTATTATTATTATTATTATTAAGTCCGTTCCATGGTGAAAAAATACCAGCCAGCCAGTTAAAGACGGACATTGAGCTAGTAATACAATCATGGTGACCCAGCACTAGCCAATCGAGTGAAACACAATATTGTCAATAAAACATAATGCTCACCTTGCTGACTTTAAAATTAGAATCATAGGATGTTACATAACAGAAACAGAACATTGGGTCCAGCTCCATATGAGCCTACCTAACCCACTCTTCTGCTTACTTCCTACACCCTTTATTATTCCTCCTCTTCAAGCATCGGTATAATTCCCTTTTAATAGAACCTGTGGATTTAGCTCTGAATGACCATGAGTTTACGGTACCTCCACTGCGCTCTGGGATCCTAACCTGCGTGAAGGGCGCTATATAAATGCAAGTAGTTGTTGTACCTGTAGACTACAGATGCACCACCGCCTGCCACCATAGTCCAGATCCTGCCCTTGGGGTTCAGAATGGTTAGTTTCAGGCTGGCACCACTCTTTGCATCAAGATCTGCGATGTAGGCTTCCTGCAACAGCAACACGACATTGGTTACACTTACCCAGGATGGAATTATTTCCAGTCCAGTTATCATAACACACAACAACACATTGTAGGTGTCAGCCTGTCTCAGTCTGGAGCACTCTCACCTCCGAGTCGGAAGGTTGTGGGTTCAAGACCTAAGTCAGGACTTTGAGCCAAGACTGACACTCCAATACAGTGCTGGGGAGCCCTGGCTATACTGAACCTGGGACCAGTACTCATTGTTAATACTGGATATATAAAGCTGTTTACATCTCTGCCTTTGAACAAAATACAAATCTGGTCATTTTGGAAGGTGGGGGGAGGTGGAGCAGGAGGCAATCCTCAATGAATTACAATAAGGCAACAACAGGTTTACAGGATTAAACAAATTCTCCCCGCTCCTTCCCACTCAGTCTCGACCTCCAAAAAGTGTTAGACCACAAGTTGCTTTACCCCAAAGAACCGTTGGCTACATCAACAGATCAACTTGCAACTGTCTCCAACTGCAGCAAGTTACACTGATCAACTGGCCCAGTCAGCCTTTCTCAACTAATCTAGGATAAATAAATAGGATTGCAAGGAAAAAAACGGTTCACCCCAAGAATGGGAGCGGGCAGTAATAATGGAATATCAGACAGAGGGAGGAGGGCGCTGGTGGTCGGTGACTTTCAGTGTTGGAGCTCAGGAATGTTCCAATATAAATGTATAAGCCTTGGCCAGCCTGAATACAGCTGTCCTTGACATCACACACAAATCATGGTATTTCTGTGCCTGTCATTAAAGATGGATTACATCCAAGCACATCCCCAGCATACACTGCTGCTGCTTTTATCCCAATCCAATCCAATTCTGTTGCCAAATGCACCTTTCAGACAGAAAGCCATACAAAAGGCCACCATTTAGGAAGATTAATGCAGCAACAGGAGTAGTGATGCACAGGCACTTGGAACACTCAAGTCCGCATCAGTATTGGTGGCAGGTAAGGCAAGCATTTACTAAGCACATAAATGTAACATTAATCACGAGAGGGTTTTTAGGGATGGCCATCAAGCTAGAATGTCAGGTTAGAGCTAAAGTGTAAACGTGCCTCCAGCTCGAATCACTAATCCACACCAAGCTCTGCAAGTACAAAGTGGCGGGTATGAATCAATGATAACCACTGGGATGGTTCCATTTTTACACAGAGTGTACTGATCTCAATAGCAATGCGGAAACTGCAGTCAGTCTTCAGAAAATTGATGTCAGAGCTGCAGTGCCTGGGAGAGGGAAAGAGAATACGCCTCAACACAATACAAAATTACATTTGTATAGCTCCTTTCACGTCGGGAGGATGTCCTAAATCGCTGGACGTTCCGGGATTTGGACCAGAGCTGGGGGATGGGTTCAGGGAGGCTAGGAGGGTGGCCGAAGGTGCGGTCGTAGAGGAGGGTCTTGAGACCTGCCTTGAAGGAGTGAGGTGAAGGTAATGTGGGATGGAGTTCTAAAGGGTGGGGAGAGAGAAGCTGAAAGTGGGGCGGGGCGGGCCGGGGCCTTGGAGCAGGCGAAAGCCTGATGAGCGGAAGGAGCAGACAGGTTGATATGGGGCTAGCAGTACACAGAGGTAGGAAGGGGTAAAGCCCTGGGGAGCCCTGAAGGTGAGAACAAGGATTTTGAACTCTAGGAGATGGGGAGCCAGTTGAGCCAGACAAGGGTGGGGTGATAGGGTCACAGAGCCTGGTTCGTGTGTCATCTATTGAACCAATGACTCAATAGGTAAAGCCATCATGGATTGGAGCCATTTAGAGGCAGAAATCTGTACTCGACCCTTAGAGTCCTGTAGCTCAGTAGTTAGAGCACTCGCCTCGCAAGCAAGAGACCTGGGTTCGATTCGCGGCAGGGCAAGTTTCCTTACTCCATACGCCTCTGTTTATCTGGTGGTAAGTAGCATCCCAGTTGTTAGTAGATTGCCGGATTGCTTTTCTGGGGATAATGATTCTTTCAAAAAAAATAAATTGGTCACTTCAATCCATGACTGTTTGTGGGACACTGCTGTGCACAATGGCTGCCGCGTTTAACTCACAAAATATAGTCAATGCACTTTACAGCATATTCCGTGAAGTACGTTGAGACATCCCAAAGACGTGATAAGCGCTATATCAAATGCAAGGATTATTATTATTATTTATCTGTGCTGATAGTGATTTCAGAGGGGCAGCAGTATGGGAATTGCTGTTGGCAAAAGGTGCCCTGAGTATGGAAGGGGTGAAGAACAGTTAAGCAAGTGTTTCTTCTTGCGTGCTAATAATGAAGCCTATTGATGTGTATTTACACCAGGTGAGTACTCAGGATGGGCTCAGGTAGGATCCACCACACCCAACGGATACTCACTGAAGCTCACACATTGAGAATGGCAACTCAGGTGAAACGCGGACTTTAGGAGTGAAGGCAGGTCAGATCTGTGCTTATAAGATTCCCATTATAACAAACAAATATTTGGGTCAACGAGCAAAATACTACTTCACAAGGGAATATCTGAATCAAGTGATTTCCATTGTTTCTCTCCCATTCTCCAGCGGATAGATATGAAACACCGTCACCATACTTACCTCGGGATAAGCTTCTCTCCCAAACGGTGGTGGGAACTCCACATCTCCCCATTTGGCCTTACAGATGTAGTCAGCAGTGGCATCAATCTTCGCTGCCAAATCCAGGACAAAGATTCCTTTATCATTCACCACTGCAGCACAACAAAAGTACCTCAATCACAATCAAACAGGACAACAGTGCAGCACGCACTACAGAACATCCTAAGCCAATTCCCACCAAATCCACTTGGTTCGTCGTTTCCTTCAAAGTTGGTTGGTATTGGCAAAGTTATTCCCAATCTATGCACCTCTGACTTGAAGACATTTGGTCACCCTTTTCCCCCATGACTTCTAAATTGTCCCCATATATCGCATTGTGGAAAGAATACAATTGAAGCCTGTAACATCAAGAACGATTCCACGGTGTGCGAAAAGTTTAGAACAGAGATACAAGCCGCTACACAGCTTGTAACTAGTTTCCCCCCTCCTCCCAACCAAAAGCTCAAAAAGAATTGCAGCAACCAAGATTCCAGACAGAAGCTGAAGTCAGCAACACTACAAAAACCCCACGAGCCAGAGGACATTCGAGCTTTAAATGATCAATATGAGGCTCTCGAACAAGCAGCATGACCTCAAAATAATAGAAGCCAACAGAATGTGCAGGAGAGGGTGTTGTTTTAGTAAAACAGCTAGCTTGGGATTGCGAGGTACCATAGAAGCTCTAATTCAACCCCAATCTGTTAGGTATTACTATATTCTATGACTTTTAAATCCATTGTCTTTTCCCCAATTCCTTGCTCAATTTCCTCAGGCCATGCACTTTCTGTGGTCAAGAGTACTTGACTGTGTATAAAACCTCCATTAATCCCAGTCAGTAGCTTGTAGTGAAGACCTCTCAGCAGATCAGACACCCATATCCCTAGTCAATGAGGGGGCACTGTCCTCTGTTTGATATTGCCACAGATCAATACAGCAAGGTAGAGCTTGGGGTAGGGGCATAGGGTAAGGAGGAGAAAGCTCTAGTAACCTTTCCCAACCCCTTATTTTGAGGTGCCGTCCATGAGTGCTGAAAAATTCCACAATCCCAAATATACTCCCATCTAAATAATGATTTCAAGTTGTTCAGAGGCAAATGAAGATATCAGGCACCAAGCTTAGTTTTTTTACCTAAAGGATTAATCTCCAGGTAGGTGAAGTATAGATCTTCATACAACGTGAAGAGCCCAACAATAAAAGTAGCCAGAACACTGAAAGAGATCATAAAGCCAGAGTTAAACAATGTGACAAGACAATAAAGAGCCATGCATATCACTCTGGGGAGGTGTCATTGTTCAGTGGAGATAGATTCAGACAAAAGAATCTGGAGACTGAGGCGAAACTTTCTGAACGTCTGAGCCGGTGATTCAACTTCAACAAATGAATCTTGATGACAGTGGAAGTACTTAGTTTGATGGAAAGTTTAGAGAATGGTCTTTACCTCATTAAGAAAAAGGACGAGATCAAGCAGCATGACCTCAAAATAGTAGAAGTCAACAGAATGCGCAGGAAAGGGTGTTGTTTTAGTAAAACAGTAATAAATATGCTGAACGAACAACTATGGCAGATAGTGAAACAAGGAACTAAAAATGTCATCAAAAAGGCACTAGACAAGTTCCTGGAAATTAAATGGATTCAGGGATATTAGATGACAAGACAGATGCTTCAAAGGAATGTTTTGGGATGTTGAATGGTATGATGGTCTACTTCTGCTTGAGGTAGTTATGCTACTATTACTACTACTAATAACAGTCCTTACTTTTGTTATAGTGCCTTTCCCCTCAGGAGGATGTCTCAAAGCACTTCAAAGGATATCCTGTAAAGTGGAGTTACTGTATATTTTATAGGCAAATTCAGCATCGATTTGCGCATAACAATGTTCCACTGTCAATATCAAGCCACAAAGTGATTCACCAATTTTACCTGGGAGATTATTGGCCAGGACACCAGAAGAAACTCCCTTCTCTTTGAGTAGTGATAAGTGATCTTTAAAATCCACCCAAATAAGCAGACGAGAGATTTTTCATCCAAAGAATGGCACCTTCAACAATGGAGCAAATTCCCCTCCCATATTGCATCACCTAGACTAGCCCAGACTACGAGCTCAAAGTCCTAATAATAATAATCCTTGCATTTGATACAGCGCTTTATCACATCTTTGAGACATCTCAAAGTGCTTCGCAGAGTACACCGTAGAGTGAATTGACTGTATTTTGTAGGCAAAACACAGCAGCCAATTGCGCACAGCAGTGTCCCACAAGCTGTCATGGATTGAGTGACCAAATTATTATTTTTTTTTGGAAGGAATTAATATCCCCGGACAAATGATCTGCCAAGCGACTAACAAATAGAGGAGTGTGGAGTAAGGAAACCTTCCCACGTCCTCTCGCTTTAGTTTAGTGCTCTAACCACTAAACTACAGAATTCCTGATGTGGGGCTTAAAGATGAACAGGCTGATGCACTATTATTTAACTGATAACAACTATTTAAGCTTTGCCAAGAAAACTGAATCACAAAGCGCAACACGCTGCCAGTGTTGGTCAGATCAATGTTTTTTGACAGAATAGTGGAAACTGGTTTCAAGCCATGTCAAGTGATAGCAAAATCCAGGATGTAGCCAAACAGAGAGAAGGTGTTAATCTGCAGCTTGCTCTGAGCAACTGGATTCAGGGACACGTTGGTTCAAGAGTAAGTGATGATGCACAAAAGTTACCTTTTCTGGCTCTCAGGCACACAACGTAGTAGGGTTTTGATCACTTTCTCTTTCGTCAACTTCCCATCAACCCCGACCAGCAACTTCAAAGCTTTGGAGTCGACGTCGCCAATGTCCACCCCACCCTCATGGTGGAACAACACGTAGTCACCTTCACGATCAGCATAGATGCAGACATAGAACTCTTCCAACTAAGCAGAAAACAAACCGTCATACAGATGCTAGATGTCCAGGACTGAGACCCACTGACAAAGTGTTGGGCAGCGAGTGGGGGGCAGAGGCATGGGGGGGTGCAGAGGCGTGGTCCACAATTTTAATGAAAATTTGAGGGATTTCATAAAATTCCTGGTTCATAACTTTACTGTAATATATAGAGAACGTCTAAGTGTCCCAATCTTATATCCTAAGCGAGAGACAGTATTAAGAACTTGTGAGTAAGTCATATTCCCAACCCTATCGACAGACATCACTGATGTCACTGCACTCCTTACACTGCGAGAAAGTGGACCACATTCAGAACACTGAATGAATGACAGTCTTTCCTTCAGATACACTGTCTATAAACAGGGAGACCGAGCTAATTGCTCCCCACTCAATTGCCACCACTTCTGGAGCTTTATTTAAACGTCCATTTGATGCACATCAATTACTGCCCAGCACCGAGCTCTGGGCTCAGTCACTGGCTTCACTGCTGCTGTTTGTTTAGGTTCTGTCAAACTTCACATTTCAAGGGTTTTTAAAAAGGGCTTGACAACATATCAGATGACTCCACGATAGTAGTGGTTGCTGTGAAGGAATGCAAAGCACTTTACTAGGGAGATGTTCCTGGGAAAACTGGAAATCAATTTCTAAAGCAGCAAGTTTAACATACCTGTTCATGAGGTACAAATGGTTCGATCAGGAAGTTTTTCAGGATACCGTTTGCCTTTCCAACCTGCGTACAAACAAACCGTTAAATCAGCAGCAAAACACTAACAATATAATGGCAGTTATAGGCTGCCTGCCTTCTTTTCAAAAGTTCAAAACCGAAGTTTCATTGTGTACCCCCATTCCATTGCAGCAAGTCGGCACAATGTGCTTCAAACAGGAAGGAATCAGAGTTGGTAACAATGCACTCTGATCCCAAATGCAGCGGTGCTAAGCTGGGGAAGCATTAGATAGTCATCTGTACTGGCAACATCTGTGGTGTAATGCTAGATCCTCACTCGATCCATCCCACAAGTGGCAGCCGAGACATCAGCCACCATAGCCCTGCACATCTCCAGCACTCCTAAAATCCTTTGATTTTGCTGGTTTGCACCTTTCCCCAAATCCCTTGGCCTTGCTCTCTCCTCACCTTAAAATCCATCTTAAGAATCTTACCTCTCACCATCTTCTCCTCCAGCCCCCCTATCATCTCGGCAAAGTGCTCAGAGATGTTATTCTATATGATCGAAAGGCGCTGAAAAGATCAAGCTGGTATTAAAGTGCAACTATCGTCAAAACGGATAGTCACCTCTTAGTAATTACCACATGCATAGCATTGCATAAGTCCTGCACTATTTGGTACATGGTCCATGGAGTACCAGAAAGTTATGAAATTTCTCCACCTCTTCCCCCCCACCCTCTCCCTTCCGCCCAGACTGAAGGAATAAGAGTGACCCAATAATTAAACCAATTCTGATTGAACCACATTCTATTTGTGAAATGGGTTAAGTCTCTGGGAAGTCCCTCAATTGCAATGTGTAACTGGAGAGGATGGACCTTCCAGTCCATTACTAATCATATAAATAACGGGTGATGTGTTAGATTAGCCCTTTGATTAGTCTGTAAAAGGAACCCTATGCAGTCGTGGGGAACAAGCAGTTGAATATCATGTGATTATTTTGAATGCCCCTCGCATTGTAAACGAGCGCGTTTACAAAGCACAGACACAGTGATGGCAGCAAACTGAAAGCAGCACACTTTACATTATGAGAGGAATCTGGACAGTGCTTAATTCTAGTCAAGAGAAGTAGCTGTCGGAGTAAAAATATTCAAAATGAAATGTCGCTCGACATTCCTATTTTCTAACCTAATAAACAAATCTGGCCTGAAGATAAAACTAATTACATTTTGATGTAAGTAAATCCACAAATTCACCATTTGAGAATCCTCCATCTGGCCGCAGAGTTATGTGCGGGAGAAGAGGCAGTTTGGGAAGTAGCCACGTTGAGTCAGTTTGCCAATGCCAGAGTTAGCATAAGTACTGCCAGGAGAGGAATTGAAGCACGGAGACTGGGCAAGGATAAGATTCAATATCTGGTCAGCATTCAATCAACTGCAGGTAACAATAAGCAACAATTGGCCTCAACACCTCTGTGGTGCAGAGAGAGAATCAGCAGAATCAATCCTGCTGACAATTCCCACCTGAAAGGGAGCATTGAACTGCGAGTTACATTAAATGCCAACACAAACCATCTAGGCCCAACCATTTCGGCACATACCGCAAACTGGAGACCACAAAATCTCTCTCCATTTTACTTTCTTACACAAATTCCGCTCAGCATTTCCCCCCAATTGAGATCAATTTAGCTGCATGGGGATTGTATTCTCCCCCACTGGTGCTCTAACCTGCTGTGTCACTCAGCCACCCACGCAAACAAAACAACTGAACAGAAGCAATTAAGCAAAACTGTCTAAAGGTTTTCTCGCTCTGTTTGAATTGAAAGAAAACAATCTCAAGGTATGGATAGATATTTCTGCCATGGAACCATGTTGGCATTTAATAAGCAACTCGTTATTCTTCAAATGCAAATATAAGACATCTTCATAACTGCTTGTTATTAGGTACAGTGCACTTCTGTAAACTCCCCAATGTACCTTTCTCTATTTCTGCAGTTTAACAGACAGCTGGGGTTGTGCTTTGAGCAGAGACTGCTGCAGGGCTACTCACTGTATGACAAGCTGTCTGCAGCTGATTTGCTCCAAAGCTGAACCCTTAATATTGCTTTTAAATTCCAAACAGAAAAATGACAGCACACTCTCAAACCCGCTGGGAAATTCAATGCAAGCTCCAGTCGAGATTTCCAAAACAGACCCGAGGGCAGGTCTGGAGGGTATAATAATAATCCTAGCATTTGGTATAGCGCCATATTATGTCTTCAAGCAGTCGCAAAGCGCTTCACAGAATATACTGTAAAGTGAATTGACTATAATTTTGTGGGCGAGATCAATTCATTTAAAGGCACTATATTTCCTTCCTGTGATCACTCAGTTTAAATTGGAAGTTTACCTTGACAGAATTTATGATACTGTGAACTTGTTGGGGGCGGAGGGTTTGGGGGAGAGAAAGAGACGCAGCACAGGCATACAAAATACACGCAGTACACAAATGCACAGAGGTAATAATAATAATCCTTGATAAGTCCATTTGATATCGCACCTTAAAATGTCTTCAAGACGTCTGAAAGCACTTCACAGAATATATTGTAAAATTAATTGACTACATTTTGTGGATGAAACGCGGTAGCCAATTGCGCACAGCAGTGTCCCACAAACAGTCGTGGATTGATTAATGCTTCACACACACTCCGCGAACACTTCCAATTTCAGGAGAGACCCCTACAAATCACAGGTGCAATCCTACACTAGCCATCTGCCCTTTTTTTTAAACAACAAGACCCTCAAATCAAAGATACAATTTACATTTCTTTTTATCTATAAGGATGCAGCTCATGAGACTATTTATTATACAAAATTAAATTTGTATAGCACCTTTCACAAGACACTGCGATTTAATATAGGTGTTCAAGATTATGAGGGGTTTTGATAGATAGGGAGAAATGGTTTCTTCTGTCAGGTGGGTCGGTAATTAGATTTAAGATAATTGGCAAAAGAACCAGAGGGAAGAAGAGGAGACTTTTTGTTAACCCAGAGAGTTGTTACGGTCTGGAATGCACTGCCTGAAAGGGTGGTGGAAGCAGAATCGATAGTAGCTTTCAAATCGGAATTAGATAAGTACTTAAAAAGGAAAAATCTGCAGGGCTCTAGGATAAAAGCGGGAAAGTGGGATGAGTCGGTAGCTCTTTCAAAGAACCGGCACAGGCACGATGGGTCGAATGGCCTCCTCCTGTGCTGTAAGATTTTATGATTCTATTGTTTTCCATATTTTTTACATTAAGTGCTGCAAGACATTATCCTACATGAAAGGACCTGGCAACGCATTAGAAACCTCAATCTGCGGCATTACTCTTAAGTAACGTCCATTTCAGTGCAGCGCTGAGCTGTCTTCTTCCACCCACCCCAACCATCATTAATCTCCTGGTCAGAGCACTCACCTTGGCCTCCTGGCCCAGCCATTTCTTCAGCCATTCCTTCACCCCATTCAGATCCAGGTTAACGCCAATCAGGCCCAGCTTCCCACGGCGCTTGATCAGTTGGTCTGGCTTCACAACCAGGTGCTAAAAAGATAAAAACACACAAGTATTTACTCACAAATATTTATTCAACAAACCTCAGCGTATCCCAGTGGCACATGGCTCACAGGGTAAGTTATAAGGGAAGATGGCAGTGGCACAGTGAAGGGGCTGCAATAAACCACCTCAGTCTGAATCATCAACTTCAACTATATTTTGATGCTTTTGCATCAGCTGAAATAGCACAGTATTCCTGTTTCCAGTGGGGCTAATTCTAATGATAATAGCATTTGATTATAGCACCTTATTACATCTTTGAGAAGTCTCAAATCGCTTCACAGAATATACTGTAAAGTGAATTGACTGTATATTTTGTGGGCGAAACACATCAGCCAATTTGCATCCAGAGGGATGCGTTTAATTACTGCATTTAATTTTCCTGCGTCCAGAGGGATTGACCAAGGCAGAATACTTATGTGTAGAGAATATAACCCATGTACTAACCAGCACCTGAACTTAAAACATTGTACGTGGCTGTGGCATCAGCAACATCCCTTTGAGTGCAGAGGGAATATCACAACAAAGTTGAACACCGTGCCTTCACCTATGCAAGTTAGAACATCACAGGACTACGCGCATCAAGAGGAATAGCCAGCAATGTAGCCACCGACACCTCCGCTACGTTAAACCGCTTGGGCTTCTTCATTGCAGAAATTAATTCTTCTCACATTCTGCAGGAGATGGGGAAGGGGTGGCGCAGGAGTTTGTTCTGCAGATGCTCGGCTTAGAACTGAAGAAATCAAAAATCAATCTTTGGTGAAGGCAAACCGTTCACGTCCCTGAATTTCAAACCCTAACCTACAGATTCCAATTTGTACAAAGAATCTAACACAAATGTAACCTTGAGTCACATTGTAACAGGCAAAAAGCCAATAAAAAATTTAATTATTCTCTCAGTGTCCAACAGTCAGTGAAGTTCCAACAAACTGTCAGATTCGGGCTACTCTCAACTGAGAGCCAATTTTCAGGGTCAGATTGATGTAAAATGACATGACTGGGAGCCAGACTTGTCCTACAGAACAAAATATTAATAAGACTGAAAGTGGCATCCAAATGTCAGCCTGCCAGCACACTGAGTAATTTATCCTTTCTAAGCTTTCAGAAGTCACTGTTTCCTACGGCTCCCACTTAAGGTTGTACTAATAATTTAAGCCATGTATTAAAGGGGAAACGATAGATGACAATCTGGTTGTAGGGTATTCTGTTGAAAATACACTGAGGCTACAATGAACCATACCACAAACTAGCTGCTCACCCACAAATAGTCTTGACATCTGGGATTTTTTTCGGGTGGCGGGGGGGGGGGGGCGGCGGGAATATATAACAAAAATAGCACCATGACCTCGTGGGTTAAGGTAGCAGTTGATATAGCGCTAAACCCAGAAGGTCACAGCTTTGAATCTCAGTCTGTAATTTATAGGGTTTACATCTGCTTCAGTGGTCACAGGTTTAGGGGAAACAAATGAGAGCAAGGATTCTTCACACCCAGTCCCTGTTAACTCTGCACCACCTCTAATAGGTTGGATGATCCTAGCTGGAAGCTCACCAGCTCACCGGATGAACAGCAGGAAGTTTATTAGGCTGTGCCCTCAATGGCAAGCCATGCTATTAGAGCTGGTTAAGCTCCGGGGTTACCACAAACCACACTCCAGGGTTCTTAAGCTTTGTCTCTTGCCAATCTCACCCAATACAACAACAAAATTACATTTATGGAGCACCTTTCACGTCGGGAGGACGTCCCAAAGCTCTGAATGGTCAGGTTTACTAGATTTATTACTATTACAAATTATTTTAAAAATTCTCACTAGAATTAGGTAAGCCGAGTGCATCCCTTCAGGCAGGGAGCTAGTTTGCACATTTCACGTCAAGCGCATAAATTTACATGCGTCGATGGCGGCAAATGCAGAACTCTAAGGACGGTTTGCATACTCAGGCATGGGGATGAGTTTCCGTGTGTGTCAGAAACCCAGCTGACCTCAAAAAGACAGCATCAACTGCCCATTTGACACTGTGTAGTGTCAAACTGCTGACGACTGCTGTGATTCGGATTTTTTCTGCAAGCAGTAAAAAAGAAGCGTTTCTCATGACTTTTTGTGGGACACTGCTATTTGTAATTGGCTGCCGTGTTTCTCCCACAAAATACAGTCACTCCACTTTACAGTATACTCGGTGAAGCGCTTTGAGACGTCTGTGACATGATAAGGCGCTGCATCAAATGCAAGGATTATTATAAGCAGTTTCCTTATTTTCTTGCTCCCCCACATTTTTTCCCCTAATCCTGTGTCAACTGAAGCCAATCCAGCTCCTATAATTCCAAAGTTGTGATTGAAAGCCATGACCTTCTGGTCTGTGTGGCTCAGCATTACATCAGCCACTGCCGTTACCCACAAGGTCATCCCCAGCGGAACACAAACAATGCTTTTCTTTCCCTGCAAAGCGAACATTACAAACCCTCAAAGCTAACAGGTCTGCCTGCCTGGTTCTTTTTGAGCCAAAAAGTGATTTGTAACCTTTTCTTGAAGCTAAACACCATATTGCTGAGTGAAGTACTGCCAGATACAGACAACAATCTGGCACACAGAATCGTAGACAGCGGGTGCTTCGGCAAATACAAACTGCTATTTGGAACAGCTAGTTAACAAACAGTAAACAGGCATTAAAGGATGAGGACTTTTTGGTCAAGTTGAAGCTAAGAAATCAATCAAGAGTTCTGAGCTGAAGCTAACAATAAATTTCCTCATAATGAATTTTCTCTAGCAAAGAGGAAACTGCCTAGTGATGTATATCAGTCAGACAGACTTGCTCAGGTCACATATGAAGCGTGTCCATGGCAAGTCTGTCTCCAGAATGCAGCCATTCCCCGAGTTCAGTCCCAGTCAGAACACTAGTGCAGCACATCTGCACAAGTGGTTTCTCACGAGTTGGAATTTCTATTTTTCTTTGGCTTTAGACAAATGATAGAAGCACAAGAGCGAATTCACTCCCATTGCTCTCCCTCCATTCTGTCTTTATAAAAACAAATTAATTTCAGCTCTGGAAGTCGCACCAAGCAATTCCTTCAGAGCACGAGTTATGTAAGGGTTACATCGCAGCTATGAGAAGGGACTTGAATCCAAATCAATATAAACTTCAAAATTTTCCTGAGCACCAAATGCGAAGCTACAAGTCAAGAGTTAAAAGATTTACAAGGATCGAGTCATTCTTTTGCTGTGGTCCCTGTGTGTTATGAATCACGGCACATCTCAATCTGCCTGTTGAAACTCATTCTACACTTACCTCGGTTTGCAGCCAGGGATTCTCCTGTACCAGCTGGTCCCAGTCAGTGTCCAGTCGCACAGTGGCATATTTAAACTTGTTCTGGACACCAGTCTTTGTGTTGATGAATTTATAAAGGAATTCTTTGGCAGTCTGTTCGGAGATGGCTTTAGCCGACATCTTGCTTCAGCTAGTTACTAGAAAGCAAAGAGAGAGAAAGACAATTTAAAATTGTGACTAATCTTAAATCACAAATAATAAAGGCTCCTTATTAAAAAGCTGCTCCTAATGCAGGAGTTGAATCCAGCATCAAAAATCAACTTCAATGAGACAGAATGCAAATAGCCCAAGAGATCAGTCAAAGCACATTCTCGCTCTGCAACACACCTACATAGAAACACATCACAAAGAGCTCGTGGCACACAACTGGGAGGATACCCAAGAGTGAAGCAACATTTCTTTTATGTTTGTCCTGTGGTATTCACGGCATATCAGCAGCTTTGATCAGGTCCCACCTGAGAATTCATTTATTTGGCTTTGGCTTTTCTAAATCTCAAGAGGAACTCACTAACCTAAAATGAATCTTAATAGTCGACAACCAGGAATCTAACTAACTCTCAAATGCGTCAACAGCAGCAGAACGGTAGCACAATTCTCAAGACTGCACAGATGCTACTTATAATCAAAACTGATCAAATCCACCCTTCATTTCTGAACAACAGTATTAAAAATGTTATTCTATCAAACATTTGATCAAGCTCAGTTGTATTAACATAATAACAATCCTTGCATTTGATACAGTGCCTTATCATGTATTTGAGACGTCTCAAAACATTTCACAGAATATACTGTTAAAGTAAATTGATTGTATATTTTGTGGGTGAAACACGGCAGCCAATTGAGTACAGCAGCGTCCCACAAACACTCATGAATTGAGTGACCAAATTATTATAACATAAATGGTCCAGCACAGAAACTGGACATTCAGCCCTGCTCTCCTGCTTACTTACCAAACCCTTTAATATTCTTCTTTTTCCGAACATCTAGCTAATTCCCCGTCAAAAGAATTGATAAGACTATGTAATTTTCTGCTCAACAACAGTATGGGGCAGAGAATTCCACATTCCAGCTCTCTCCGTGTGAAGAAACTTTTGCGAACTTCAGCTTTAATGTGATTTCTGATCATCGCATTGCACAGTCTAATATGAAAAATCAACAGAATCGATTGCAAACTTGCCTTTGGGGAATCTGGTCACAAATCTGCATCCGATCATTCAATAGCATCAATGCACCGAACAACGGCACAAGCTTGGCTTGTGCGCTGAAGAGAGAATGATCAGACAAACCAGGCAAGAAAGGAAAACAATGCCAATGCCGGCGAATCACGCTTCATTTGATTATAAAAGGGAAGACTGAATGTCATTACATAGTTTAGTGATGCTGGAGAGAGCAGCAGCCCACGTCACAGAGTCTGATAGAAAAGCCATTAACTGAATCAGCTTGATCTTCTGTCCAAGTCTAACAAGAATGACATTTATCAAAATGTTAAAAAGCAACAGGGTTAATTCAATTTCTTGGTAGAAGTTTTAGATGAATGAACTGACGTCAGACAAGATTCCTCTCCCTTCAACACAGAACAGGTTTAACCTTGAGCTATTCAGACAGTTTAAAATAACAAACGCAAAATAACCTAAGATCCAGCAAATCCAGTTTACAAATATTGCATCAGTACAAAACACAGGCCTGCAATGAATCTTCTCCAATTCCTTCCCAAATGCACAACGGGAGCTGGCACTGTATAAACATCAAACATCATATCGGGTAAACGTTCAAAGGGCACAGGTTTGTCCTGACTGACCAGAGAGTCACTGAGGGCTGCAGATAGCATGGTTTTCATTGCCTCTCAGGTCAGGGAGAGAACTGTGGTACTGTGCTTGATCCCGGTCCCAGCTCCCTGGGTGGCCTCAATTTGACTTCCATTCCAGATCCGATCTCTTTGTCTTTCAGCCCCAATCCCCACTCGTTTTCCTATTTTTTTTCCCCTTTGGCTCTTTAAAATTTTCTTTCCGACGTGTAAATTTCCAACATTTTTCTATACAAAGAGAAATATAAAATGTGCTGCCCCTGGTCAATTTTGCTCCTTTACCCAAATGCACTTAAAGAACATTCTGATTAATTTGCTACTCATCTCACTCCAACTGCAGGCACAGATTAGCTGCAATGTGTGGATGCATAAAATTCATTATCCCTAAAAATAACGTATGGCTAAACATCTTACAGCATAAAAGTGATAAGGCACAACATTACAGGCAAGTATTAAATGTACTTACAAATGGTTTTATTAGAATTATCAGTCTAGCATTAACAGGTGCTGACTGTGGATGTGGTGGGATCCCAGGAACCACTTCTAAGGCATTTGATATAGCGCCTTATCATGTCATTGAGACGTCTCAAAGCGCTTCACAGAATACACTGTAAAATGGAGTGACTTTATATTTTGTGGGTGAAACCTGGCAGCCAGTTGCACTCAGCACTCTTCCACAAACAGTTCTGGATTGAGTGACCAAATTATTTTATTTGAAGGGATTATGACCTGTGGAAAAGCAATTCACCAATCGACTTAACAACCGGGTTCCTACTTGGACCGGGAATCAAACCCAAATCCTCTCGCTTTTGAGGCGAGTGCTCTAACCTCTACGCTACAGGACACCACAAGACAGATGCAAGACAGAAGCAGGCCATTTGGCGCACGTGGGTACACGCGCGCACACAATACCGTTATGTTCCAAACACAATCTAGGTTACATTCAAGCTGAAAGAGTAGCAAGACATGCCGGTATAATGAAAACACGATGGCTCGTAACAAGACACTCCACTCGTTTTTATTGTATATATAGGTCTCAGACTTCACACACTTTGTGTGAAGCTTGTACCATTGCATCATATAAAGGGAAAGAAGCAACTGCAGAATCGTTGGGAAATATATGGGGCACAAATCATTGGGACTACATTGGAACCTGCCGCAACAGAGCCTGACAAGCTTCACACACTCGGTGGACCCTTTGCTGTTGTGAAAAGATTGTCTTGATTCCAATTTTAGAGATGATCTGTATGGCTAACGCTACATTTACCCTTTTGTCAGGACAAGGTCAGTACAAGGACTATGGTACATCTGCATCATAGATTTATGCTTTGGAGAACATAAATGAATCCTTGGCGAGACATACAGTGATTAGTATGGCAATATCTAGACAAGAGATAGTCACATCGGTGTTCAAGGACATGATTACTCTATTCCTAGTTGGGAGGATGACAGAGGACCCAAGTACACTCCTCAAGCTCCCTGGGCTCTCCCTCACACACACCAAACCAGTGCACAATCTAGGTGTCCCGGTTCGACCCTCAACTGTCCTTCCTTCCCCACATCCGGTCGCTGACCAGGACTGCCTTCCACGTCCGCCACATTGCCACTCTCTGACTGTACCTTTACCCACTGTAGCTGAAACCCTCGTGTATGCGTTTGTCACCTCCCGCCTGGATTACTCAAACGCACTCCTTGCCCGTCTCCCCAGCTCCACTACTCAAAAAATCCAGCTCGCCCAGAATTCTGCTGCCTGCATACTTACACGAACCAAACTCCGTACCTCCATCTCGCCAGTTCCAGCCAGACTCCACTGGTTCCCCATCACAGAACGGATCGACTTCAAGATCCTCACACTCGTGTTCAAACCCCTTCACTCCCTGGCACCTCCGACCTCTTCACTCCTCAATCAGCACCTGGCGCCTATTCTCAACTGGCGCCGGCCTCCTGCTCGTCCCTCACACCCTCCGATCCATCATTGGATGTTGCGCATTCAGCCACTCCGCCCCGAAACTCTGGAACACTCTCCCTCAATCCCTCTGCCTTGCCCCCTCTCCCCCTTTTTCAAGTACTGCCCGAAAACCTTCCCTTTCGAACTGCTTATGGTCACCTCCGTCACGCCCAGCAGGCTCGGAGTCAGGCTCCGCCACTGTTAAGCCCTCTGAAACACTATCCTGCATGGAGGGCGCTGTATAAGTGCAAGTTGTTGTAGTAAACAGCACAGGCAGGAACCTGGGAGCAGATAGTAATAATAATAATCCTTGCATTTGATATAAGGAACATTCTGTAAAAGTATTTTTGTAGGCAAACCCAGTAGCCAATATTTGCACACAACACCGCTCCACGAACATTGTGAAGTGAATGACCGATTTTATTTGGGGTGTTGAATGATATCGAAACTCTGGATTTGTTTTGTTTGCCTGCAACTCCACAGTCACAACTCCAAAAATACAGCAAAGCACTTTGAGTGTTAGTCTTGATACAGCAAAGCGCTCCATCAGATGCAATAATTATTATAATTACTATTTATTTGAGGTTTCGCGTTGAGAAGCCAAGTCTTTACAAAACATCTATTCTCTGATAATCAGTTTGAAAGCAGACAATGCAAGAACAAAGGATGATCTGAGTAGGTGAACAGATACCTACCTGCACACTTAGAAATATGTGACAAGACCAGTTTTGCTAAATAGCTTTTGCCTAATTGAAGCTTCCTCTCCCATTCCAGCATTCCCCAGAGAGATAATCAGACCACTTGGTGCCAGTTGCCATCATCAATGCTCTGTTGCTGGGTGGTGTGCGACACTATGAGAGAAGCGTGGGTTCTGCTTCAGTACTATTTCCCCGGCCCCACTGTCTTTCACTGGCTCGAGCTGCACCTTTGTGCATGAGAAGAACCGGAAGGAAAGAATCACTCAGTAACAGACTGACAATTAGAAATGATCAACACTGTATTTTACTTCATGTGCTCTAGACTTCTAACTCCATTACAGACTAGTGTATCCACAGGCAGCCACGTATGCGATGTGTGATGTACTGTATATTCAAGCCAGGTGGCATTATTACATTCCTAGGTGCTGTGTGGTAGAGAATTATTTATTAATAATAATAATTCTTGCATTTGATATAGCGCTTTTCACGTCAGGAGGACGTCCCAAAGTGCTTCACAGAACACACTGTAAAGTGAATTGACTGTATATTTGTGGGCGAACGCGGCAGCCAATTGCGCACAGCAATGTCCCACAAACAGTCGTAGATTGAAAATGACCAATTTATTATTGTTTTGGTTTGGAGGGATTATTATTAGGCTCTGTGTGGAGTAAGGAAACTTGCCCAAGG